AGTCTTACATGTTATTTTTTTACTAGTGGTATTATTCAAAGAGTACAACACATTTTACACATCATTGGCCTATAGAATATTTTTCATGGGTCAACTCAATTTTTTATTTTATTTTTTGCCGCATAACACACTAATAAACTCAAGTCTTCAACCATCAAAGTAATATAAAATAATAATTATTATTGTTCATTATAAAATTTGAATTGAAATAATATGAGGATTGAGGGGTATGAAAGATGGAAAACTACTCGACGATTACCGCTTAAAATGTGTCATCAATTTTGCTCATTTTGAGTAAAATACCGTTTCAAATAACTTAAGAATTTCGGCAATCCATACTATGGTCAACTTGGACCAGCACGTGGGTTGGACGATTGCTTAAGATGCTAAATATCCAGAAGTGCCAAAACGTCTATTTAATATTTATTTGTTCATAAAAAAATAATTGTTAACTTAAAGCGTTAACAACGACGTAAGTATTAACAAATTTAAAAGTTTAAAATATCAAAAAAAATTCAGTGACTTTAAATTTGTTTGAAAAGTGCCAAAAATATAATACGAAAACTGTACATATCACCAGACGTGTATCAGCTTACAAAATAAAATTGTTTATACCACAGTTAATACAACAATTTTTTTATGAAAAAATATAAAAATTTACTGCACATTTCTAAATTGATCATATAATACATCTAACTCATGAATATGATGAAATTGAAAAAAAATTCTATAAGATGGTGTTTTTCTAATCGTGCAAATTCAGAAGATAAATATTTATTTTTATCATAAATTGAATGTAAGAACTCCGAAAAGAGAGTAAACATAGTTCATCCCTTTAGCGACGGAGACTTTAATGAACATCTACGATAGTCCATTAAATGTCTACAGTCCAATTTCCAAGTGTTTCATTTGTGGAGCGCATTGCAAATAACGATTGTTGTTTTTGCGCCACGCGGCTCCAGACAAAGGATTACAGTTCGACTCTTTATTATCATCATTATAAGATTAAATTTGACAGTGGCTGTGGCCTTCGACGGTAGTCTGGCGACTGATGGCATGGCGGCGATTGAAGTACACCAAAAAAAAAAACCGGTTGGCGTTTTAAGTTCCCACGAGCTGCCTGCCAGCAACAGTCCCGTGCGTACGCTTGTGTGTAATAAATACTCGTCTCTTATTATTATGTTTTTTTACGTTATTATTTCTAACTGAAGAGACCGCATGGAGGGGATGGCGCGTGCCTTCGAACCCACCAGGTTCCAGGTGTCCGAAACGGCGCGCGCGCGAGCCACCGTACAACTGTACGGTGGGGATGACAAGAACCGACCGCCTCCAGAGCCGTTCCCCTATTGCCGTGGCTCACCCCCATCGTCATATACACCGGCACAGCTACCCCTGAGACCATCAGTCGTGTTTCGAACCTCACCACCGTCGCACGTACACATCGACTAACCAAATCAGCCGATGTTTTAATATTATTTAAACAATTATATTTTTACAATTCTGTTCATTTTTTTCGTCTATCGCAACTGTCGTTAAACCGACTATCAACGTTCCACACCACAGTCTTCATATAAGGTAAGCATTGTTTAAACTATTACCTAATCAGTATCAACAAATTATTTGAATTTTTAGTGATTTCGTGATTTTTTTCAACGTTTATTCTGCTGATGTACGTAAACTTGAAAATGTAATTAAATGTTTATCAAATGTAAACACATATTGTTTGTCGTGCATTTTGAACGTCAACTTCATAATAACGTTTATTGCGCACTTATCTTTTACGCGACCAACTCGTTGCACCGCGAGTATTATTATTTTAATATTCATCGTGGGGTCGCATGTCATTAAAAAGAAACAGTGAAATGTAATTTTCCTTAAGTAAGAATAGATATAAACTTGTTTCCGGCATGATGGGTATTTGTTGTTTACTCTAAATATTTTAGACAACCCGTCTTCAGGCGATGACATCCGGTGTAGGTACTTTTAATTTTCTCGAATGTAAAAAAACACGGGGGTTGGCGCATAAGTAACTCTTTCTCACGCTCGGTAAGGTAACGTTGTACGCCCAGGTAAATGTGTGTGTACATTGGCATTGTGTAGACAAATCGTGTGTCCCGTTTTACCGTCAACGGATTTTAAAAAGCCCTAAAGCCTATGCGAGTCTACCGGACACGTACAGGCGCTAGCTGCTTGTAATATCATGCGCAGTCACGAACGGGGCCTGGTTTAATATACTCTGGTTTAATGCAAAATAAAATATACACTTATATCGCGTCCGACTTAACGAGTTCACTCGATCACAGACTATTCACGAAGCAAATCTGAACGATTGACGTTAGTTGTCGTAGCAGACATAAAGTTTTCGTGACAATGGACCGCGTTTATACTCGGACACGTTTTTCGAGTCGTAAAAAAATTACGTTAATTTTTATTTCATTCCGATCAAAACCAATTGGCTGACACAAAAAAACGAATTCTGTCCGCCCTATGTGAATCATGTGCGTAACAACGCGTTGTTAATCGGTCGACCAATACGCTCATTGTGTCAACTGTCAAAGTTCCTTTATGCGCGTCATGCGGGTCTGTCGGTTTCCAAACAGAAGACATTCCGGATTTCAGAGGTAGTAGCTGTAGAAGTACAAAATAAAACATATTTGTTTTAGACACGCCGGAGTTTATCTTTATGTGTAAATTACCCGGGTGGTGCCTTGTATCCCGTATAATGTGTTGATCGCGTACAGGTTAACGTAGATACACGCAAGTTATAATCACGTCGTTATTCACATTACATTAAATTGGCCGGAGTAAGACATTATACGATTATAATATATGCGAACAAGCGACAAAGGTATCGTGTGTCGTTGTGACGGCGCCCTGGGAACTACTTAAAACGCGGCCACGATGGACCGCGCAACAAAAAAACCGTCGTTTTTTGTCCTTCGGTACATACTTATATAGACATGGATACGGGATTCGGGTATTATTTATTATTATAATATTAAATATTCACACACCATGCTGGTATACATAAGACGTTTGGTTATGAATAACAATAACGACGGTAACATCGATACACATTGGTTTTGCGGCGAAATTACTTGTTACACGTATTCGAGTTGGCACGTCGTATTTTAAGTCCATGCTGGTAGTCGTTATGCTAAACGTATGCACAATTTGTCGTTAGGCCTTTTCAAACAACCGACGACGCAATCGAATAAACTTACGACTTATTATCATTATGCTCGCTCACAATATTGGTTGCAATATAGTTTTGTTGCGAATTTTAAAAATAAAAAACCAGCCTTGTTGCTACATTTCGTTCGCAATCACTTCCTACAACTTTGAATTATGTGCCATCGTGGTGTTTGGCAATTGTTTGTCCTGTTGATAAACAAATACGTTTTTTGAATAATTATTTTCAATGATGATGTTCGAATTTTTGTAAAACGCGTCGATTATAAGTATTTCGAAGGGGAAATCAAGGTCAACCGACGAATAAGAGTCGTATGTGCGCCTTCGTGTCTGTGTACAGAGAGCATTCTGCGTTTCATACTTAATTTCATTATCAGATACCATGTTGCTTCGTCGAAACATATTTCCTGTCGCATACAATGGAAGAATATTTAAATTACATGTACTACGCTAGCGATCCGAATTACGCAGGGTACCAACCAGTCTACAATGGATTTATACTTATAGGAATTGCGACATTGCCAAATCATTTAAGCCCTAACACGTAGCATGCGACACCCTTGCAGAGGACACGAAATACTCACGGGGTCGCGCATAATGCATACATTGATAGGCGAATTCCCCCCGACTGGTTTCCGTATATTATTTTTATTATTAGATGGTGAGTTGTCGCTATAGCGGTATAATTCGAGGGAGCGCAAGAATGACGGAGACGGTGGTGAAGGGAGGCGAGCAAATGCGAACGGTCGCACTCGAGCATGAAACTGAAAAATATATAACCAACCCTCCATTATAATAAGCCCTTTACGCACGCACAACCCTCTACAGAAGAACCGGTTTTTATAGGGCGCGCATAAATCCTGTACCTATACGCTTGCGTTTGTTTAACAGTACGAAAAAATATTATGCATTCGTGAAAACGTCGTTTGACGCGATCAACCGGCATTTTTTTATCGTATACCTATGCATTTATCGGCATTTCTAAAGGTGCCCAATAATACAGGTCATTCGCTATTTTATATTTGCTCTAAACGAAAGACGAGTGAGTTGAGTGTCAATCGAAAACGAATTGCTGTTTGAGTAAATGACAATCGTTTTTCGATGCCAACAAACATACAAGATTAAATTTCCTTTCAACCCGTCTATCATGTCAACAGATTTTACAGACTTTTAATTTCATGTAGAACAGAAATCGTTTTGGCTTCAAAAAGTTTTTCCTTTGTCATATCGGAAACTATATGGCCGTTGTAAAAAAACAATAAGGGGTAGTTACCATATCTTTTAGTAAACTTGTTGTATAAAGCAACAGGCGCGAGTATTGTAAAACGGTTAGAACGCGCAGCTGATGAGATTTGAATGCGTTGGCTTTTGTTTAAACGGTTTTACATTATCAGTACAAATATTGTAACCAATGCATCTATTGATTAATTTGTATCTTGAATTGACGGCACCCCGGAGTTGGTGTTGAAACAATATTGAATCTGTATGTAGACAAGAAGCGGCTCGTTTCAAAGACACGCGTCCCGTTTATACCTCACGAGTCATACTGCACATAACGATGATAATGTTATGATATAATGTTTATTACTCTAACATGTCCATTTCCACCTTGCTAACGATCCATGTGTATTTGTTTTTTAGAATAAATTGCTACAATAAAAGGCTATGCAATGATGAGTATTAGTGAAGAACTCAAATCGTCTATGCCGTCGTTCATTCAATTCTGTTCTCGAGTACAAGATCAAAACAACGGACAGGATGACTGGTGGACAGCCGGATCTGACGCAGGTAAGGGTTATCGGCGGTTTAAACAAAATTCGTTACAGATTTTATTTTATTTTTTTTGCCTAGCAATAGAGTGTAACAATAACAAGGGCTTAACCGCCGGAACATGGGGGGTTTTTTATTTAGTTCTCACACACTAGGAAATAAGTTGTTACCAAGATACATGAACCGTGAACGTTTTTCTAGTCCTGGCTATATGATGTGTAGGGTTCTAAGTTTTGGGGGTGAAAATGTTTGGTAATGCGCTCAGGTGCGTAGCAATTACATCCCTTTTTAAATGTCCGGTAGGGTTACCGTAAAATCGAGATTAACACAGCCGTAATGAGTCCGGAAGTAAATTCGGTATAGGTGGGATTGTTTAATTTGTCGGTTGGTCAGTTTTTTTATCGCGAGTTTAGGTAAATAGACGGCCAACTGTTGTACGATGGCGAGTGGTGACCCATAAAGAATGTTTGTATCCTTAATTCTGTCCGGTCCAGAAATGAACCATATGATAAAAACCAGACGGTTTATAAACGCGTGTCTGTGCGTGCTAATGAAATTGAAACCTAGTCCGCAAAATTGCAATTGAACCGTACCGTTAACAGACGGCCACTAGTTAGTGCAACATGTAGTAAAAAGGTGAACGCCTTTCATTAACGTCTTTGAGTAACATATGGTGTTCCCGTTGCTAGGAGTAGCTTTGGTTCTAGACTAGAAGGACCATATGGAGTACGCGCTGTCTGTTCCCAAGGAACTCAAAAATAATATATTATAGGATGTATGTATACGTCATATGGTCTAACATAAGGTTTATATGAATACGTGTACGTAATCTACTTTATACTTTTGACAGAATAACAAAAAAGAAATCGTCTAACACTAGACGCCTTATTGTTTTTTCACGATTTTTTTCTTTATTTTTGTGTTTCATTACTTTAACGAGGCTGCATAACAAAGTAAATGCAATATCTGAAGATAACCATTAAGAAGTGCTTTAAACGAACAAAAAACTATTTAGAAATTACGTTTTCCTTCAGAGGGTTGATTGCAATGCCTTAATAATCGAAATATTAGGCTATGATAAAAATATGCATGTAAATCGTTGAAATCTGCATGTGGTCTAGACGAATAATATACATGTTGGTTAGAATAAAAGCCTCGGGCCAACGTGTAAATCCGGTAGTACACAGGTACGGCCTTGCGTAACCGGGGTGCTCTTATAAATGCGCCGTTTGTTGTTATATCCATTGTGCTCCTCTTTTTTTCTCCGGATCTCCAAATTATTATTCTGTATGAACCTGAGACGAAAAAAAATTTCGTTACATTAGCCCCTCCTCCGGTTGGCGCACATCCTAATAACGCGTTTTCTCGGTTGATCGTTATGGGGTCGGAATCCCTGCGGCATCGCACCATCCATCGAACCCTCTATTGTGTACGACGTCCAGACCTTTAGGCGGCTTTGAGCGTACACTGCATTCTCTGTTGCAAGGGGATGTGTACTTAAAAAAAACTGGTTTAAAACATACAATAAAAGGTATCTCTGTGTGTACCTGGCCGATATGTTTGTACGATAAAATGCCATCTCGAAATTCTTCGGATCCCAAATAGGTACATCGTGTATTCGCCGTAAATACCCGATCTAGTTTCGTGTGCTGGTCCGCCAGCTATAATATTGTCCGTTTTTACCACAGTTGGTCGTGCGATTTCTTGTAACGTGTACGCCCTGCTGGTACTCACGTTTACCTTTACATAGTAGTATAGTCGAAATTCTTTTAAATCAATCTGTGGCAAAATGTCCTACTCTTCTAGTCCATCACCAACGTTATCTACCACTGACTCTTCAAGTCACCAGGGTAAGTATGCAATGTAGCACGAGCTTTTGATTATTTTATTATCTTAAATATTTTCAACATATATTGAATGTTACACATATCCAAATTCCTTGAAATTTAACTATTCGACGCATATATTTTTTTTAATTCATACATAATACTAAGGATTTATTTTGTACGACGGATGTAGTTTTAATTTTACTTCAATAAAATATAAATATGAACCAGAATACACAGACCATTGTTTGATACCAGGGCCGTTCATTTCCTGTTTTTAAGCACTCATTAAATAACCACTAACTCTCCCTGCCGTAAAATGAAAACAATATATTCATGCATGAAGGTATGTTTAAAGGGAAAGCGGTTACTACTTAATGGGACTAGTGCACTTAATCGGCCGGTTTGTATGCAAATGTATTACTACTCTTAAGCTGTACCAAAGATACCAATGTGTTCACACAACAATATGTTATCGGTTAAGCTCAAACAAGTGGAAGGAATTATCTCATTGTCCCCGGATGACGTTATCTAATGTATTTTATATTATTTACAGAAGCATTTGCTCACAGCAACAAAGAAGAATGGTTATCGGATTCGGACAGTCAGCAAACTATCATATGTAGTACGACTAGCTCATCACCAGGACCGTCCTTAGCATCAACTTCTACTAATGGTGGTCAGAAATCAGGATCGTTGAAATCCAAAGGTAGCCGATCGAAAGATACACCCGCAGGTCAAAAACCAGCTCAAGTAGTAGCTAGACGAAATGCTCGAGAAAGACGTAGAGTACAAGCTGTCAATTGGGCTTTTGCTAGACTTCGAAAAGTCGTACCTTTAGAAGAAAATAAGTAAGTAGTAACACAAATTGTTTAAATTTGTTAACAAAGAAAATCATTTAATAGAATAGCGTTTTTATAACTCATAATAATAGAACTTTTTAATATAATAATTGAACAAACAATCGTTAATTAGACTACTAAAATTATATTTATATGTGATTAAAGTGATTATGTTGATTCCTATACTCTGTACATAATGTACGACACACTTTAAATAATATTTTTAAAAGTACTTATAAAAATAAAAACAATAGACTGTAATTGGTAATTGCAATTAAGTCTCCGAGACACTTTAGAATTATACGATGGTAAATAATGACTAATTTGTGAAAGTTCACAACGTGACTCTGAGTGAATAACGATTACCAACCTATTGTTAAAATACTATTTATCAAAATTTGAATTTTAAATAATATGAAAGCTCCACGACTGTTGGTTTTTTTACATAACTTATAAACGTTATTCTATTATCATAAGTGTCGTAATTTAAGGTCCTGTAACTATTATAAGTATGAGATAATTTCATCAATTAATTTCAAAAGAGCAAAAAAGTCTAATAATTCTTTAACAATTAAATACAAATAAATATTTTTGAAGTGAAAAAAAATAACTTTCCTTATATAATCAATTTGTCGTTTTTTTATCACACTACAATAAATACTTTTCTTTGTGCAGATCATTAATAATCTCAAAGCCTCGTTATATAACTAATTAGTTTTCAGAAAATGTCATAGAATCATAAAAATAAATAATTAAATTTATTCACTGCATAACTTGAAGTAATAATAAGCGAAAGATTAAGTTAAAATGTTGACGAATCCTTTTTATCGTGACCCTTCAGATATGTATGATACAAATAAGATTTGAATAAAAGTGCTAAAAAATTATAGATAAATTTAGAATTTGAGTTAAATAATTGACAATTAGTTTACGATTCATTTAAATAAAATATATTAAACACTCGATCAACAGCAGTACTTGAGGTCAAAAGGCGGCATAAACATTATAAGACAGGTGATATGTCCCGTGGCACGAGCCTCCCAAAAAAAGCACCTGCATCATCGTCGTCATCGGTAGCCGTCCGACTCGTTTTCTCGTCGCATCTTAGCTTGTCCTAGTCTTTTCCTCTACAATTCTATCAATATACATATTTCCAATGACCGTTATTAACGCGCGTGTAGGCATGTTGATGCGAAGGATACCAAAGAGTAATTTATTATTTGATAGAAGAACCGGTAATTACAGTATCAATAATATATTATTTTGACCAGCTTTTAAAATTCTATCTAGATTTGGTTGTTTTTTCGGCGAACTGGTTTTCACAGTCGTGTGCCACTGTCGGAAAACGTTGAAAAAACTCTAATAAAAACAAAACAGGTGCTTCTGCATTGCTCTGGACGACGTTCAATTATTTATTTGACGCTATTATCGGCGCGTGCTTACCTTTAATAATTGCATTTTCAAGCAGGTTTCTCATTGATATTTTTGATTAAATGCAATGTGCCTAAAAACTTCATTTTTTCAAATAAAGATCAATAAAAATCCATGATATGAAAAATGATTTACATTAACGAGTAGTTGAAAATGCTATCTGTGTCTGAAGATATAACCCTAGTTCACAAACTTATATAGAGTAAACACACTAACCCAAAAATTAAAGTCACGTGTCGCCAATAAAGTGTCTCGCCTCATTTACTGTATGTACTGCACGTTGTAGTCTTACCCACTACCAGATGTCTTGGGCTCTTGTCGTGTGCACACTACCCTCGTTAAGAGCTTCCTGTATACATAGGGTCTAGTAATGCAGATTTATGTATACATGCAATATACGCTGTCTTGACAGATAAATGGTTTTCGCTGTCTCAAAACATTGTTATAAGCCCAAACATAGTGCAAAAACTAATTCTTTTTCGTGTTTCAGGAGCAAAAGAATGAGCAAAGTAAAAACTCTTCAACTAGCTATTGAATACATTAACCAGCTTCAAGGAGTATTGTCACTGAGCCCTCACAATCTCGTAAGTGTATCAATAAACATCTTAAAATTAAAAATGTAAATAAATTCTAAATAACTTAACTTAATATAATATTCCATTGTTACAGAATGATCACAATGACCATCATCAATTACTGACCACAGCTGAAATTGGACTATTTTCTGATATGCAGTACAAAATTGAACCTTCTGATTTGTCACAATTTCGCATGCCTCCCAATTTCTATACCCAACTTTTAGCTGACAATCAAAACTGACAAAAGTCTACTATAAAAAGAAAAAATTATATTTTTTATTTATTATTATTGAAATTATTCTTATCGCCCGAATGCGAATCCGGTTATTTTTTATTAGACAATAATATACAATGTTTTTATTCAGCGAATTTTTTTTTTAACATGTTATTGCCTTATAGCAGATTTTTTTATGTGGTCAAACACAAATAAGAATTTCAAATTGTTTGGAATATAATTTCTAATTTTTTTTATTTTTATAACTTCATAATATTTATGATGTTTTGTTAATTTTTGTTGTGTAAATTATAAAGTCTAGTCATTATACTCTTAAGTTTAATTAAGAATACACTTTTTTCTCTTTTTGTTTAACTTATCTATATGTATTATACTAAAAAAAAAAAAATTAAAAACCAACAATGAACTGATGAAGGATAATGATTTTCTTTTTATAACATTTTTTATGCTTAATGACAAATTCTAAATATAGTTTTGTACGTATTAAGTTTAGTAAATAACTATTTTAAGGTTTTTATGTCAAACTTTTTATTATATTAAAGTATTAAAAATTGTTACCTATGTAAGTATTAATAGGATTTTATAACTTAATCTTATAATTGCTCATTTAATACTGACATTTCACAGGATAAATATTAATTTTTTAATTGTTAAACTCTTGTGACTAAGTTATATACTATTTCTGTCTTAAACGAGATAAGACAATAATTTTTTATAGTGCCTTATTTTTGTTCTAGTTTTAAGTTTTATGTACATTGTTTTTGAACAAAATAATAAAAATATTTGTAGATATTAAATACTTGTTTTATAATTATTTATTATTAATTTAATTCAAGCCAAAAAATAGTGAATGATTGGTGGAAAGACGTAAGAATCGCACTTCTCCTCCTTAAAATATCATCGCTTACTCGAAAAAAAAAGTTTAGAACGATAAAATAAGCAAACAATTAATTTTAACGTCTAAAATCTTTTTGTGCACCACCTTAAAAACAATTCTGAATCTACCCTTGTCGTATAAGCAGTATATTTGTACATTTCTCAATTAATGTATATATTTTTTTGGTTTACGGCCTTTCAGACCAGACATCCAAACATAAACGCCTCCATCCATCACCATCTTGCGCCAATATATGCCAATCTCTACCAGTGTAAAAATCTGCTACATCCTTTTTGACACAATTCTCCCATCGCATTGGGGGCCTTCCTAGGGGTCTTTTCCCTTTGGATTCTCTTGTAGAATCGCCTTTATCATAGCTTCACGTTTCCTTCACACATGACCTGCCTATTCCAATATTTTTCTTTTTATCATAAGCAGCCTGTTATCTCTGTCTGTTACTATATTCGGCCTGTTGTACAGGTCACTTGTCTCATCATTGTCTTCTACGCCATTACCCTGTTTGTGGATTAAAATAGGGTCCATATATCTTTCTTAATATTTTTCTTTCAAAAACTCTCAGTTTAGACTCATCACTTTTTCTTACAGTCCAACATTGCACTCCATATAGTATTATAGATCTAATTAGCGTGATGTATTTCTAGACTTTCAGTTCTTTGAGAGTGTTCTTGACTTAAATAAGTTTTCCAATGCGTAATAACATTAGTACCCATTTGAATCTTTTTTATTATAATATCTCATACTCCATTTGTTTGATTGGGTGATCATTGTACCTAGAATTTTTTAATTTTGATACTTTTTTATTATATACAATAAACAGTGGCGTATTTAGAAATTTATAATGGGGGCACAAAATATATTCATGAATAAGGTACAATAAAATGACTTTTTTTTACTCATAACTTTTGTTAAAACATATTTTAGATTTCTTTTAACAAAAAACATTTGTTATTTGTTTTGAATACATTTTTATTAATAAAAATATTTCTTTTTATGCAGTGTGTATCTCTACTCAATACAAAGATTGGTAAGTTAATGGAAATAATTAATTCAAGTTAAGTTAACTATGATTAGTGTCGATAAATTAACAGATAAAAGTTTACAAATTATAAATTTAACTAGCTAAGTTAATCATTTTTTTAAACTTAATTAGTATAAAAAAAGTATTTCATTTTAAATAAATTTTTTGGCTAAAATCTCTTAAAATCATTTTTTATTAGTCGGTGATGTAAGGGAAAGCTAAGAATCGATTTTCAACTTTTAAAGTTGAATCTTCATCTTTTTCCTCGCCTTAATCCAAACTACTTGGGGTCGGCCACCCATATCCTAAATTTCCACTTGACACGATCTCCAACATAATATATACACATATCAGCTGTCCTCATATCACATTCATTAACATCCTTCCATCTCTCTTTTTGTCTTCTTCTACCGTTTCTTCCTTCAACATTAATTTTTATAACTATTCTCACAGATTCCGATACCTCTATTCTCATTACATAAACAAACCATCTAAGTTTATTTTTTCTCATCTTATCCACGATTAACGCTATTCCTATACTCCCTCTTATATGTTCATTCCTTATCCTATCTTCTCTAGTCATTCCATTCATCCATCTAAGTATTCTCATCTCTGCTACACTAATTCTCTGCTCTACTTTCTTGTCAACTGCCCAACACTTTGAACTATTCATCATAGCTGGTCTCACTACAGTCTTATAGAACTTAACTTTCAGTCTAATAGGAATTCTTTTATCGCATAACACACCTTTAACCACTCGAACTTAATCCTGTGTTTTACATCCTCGTCAATACCACCGCTCTTTTGCACAAATGATCCTAAATACTTAAACCTTTCCACCTCTTCTATCACATCCTCACCTATTGTCACTGAACTCCTCATTTTATAAGCATTATGCCTTTATAATGTCCACACTCCTGTATTTCTCCTTTACCTTTAAATATTGGCACCACAATACTATTCCTCCATTCATTTGGGATTTTCCCTTTTATTAAGATTTTATTTAAAAAATTCTTCAACCACCTTATGCCAACACCGTATAATATTTTCCATACTGCTTTATTCTTTTTTATTGATGCCACAACCTCTCATACCTCTTTCTCACTAATTAAATCTACCAGCCCCTTTATGTTGTTAATACTATTTATTGATAAAAAACTTTAATTATGCTATATTGCTTATTTAAATTATTGTATAATTCATCTCATAACTTAACTCCTATTCAAAATTTCTTGCAACTTCCTTCTTTATCTGTCAGAAGACACGATTCCAATATCCGTTTCCTTTCTAAACTCACAGCTGGCTTGATTAATTCCGCTGTCCTATCTTCAAAATTGAACTTTCGGGTACCTGCTCGTTCAACTCGTCATACTGCCCCTTTTCTAATTCCTTTTTCCTCTTCTAATTATGTTTCATCCCGCTCTCCCACGTCTAATGCACACTGCAAATAATGACCCTGATTTTTTGCACTCTTTTCATTTTTAATTTAGTCATATTTCAGATTTAAATTTTGATCATGTTTATATTTTGTACTTGTCTTAATTAAAATATGTTTTGCGTTTATTAGCTTCGATGCGAAGCTGAGAAGGTATTAATTTTACCATGATGTGTTTTTTTTTTTGTGTCTATTGCCACATTTTCTCAGCTCTCACTGGACTGATTTCTTTCAAAAATACGTCAAAAGATCACAAATCGTATCTAGTTGAAGACATTACCCTTAAAAATTGAAAAAAATTCCCTCGTTCCCCGCAAATGGGGGAAATATCCAAAAAAATTACAAATTTAAAAATCGCTAATTTTCAAAATTTTTTCAATTTTTTTTACTAAAAACTGCTGTAACTTTTTCAAAAATAAACATATCAATATAATTTTTTTTTTATAGACGCTTGATATCTTTATCTATCATTTGGTATATATTTTTTGTAAATCTGAAACTTAACCTGCCCACAGGGGGGGATTTAAAATGACAACTTTTTCACAAAAAATTAACTTTTTCAACTTAACTTTTGAAAATGTTCCGGAAGGTCTGACACTTTTATATATATCTTAAATTAAAGCTAATGTAATGTACTTTAATATGAAAATAAATAAATTTGACCTCTGGACTTGTCTTCGTAGTGAAAATGGCTACCAAATGCTATTTTTGTGTGAAATTTCTCGATTTTATATTTTACATTTTTTACTTTAAAATGCTATAACTTTTAAAAAATTGTATGGATTAATTCTCGATTTTATATTTTTTACTCTATAATACTATAACTTATTGAAAAGTGTATTGATCAATATAATTTTTTTATGGGAAATACTATTTTTTAATATTCCTTTTTTCATTCGACATACTTTATCTTAATCAGGATATTAATAAGGAACTAGCAGTTTATGAAGCTTTTGGAATAATCCACCAATTTTTTAAAATTAAACACTATCTAAAGATTTGCATCGAAGCGTTTTTTTTTGATAGTGATTTTAATCACTGTCAGATATCATTATACTTGATCCAACTATGCCACGTCACCACTGTGCCGCGACCCCCCTGTGCTGGGTTTTTTAAAGTCGAAAAAGTAATTTTTAAATTTGAGTTAGCTTAAATAGCCAATTTTTTAGCTTCGATGCAAATTTTTTTATGAAAACACTAATTTTTGATAATATTAAAACTTAGAAGTGATAGAAAAAGTCTAATTGCAGATTTGAAAACATCGCGAAAAATTGATTTAGAATTGTATATTTTTGTTACTGATGAAAGTTCCTTGTAGTTCAGTGCATTTATTTATAGTAACAAACAGTTTTTATTAAAATTTATTGTATCAAACCCTTTAAATTTTTATACACGTAAAAATAAAGCAAAATACAACTTCTTTATTATTTTTATAATTTCTCCGTTTAAATTACATTATTAAATTATTGAATATCAATTTCATACTAAATTTAATAATTATAATTAGTATTTATTCATATATTATATTTTAAAATCAAAGAACTACTAATCAGGATATAATTAAAGAAATAAGAGTTCATGTTGCTTTTAAAATATTTCACCAATTTCTCTAAAGGAAACACTATCTACAGATTTGCATCGAAGCGTTTCTTATGATAGTGATTTTAATCACTGTCAGATANTATCACTATATCTTTTAATATCATCTATACTTGTCCCATCTATGCCTTGTCTACACTGTGCCTCGACCCCACTTTGCTACCGTTTTTTTTTATTTTATTTTACTTTTTTCTTTACTAAGTTTACTTTTGTTAAAATTAAGTTCACATTTTTAAGTTTGTATAGTAATTTTAAGTTGATCAATATGCTGTCATATACATATTGTATTTTTTGAGCTATTGCCCGTAATGTTAATATTAATAATAGTAATTCTTAAATCGAATGTTATTTTTTAAACTTATAAAATTTTAATTACAACAATTATATTAGCTTTAATTTTGTTGTTCATTGTTAACTAAAATTCTAATACAGCTGAGTATAATTACCTTGAGCGATTGATTTCTTCCATTGATTTTGTCGATATCGAGAGCTCAGTGGCAATTATTAACTGATAATATATTCATTGAACTAATATATTAGTTCAACTATTGAAGATAATAAATATTAAAAATTTAATAAAAGATAATCAGTATACTAATTATCTTTTTTTTTTATGAATTAAATTAATTCAATATCAAGGTATTAGTAATAAAATCTAAAAATAATATCCTAATTAATTTATGTTAGCAGCTGATATCATGATTTTCTACAGCTGTTGGGGAAATATTTTCTACTAAGCTGTGATAGCGAATAATCAACTTTTATCAGCTGCTGTAACTACAATAACAAAAAAAATAATAACATTAGTGTTATGAATAGAAGCGAAGATAAATATTTTGTAACCAAATTTATTAATCTGGAAATTAATGTATTATTAAATTTAAAAAACAAAAAATATTTTAACTAGTTTTAAAATTTTTAAAAATAAAAATTTATATGGTAAGTTTAGTAAACAAATTATGAAATTCACTATAAACATAATTTTGTATGTTTAATATAAATATTAAAACTTTGAAATCATTAATCCTTGGAAATTCTTTATAAGGATTTATTGTTGAATACCAGTAGCGTACCCAGAATTTCATAAAAAAAGGGGAAACATAGTCTAAAAAATCTACAAAAATTCATATTTTAAACCTTTTTTTATGAATATTGCTATCAATAGGGAGTCAATGTAATTTTTTAAATGACAAATACTTGTACTTTTATCTTTTTTTTTTTATGCATAAGAAAATCTTGTTTAAATATTCTAAAATATTAATTTGAAATAATATACAAAAGTGTACTTAACACTCCAATTTTTTATTTTTCTTTACATGTATAATGAATATTCTATTACTATGTGTGTTAATATTAATGATTATAGTTTTGTTTGGTTTCCTAGCACCTAAATACATTATACCATCCACAATATCTGTCATTATGATTGATAATAATTGAAATTCAATATCTAAATATTATTTACAATTGGAACATTAGTATACAGTCTTTGTTGAGTAACAATAACAGACTTTAAACAAAATTACTAACAAGTTACCAGAGTAGTTCAAATAACTATTTTTCAAAATAAATAATTTTTTAATTGTGAAAATTATTTCATATTGAAGTCTTTTATGAAATCATTCTTTATATTTATTTTGTTTTATAATTCCAGATATTATTGGTATATTTAAAATGAATTCAGAAAGCAAATCAAGTGAAGATAGTCAAGATGATAAATCATCTCCGCCAAAACTAATTCCTGGAACTCATCGAAATATGTATGTAAATTTTATTTTTATTATTATCAAAGAATTAATTAGGAAGTCATTAGCTTAATGATTATTTACATTTTAATTAGATTATGTCATAAATTTTATTTTTTCTTTTCATTCCACTAAAAATGTATTATTTTTCATCTTTCCATTTATAAAAGTTTTATAAAAAAAACTAGTAAAAATTAAATTTTTTTTTATGTATTATTTTGCTCAATTTCAGAGATCTTTTGAATGTGTTAACATTATCATATCAATTTCAAATTTAACAATTTACTTTTATTATTAATATAAGGAATTAGGTGGCTATCCTAATATATTTAATAAGTATTTATACATTTTAGTTTCAATATGTAGCCAAGAAGTTATTGGTTTTGCTCTACCATGTTTTATTTTTGTGTCAGTATACACAATTACTTTGCTCCTACTAAAACAATTATGCTTCTCAACTATATTTAAAAAAATCACAAAACATATTTAGTTGAAGCTAATAGTGCTATTATAGTAAAAAAATCACTAAAACCCCAATAATAAATAGAAATATCCTAAAAAATTACAGTTGTTATAAAACAATAATGATTTTTTTCTGAGTTTTTCTAGTTATTTTTTTTTTTCATTATTAATTTGATGTTAGAGATATTTTTGATAGAGAGACCCAACTAGGTTTATTCCGATCTATAACATTCTAAGAACTACTGCTTGTACGAAAAAGAATGAAAAATTACAGGTTCAGCGCAAGAGAATTGAACCACAGTTGACATATTGGGCAATAAGGCCCAATGTATTACCAATTGAGCTAAGTAGGCCGCCTGTTAGGCACTGTAATTTTTTATCATTCAAAAAAACCTGATTACTTATTAAATGCCTTACTTATACCTTTAAGGTTACTTATAATTTATTAAATTAAAGCTAATACAATTTACTTTTAAATGAAAAAAAAAAAAACTATTTATATGAGTTATTAGCTAAACCTAATTATATAATTTTTGGTAAATATATTAAAATTTTTTAATTTGTTTACATATAAAAGTGTTTAACTAGTAAATGTAATCACTTTCAGATATCAATAAATATTAATAAAAAAAAAAACTCCTCAACTCCATATCACTAAATATCATCTAAACTTATCTTTTTAAATCACTTTTACTAATTTTTTTCCTAATATCACTAATCCATCCACCTCTGAGAACCTCATATAATTTATACATATAATGTATTTTTATAGATAAATGATTTTATTTTTATCAAACATTTTAAATGAAAACTAAACAATTTTGTTCTATTAAAATTATTTGTTCACAAATATATTAGTGAATTATTAATTTTTAATTTATTTAATCTTTTTAATTTTGTAAATTTTTATGATAAAATATAAAAAATTAATATTTTTTAATTTAAAAAAATTTAATATATCAAGTTTTGACTTAAAAAAATTTTACTGACGTCATGAACCTTATCAATTTAGAACCGAATTATTAATCTGAAGGCATTTAAATTCTCAGAATGAAGTAGAGGAATTGATACCAAATATTATGCATTTTTAATTAAAAAATGTAACCATTCAACCGTTCTTTATTTTGAAATGCTTCTAATTAGTATAAGTAGAATAGATTCTCTAACAATTTATTGGTTCACAAAATGAAACATAAAATATACTTAAAAAAAATTGTTAGTACTTTTTAGTATATCTTTCTTGTTTACTATTTATTTTTCTGTTCCTTTAAATATCTTATTATTTTAGGTTCAGAGAAATGTTATGTAAATTTTTTATTGCACTAGGTCTAACAGCATGACAGATGCGTCACCTCCAAAATTTTTATCATTGCCAGAAATTATGGTAGCTGCAAAAAAATTAGAAGATATTGCTCTTGTCCATGAAATTGCAGTTAATGAAAACTTTAAATTGCAACCAAATGAACCACCAAATGATAGGTAAGATTTTTATTATAATACTTTTTCTTTTTGATTGACTCAACATACATGAATTACATTTTATTAGCTTTATGAAACAAGTGAAAGACACTATGCATAAAGCATTTTGGGATTTATTGCGTGATCAATTAAATAGTGACCCACCTGAATACTCCCAAGCTATGATTCTCCTAACAGAAATCCGTGATGTATAACCAGCTAAAATTCTTTATATTTTATATTTATAATTACTTATGATTAATTAAAATACTCTGCTTTAATGTGTTATAGAGCTTACTAAGCTTATTATTGGATCAACATACAAAAGTTAAAGATGAAATAAATCACATATTGGATGTACAATTCATACAAAATCAAATTGATAATAATTCATTAGATTTTGAAGTAATTTTTGTAATTATTGAAATTTCGTTTCTCCTTAGTTTTAACTTACAAATACTTTTAATTTATATAGTATTATACAAGATTTATTCTCAACTTGATGAAAAAAATGTGTGCTCCTGTAAGAGATGAATCGATTAATTCTCTAACAATTTTAAAAGATCCTGTAGAGGTGTTTAAAGGAATAGTAGAGGTAACATTTCAATTAAATATTATATGATATATTACTGTTTTGATAAAGTAAATCTATACAAATAATGTCAAGTAAAAATAAGTTATAAATATTAATTGGTTTAAATATATAATTTGATGTATAAAGAATAGTTAGCGGGGTTATATTTTAACTTAAGTAGACAAGGCAACTGCCTAAAGTCCAAAATTTTAGGAAGCCATCTTGGTATGTTAACTAGTAATTTTTCAAAATTTTTTTTATTTAATGAAGTATCAAAATGTAGTAGAGGCTTATTAACAAGATGATGGGATCCAAACCCTCAATCAACATAAAATCATGGTAGTAAGAAAGAGTGGAAAGGTAAAACCCCCATTAATTTACATTCTGGACATTATATGAACTCCTATAACAAATTCCTAAATACGCCACTGAGGAAGGTTCCTTCCTCAGGATTTATTAACTGCTTAGGGGCCTTGAGATTCCAAGTCTGGCCTTAGTAGATAATTTATTTATTTTTTAATACCTACTCGGTATAAATAATAATAAATGTTTATTTTATAGACTTTAAGTTTAATGAAACTTGATATGGCTAATTTTACAATAACTGCTCAAAAACGAGCTTTTAATGCATGCAGTGCTGAATACGAACGAGAAAAATTTGCTGAATACTTAAAAGTGAAACCTGGTAGTAAAACAATTATTTAACCAATTAACCTTTTAATTAAATAATTGTTATTTGGTTCTAATAGATGCCTTAAATTTAACTGAAGAATGGCTTAAACGTCATATTAACTTAGAAATTCAAACAGAACCATATGAAATTATTATAACAAGAGCATATATGGAAATATTTCATTGGGATGAAAACATTGTATTTCCAGAGGTAAATTATTATATATCGTAAGAATAGCATTTTATTTTATTATTTATTTTTCAGTATATTTAGTATACATTAAATATATTATCTGTAATATATATTATATATACATTTTGATAAAATCACAGACAATTATAATGTTCAGTAATTTAAAAACTATTATTATTATTATTTTTAATTTTTTTGATTAAAAATATGTCAATAATATTATTGAAGTGTAATTGGTCATAGAAGAATATATTGAACATAAAATGTTTACTATCTAAATATCTCAGGTTACACTTATTAATGGAAAAAATAAATTAACAAATTAAATTTTTTAATATGCTAAAAAATACATTGATTCAATATTAACATAATTTTCATAAGATCAATAGTATATATTATTTTTAAATCAAATTTAAATATTTTTAGGCATTAGCATTAGACAAGGAAAGATATTTAAGTGTTAATAGAATTTTGGATCTTTTAATAATTACAGCATCTGCATTTATTGTCACAATTTCATCAATTAGTAACACAATACCTAATGATCCAGCATTTAAAGAGTTGTTAAAAAATCATATTTTAGTAATATTAAAAGATAGTAATACTGTATATAAGTAAGTTCATAAATTTAATAATGAATATTGACAAAAAGAAACAATTTAACTATTACAATTTTCTAGAAATAATTGCTCATTGTTACCAAATATTGTTGAACAAGCTATTAAAGATACAAATGAGTACTTAGAATCCATTAATAGATCACTATTATCCCAAGATGTTATGAATACAATTGAATCTCAAGTCTTATGTATAATGGAACCAGAGCATAAAATAAGAACACTAGTTGGTAAATATCTTTATTTATAATAGCTAATATTTATTGTTAAAAATCACTAAGTATTTAAAAATATTTATACAGGTATCATTTTAATTCATTAAATATAATTAGTATTATCATTTTTATATATTATGAAAGAAATTGAAGGGTTAATTAAATTATAAATTAATAACTTATAAAACAAAATAAAAGAAAAAAGTTATTTATATTTAAAGTTTAATATAAAATTTAGAAACCCAATATTTTATCAATACAATAAAAGAATAAACATTTCTTTCTTTTTGTTACAAAATCAAACATTTTTTTAATTACTTTTAATTAAACTGAGAATCTCATAAACAACTAGAGTGATTCCATAACTATGTCTGATCAAATATCTTTTAAAATATATATATATTTTTTTAACAGTAATGATTAATTTTTTTAATATTATAACAAAAAGCCTCGACTAAAAATAATTATTCTTTGTAAGTCAACTCAAAAAATAAAATTTATATCATCTCTTATGTCTTAACTATCATCAACTTGATGATAGTTTTTTAAATGGCTACCTCATTTTTTTTACCATCAGAAGGTTTAATTATACAAAATTAAAAAAAAAAGTTTATAGATAATATTTTTTATTTAATTAAAAATTCAGTTAGTTAAAAATCTTAAGGGAGATGAAAAAAATAAGCATTTTTTTCTACAAGATGTATACACTATAAATTAAAAAACCCTACAAATTTTTAGCATTGCAATGAACAGAATTGTGTAAATGCTTATTTTTTTATCTCCCTTAAAATTAAAAGACTCACTACAAATTAAATAAGATTTTTTTAAAATAATTATTATTTTTATTAAATCAAATCTGTTAGTAAAAAAAAATATAGGGTTGCATTTGAGAAACAAAAGTAGATGATAGTTTAAGTCATAACATATGATTAGTAAAAATTAAATTTTTTTTTAAAAGGTGTAGTTAAGGAATCACCATGCAAACATTTAAAATAAAACATTTTAAAATTGTTTTCTTTTTAGAGGCATAGTATCTTATGTTTTATAATTTAAAATAGCATCAATTTAAGATTTTCAAATGGAAATATATTTGTTTAACTCACTTGAAAACAAAGAAATGATCATCATGATCATGAAAACAATAACGATGAAACAAAGAAAATGCCTGGTCATCAAGAACTTCTGGACTAGTATTTTGGATTATGAATAGTACTTTTCCTCCCACTCTAATATAAAAGTGCTAATATCTTTAAAATACTGATTCAAAAATTGATACTGAACAGTCATTTTCTTAATTTTTATAAGTATTTCTTTTAAATATTATTTTTTGTGACTCTTCTATTGACATAAGGTGGTAATGCTTAGTAATAGATAACACATAGACCTTTTTTCATAACAATACTTAATATATATGGAAAATAACTGCTAATTAATTATTGTTATTATTTTTATTACTAACTTCTAAAATATAAAGTGTTTTATTATAATTATAGAGCGAAGATTTAAAGAATTCATTATGGCTGTGATTAGCTGTAACAATGCAATTCCTCAACAATGTCCTCTTGGATTATCAGCTTTTAAAGATGAATTGGCTTCAGTTACCGGGAGTTTTTTGCAACTTGTTACATATAATAGAAAAGTATTTTCTTCGTTCTATAAAAATATTTTAAATAAATATTTGAACTCTTCTGATACACTCTAATTTACTTTCATTTGACTATTAAAATTAGACTGTGCTAAAATAAATGTAACAATTTTTTATAATAGTTATACTGAACCATTTAACAATATTTTTTTTTTCTAAAATTTAATTTATTCTTTTGTTGTATATTATATAAAAATGTATTAACTAACTGAATTACTAATTATTAATATTTATATTTATTTAAATAATTCTTTGTATATAATTTTCACACTTTATATTTATTCGAATTGTATCCCTATTTTATGTGATAACTAAAAAATATATAATTTCTTTTAAGTTTTAATTTGTTAATTTAATTGAATGAAATAAAACTTTTTTTTCATCTTCCACTAAATATTCTTTAAAAATAAGTTTGTTTGTTACATTACACATTTTAAAGGTATATGCTAAAATGTAGGTAAAAACCCTTATTTTTTAAAAATTCCACGAAGTATTTGTTTAGTTAATTTCTTGTGACCTAAAATGTGATTAAAGTTGAAATAAAACCACAAAATATTTGTTTTATTTCCAATTTTATAAATGTATCCGTACATTCCCTATTGTTTATATCATACATTCTCATTAACCTTTTAATGAATAAACTTATGAATATAGAAAACAACATAGACAGTGATCGGTTTTTCATAAATAACTCGATTACTCGCAAAATAAATACAATATTGGAAAAAAAGTTATGGTTTTTTTAATTACACTTACTTCTTGATTATTAAGTATTATCCAATGCTTAGAGGTCCCTAGGAAAAAAAATCCTGATTAAAAAATATATGCAAATAATACTTACAGCATACTTTTTATAAATGTTCACAATTTTAGTTTTTTATTGACAATTGGTAAATGATAAATCTAAATTCTGAAAGTTAAACTCTAGAAATTCATATATTTATCATGTTGTTTCATAATTTAAAGACACTTATTAATACTAATATGTCTACAAGATATTGATCCAGCAGAGTAAGCTTACTAATTCAGAGACAACCGTTTTTTTATTTTGTAACAAGTAAATATTATTTTTTTAATATAAGTAAAATTGAATCACAAATACAGGTGATTTTCATAAGGTATTTTGATAATTGATAAGAAATTGATAAAAGATTACTAACCGGTTAAAAAAGTTTTGTAAATTTCTCAATTTAATAATAAGGCAAGTTTACTCTATATCAACTTAGAAGTATATAATATTTTGATTATTATTTAAACAGCATAAATTTCAATAATTTGTGCTAGCATTTGCTTCAATTTACTATGAATTTTATGATAATTACTATAAAATGACTTTAGATTTATATATTCTTATTACTTGTGTAAAATTATTGCTTATACCGTCTTAGTAAGTTATAGTTCAGTAATAATCAAGTTAAAATCAGGTTTAGTATTGACTTTTTTTTTTACTTTTGTAGCTTCTCGACCGATTTTGAAGTACATCGTAATTGGCTTGCTACAACTTATAGTCTTCCCTTATCTCAATGGTATTCTGCAAAACATTCAGAATGGACTCTAGATTATCCACCATTATTTGCTTGGTTTGAATATATTTTATCTAAATTAGCCGTGTATGTAGACAAAGATATGCTGTCAGTAAATAATTTAAAATATTCATCATCAGACACAATTATTTTTCAACGACTTAGTGTTATAATCTCTGATAGTGTATTTTTCTATGGATCTCATAAGTATGTTTATAAATATACATATATGTTAAATGTACGATTTAAACAAATTTGTTTAAAATATTAATTAATTTTAGCAAACTTATTTTCAGGTGTGTTCAAAATATCGCTTTAATAATACCAAAACATATAAAAAAACAGAAATTATTTAATGAAGATAAAAATACTATAAAAATTTTTCTCGTAGCCAATGTTACATTATTACTCCTTGATCATGTTCACTTTCAGTACAATGGCTTTTTATTTGGGATACTACTTATTTCAATATCACATATCTTAAAAGTAATATTTATATTTCTCTTTAAAATTAAAAAAATATCCTTATATAATGTAATAATAAGATTTTTACTTATTTGTTTAATTAAAAATTTTATTAAATAAAATTCCTAAATTAATATTTCAGGGTGAAAATTATTGGAGTGCTTTTTGGTTTTCAGTTTTATTAAATTTTAAGCATATTTATTTATATTTAGCACCAGCATATTTTATATATTTGTTAAAACATTTTTGTTTGAAACAAAATACTTTAACAGCTTTGCGGCGTTTGTTAAAACTAACTGTTATTATTTTAATTGTATTTGGAATATCTTTTGGACCATTTATATGGTATGGCCAATTATCACAGGTAATAAATTAAATATAAATAAATCAATTTTCTGTTATATACTATAATGTTTTATGTATATTTTCAGGTTTTACATCAACTATTTCCTTTCAAAAGAGGTTTGTCACACTCATATTGGGCTCCTAATTTTTGGGCATTGTATAACACTCTCGATATTGGAGCTAAATTAGCATGTAATAAAATATTAAATTGTATTAAAAATAATGATTTAATTTAATATGTATTTGGGGTGACACTAAGATAGTCTAATAGAATAGCACACTTCCTTAATTTTCATCAGTCAGTCAAATATATTTAGTTGCCTCTTAAAAAATTCACATCACTACATCTCTGTGCCTAAATGTAATCAAGGATGTCCATAAAACTTTGTAGGGCAAACAATTTTTTCTTTGTGTTTTTGTCAATATTTGATTTCACTATATGACTATCTAAGGACAACATAGTTTTTTTTACACTGTATTTCATATTCAAATTTAATAAAAATAAAAAAATTTTATTTTATAATTTTAATACAAAATTATTAGAAAATTGACCATGCATACAGGCAATGGGAGATAACTCCCTATTTTGTCCGCTTGAAAACCTTTTAGTATAATTGCTATATTTAAAATTTTTTAATAATAATAATTTTTTTCAAGTTATTGAATCTAACTGATAATTATTGTATACATTTGTTTTATTTGTAATAATAAAATTTTATCATTATTAGATTCAAAAAATAAAATAATAGTAATATTAGAAAAATGTTAATATTAATTTTAGTTCTATTATTTTAGTGAAATTCCCTGTGTTTTAGGTAAAAATTTCGGATTTCTTAAAAAAAATGAAACAGCATCTATGACTGGAGGATTAGTTAAAACATTTAAGCATTCCATTTTGCCATCAATTACTCCTCAAACTACATTCATATTGACATTAGTATTCATACTGGTAAATATTCATTCAATATATATTTTAAAAAAAACATATTTTTAAATAATTTTTTTTATTTTAGCCTTGTTTATGGAGGTTATGGAATTCAAAAAAATGCTCAATAGATTTTATTCAATGTCTTGTGTTGTGTGGATTGACATCATTTTTATTTGGTTGGCATGTTCACGAGAAAGCAATACTTTTAGCTGTTATACCATTAACGTATTCTTCAAAAACATATAGAAACATTTCATGTCATATCTCATGAATTTTTATTTTTCAGATTATTGGTTGATGTGTCATCTTGTGATTGTGCTGTATTCACTTTATTATCAACAATTGCTACATACTCAGTGTTCCCGTTATTATTTGAACCATTAGAATTTCCTACTAAAACCTTACTTTTTTTGGTTTATGTTTACTTTTTGTATAAGCGTGGTAAATTTAATTCACTATATAGTATAGAGCGGTACTATTTAATTAGTCTTGGACCATTATTATTGTTAACAGATATTGTAATAATCTTTCTTGGTCTCAAAAATAGATACCCATTTTTACCATTATTACTAACTTCCTTTCATAATAGCATTGGTGTATTCTATTGCTGGTTAAAATATTATTTTTATAATTTATACTCAAACTCAAATCAGAGTAAGTATAAAGATAAATAAATATTTTATTTTTATGTAAATTATAAGTTTTGTATAATTGTACAAAATTATTTTTAATAAAATTTTATTTTAACTAGTAAAAACCAATATTGTTTATTTCAATATACAATAAGTAAAAAAATCATTGTTATTTAATTAGATTACTTCAAATAATTAGTGTAATTTCAATCATTTTTTCATTTTATTTTCATTGCTCTATAACTATTAACAATTAAATTTTCATTTGTTAAAAATTAATTATGATTGATAGATATTCTTAATCATTTAGAACTTTCAAAGTCTATTTAACTTTTTGTTTGCCATAAGAAATTCATGTAAGACGATAAACTCTTCTATGATTTTCATTTATTCGTTTGAGAAGAATTGTCTAATTTTTCTAAAAATGTAAAAATACACTGAATACTATTACTTAAAAATTCATTTTAAAATAAAAAAACGGTAGCATAGTGAGGACGAGACATAGTTGGGACAAGTATAGATGATATCTGATAGTGAATAAAATCACTATCATAAGAAACACTTCGATGCAAATTTGTAGATAGTGTTAGATTTTAAGAAATTGGTGGATTATCTAAAAAGCAAAATTAACTTCTATTTTTTGTTTATCTTCGACTACTATTTGCACATAGAAAATAGGACAATTATTAGAAAATCGGGACAAATATTTTTTTTTAACTTATAATACGTAACACAATCTTTAATTTAACATATATTTAAAAGACGCAGTATAACTTGAACATTTTCAAAAGTTATGTTGAAAAATCTGACTTTTGTAAAAAAGCTGATATATTAAATTCCCCTCTATAGTGAAAAACTGGTCAGAAATTCAAAAAAATTCCTAAGGTTTCTATTTAAAAAAAATTATTTTAGTACGTTCATTTTTCAAAAACATAACTGTTTTACGAGAAAAAAATGTCAAAATTTACTGATTTTAAAAATTGTAATATATGGGGGGTTTTCTCCATTTACAGGGAACGAAGGAATTTTTTTCAATTTTTAAGGGCAATGTATTCAACTAGATATGATTTGTGATATTTTGACATATAGTTAAAAGAAATCGGTTTAGTGAGAGCTGAGAAAAAGTGATGACACAAAAACGCATTGAAGCTAAAATATACCAATAGTCTTTTTTTTTATAAAAAAAAATAAATAATATTTTTACCAAAAATTTGTTAACCTATGAAATAAATGGATAATAATTTAATACTTTTTTACACTGATGATTAATATCAAATATTGGAAGTACAATTTTGATATTATATGCAATATTTTAAATTAATAAAACCCTTTTAGTGATAATTTTTTTTTTATATATAAAATAGACTATTATTACAATAAATAAAAAACAGCTGAGTAAATCCAATACCTTCACTAAGGTAAAATACATATCAACTGTTTGTAGGCTAATTAGAGTAAGCGACATTTTTATCAACAATTTTTTCCCCTAAAACATGAAATTAAATTATGGATATTTAAAATCAACTGAATCTGAATATTTTTGTCAAAATGTCACACCTATTAGCTGGTAAACAGTAGATATCCTTGTTTGTTGTGGAATACATAAACTGCATGATAATATACAGAATGTTCAGTAAGTAAGGAAATATGTCAATTGTTACAAACCAACCCGTTTCCTTACTTACTAGGCTGTTCATTATAGTTTCATTAGATTGAATAATGATTAAAAAAAATTTCCGGGAGAAATAATCCACCAGTTCAAGAACCTGAATGGTTCTTAAAATATTGCTTATTAGAATCATATAATTTAAATGCATTTTTTAAATTTCTCTAATTTTTAAAGCATTTTCTTCAATAAGTATAAAAAAAATAAGACATTTTTAATGATTGTTAAAACAATCATATTTTGATTATTTTCCCCTATTTTACAGTGTTAAGTAGTCTGTGTATTTTAAGTCGTATTAATTATTGACATATAAAACAAATTTAAAAAAAAAAGACTTATTAAGTATTGATAAATTAAGCATTTATTTATATGAATATAATAAATGACAACAGCTATATCTGGTCTTCATATTTTAAAGTGACTTTAAAATATTTAAAAATAAAATTGAAATTTTAAGGAAATTTATCTTTTATTCTGGAAAAAAATATAAATTCTTTAGGGAAAAATTAGAGAATTCTATAAATTAAAAAAAAAACATGTACATTTTTGTAATTCGATCACTCGTTATGTTTCAGTGTTTAAGTTATACTAAAAAAATTATAATAAAATTGAGTTCGTTGATCTACTCTGAGAACGTCAAGTTTTTAATTGATTGCTAAATTCACTACTAGTAGTTATAGGAGTTATTCCAGTGAAAATCTAACTGTATATTTAATTTAAAATAATAATTTATAACACAAATCTTTGTAGAAAAAGATCAAATTATTATTTTTTAATTCCCATCCGAAAAGTTTTTATGACAACTGGAACGCCAAAAATATCCCGGATAGATTACCATTGCTTGCTAAGTTAGTGGGGACAAGATGGCTAATTTAAGCCATCTCAAGATTGAACAGTCATCTACAGACGCTAGTCGGAACTCCGTCGGTATACATATTATATTTTTGTAAGTAAGTTCCTTTATGTTTTTTTATTTTTAATAAAATTTAAACGATTAACTCATAAAAATAAAACATTTTTTGTATTTTTATAAAATTTATTATTAAGTTAAGTTGAAAAATTATAGAAATATCTAAATAAAAGATTTAATTGGATATATAAATTTCAATTTTTCAAAAATTTTAATTAATTTTTGAATTGTTTATTATTATAGAAATATATTTAAATAAAAATCTTGAATACCAAATAATGGGGTACTTAGTCTAATATTGATTTACATTTATAATATTGATGCTGATGTTATAAAAAATAAAATCTCACATTTTTCAATTAATTGTCCTTTTTATAATATTTAAGGGTACATTTGAAATTTATTCCAGAGCGCACTTTTGATTACTCCAATAAAAAATAATAAGCAAATACAATGAATTAATGTACATTTTTAAGACTATATTCTATGATTAAGACCAATAAAATGATTGAACTTAAAATAAATTAGGTCTTATATTTCACTAAATGGTAAAAATTTTATATAAATAGATGTGTTAAGAGATTGTGAATCGTTAAAAGGCAATGTTGGCTGACGGTAACCGCTGCGGCTAAAAATAGCTCACAATCCATTCTCCTACACCAATTCTTTTAATATTCACTCGTTCGTCGAGTAAACCTATTTTTTAATGAAATACACTAGTGTATTAAGGAATTCAATTATTACATGATTATTTTCAGAGAATAATAATAACAAATAAACTTCAACATGTCTGACGACGAAGAACAGTATACGTGAGTAAATTAATATATTTTCTTATAAATACATGATAAAAGTAGTCCTGTAAATAGCTTTAAATGATCTCAGTCAATCAGAAATTTTAAGTTCTTACATTATAAACATTTTTTTAATTATATGTTTAACTTTGCATTATATCAGTGTTTATTATTTCATTGAAGTTATCGGAAATTAACTTTTTTACCCATATATAAATATCAAAAATCAAATACCCTTGTTCGAATACATAAGCGTGCGTAGACTTGGGTTTGAGACAATAAAGACCTACACCAGCCGATTTTACAAAAAATTTAATCTAAGATTCTTAGAGTCTAAATTAATCGATCATAAATATTTCAGGAGTAAGTAATTACCCTTTCTATTTCCCCTTCCCTCCTTATAAGTAGAAGCATCACTAGAAAATTTTGCTTTATCTTATATTTAACATTTTACTCGACAAATACTAACAATTGATAAAATTCATAATAAGTATAGTAATAAATAAAATAAAACCTCATGCTAGTATCAAATAATTGTTATATAATTAAAGTATTGAACAATACGATCAATATAAATTTTTTAATAATATTTAACTTTTATTTATTCTGATAGGCTGCTATGGCATAATAAGTTATTATTTCTATGAAAGTTGTGCTAAATTGTTTTACATATTTTTAGTTAAACTTTGTTAATATACCAGACCAGTCGAAAACTGACAAAGCACCCTTTGCACACGCCTATTCAAACTAAATTTCCTTGTTAAACTTATTTAAATAAACAACTTATACTTATATATTCCTATTTTATATTTTCCTATTTATATTTTTAATAATTAAAAAATTATATAAGCATGTAATAATACAATACATTTTTAATATATTTAAACTTTATAACATAATATGTTTCAGTGAATCCGAGGAGGAAATTGAAACGTAAGTTTCATTATAAATAAAATTTTTATATGCTTATAAATTGCTTTTGCTGAAGTATGAGAGAAAGAACTTGTGAGGAGTTGATGAGGCATGATTACTTAGATATTGAAAAATTAAGACTCGGACGTAGCAGATTAAAGTTTGGAAAAATTGTAAATATCGAAAGAGTTTAAAAATAAATTCAGTGACTTTTAAAAATTTAGTTTTGAACGTTTTATGACGTTTAAAATAATTATTTACCACCACTAGTTAGTCACTGTTTTTATTTTAAGCTCAACAATGCTTAAAGCGCTGCTCATTTATAATGTAAATATTTTATAAGCCAAATTATTTGCACACCTATTAAATATCCAATAGTTTTATTTTGGCTTATTTAGTATATCTACTTAAAGTGTACAGTATATGCAATTTTTTTACTTCCAACAATCGTGCAGCCTTTTTTAACTACATTTTTAAATCTGTGTATCAATTGACTTATTTCCACTTAATTACAAAAGATATTCTTTGTTTTATTTAACTTTTCACTACTCCGATCAGATTAAAATGCATTTTGATGTTTTATTGCATCACTGTACACTATATATTTTTAATTGTTGGAAATTATCTACATATAATTAAATCGTCAATTTTTGACGCAGGCAACCAGAGCCTGAAAAGAGCAAAGAGTAAGTTATTTGCTGTGGGACTTAAAGTTAAACAAAAAATAAGTGTTTCAAAGATTATAAAGTAAACTCTGAATAAAATATAAAGTAGAAAATAGAAAAGCTTAGTGCAAACAATTGAAAGAAGCATTAGTTTACGCAGTATTGTTTTGCTCAATTAGTTATTAAATAACTAATTTTGTAGATGGCAGATTGATTATTACTAGTTTTTGACTCTTTTAAATTGAAAATGAAGATATTTTTTTTCAATATTTGAATTAATATTAGCTAATAAAAATCTGTAATGTTTTTACAGTTCAAAATCATTAATGAAATAAAATATATACTTATGGTATTAATGAATGGTACATTACTAATTTTAGAATTGTTGTAGTAGATATATTATTTAAAATATCAATTTTGTTTGCAAATTTGAACTAACAACAAATAATGCATGTCTTTACTATTATTATTGTACTTTTTAAGACTGGCGATAGGCCACATGGCATAGTTACTAAAATTTATTTTTATTTCGGCAATATATTCTGTTACAGTTTTCTAGTGCCAGAAATATTTAAATGACCCATTTATTAATCACATATTAAAAATAATACTTCGCCTTTTATTATGTATAATTGTTGTGTCAAAATCTAAAAAAAATTTGTTATTAAATTATTTAAAACTACTAATTTTATTTTTATTTTTTATTAATTATTTTTAGTGGCGATGGAGATCCGGAATTCGTCAAGGTAATTTTAATATATAAACTAACTATGTTAGAGTTAGCTAAGTTAAGTTTATTTTTTTTATTAAATATTTATTAATTGTTTTTTAATGATCTTTTTTATTTTTAAAATTCTTCTTCGAAAATCTTAGTTATTGTTATAATTTTTTTAATTTGTTAATTACAAGTTTTATTCTGGAATTTCCGTTATGCAGTTAAAATTACTTATAGACAGAGTAGTATATGTACTATTAAAAAATGATTTATCACGTAATTCCCAATAAAATTATAATTGATTACTTGGCTAATCAACTAAAAATAAATAAAATTCACCAAACACTACAAGAAACATTTTGAAAAATTTTTTGAATTTTTGGATACGGGTATTTTGAAAACAATATTTTCATTATCAACGTCAAAAAAATTAATCTCAGGGAATTATCAAAAACTTTTTGATAGAAAGTTCAGATGAACTTTAGTTTAATCCGACAAATTTTCTATTAAAGCTAGACGACTTTATTTTTCTTCACTTGCCGTGTTTGTTTTCATAAACGGATTAACTTAAAATTGTTGTTTTATGTCTAGGTTAAGTGAAATAAAAGCTTAAATACCTTTTGATTGTAACTATTAATTAACAGGAACGGTCTTATTCAGTCTTTACCTGTCATTGTACATCGTTTATCATTATATTTGTACTTTAGTAACTATATTATAAAAACTGATAAGTCGATTTAAGCAAGTGTTTAAAGAAAAAAAAATTTAAGTTTCAATAGTGATTAAAACAAAGGGACAAATGAATATTTCTTAATAATACTATAATAAATATATATATATTGTGCACAAAATCCAGTAAATAGTAGCTATAATATTTATTTGATACCCCAATTAAAATTAATCAATTTTCAACAGAGGCAAGAAGCAAAATCTTCTGCACTCGACGAACAACTCAAAGAGTACATATTGGAATGGCGTAAACAAAGAGGAAAGGAAGAAGATGACTTAAAAAAATTGAAAGAAAAACAAGCTAAGCGTAAGGTAATGCGAGCTGAAGAAGAAAAACGTATGGCTGAGAGAAAGAAACAAGAAGAAGAGCGCAGACAAAGAGAAGTTGAAGAGAAAAAACAGAGAGACATCGAGGAAAAACGTAAGCGTTTAGAAGAAGCCGAAAAGAAACGTCAAGCTATGATGGCTGCCCTCAAAGAACAAACCAACAAATCCAAAGGACCCAATTTCACCATCAGCAAGAAAGAAGGCGTAAGTGATTTCTTATAATTCTACAATACATATTAATTAAATAACCAAAAATAACTTTAGTTGATCACCAAATACAATATATTTTATGATAAAAATGTTTGAATTTAGTTAAACCTATCTTCTGCCCAATTGGAACGTAATAAGACCAAAGAACAAATTGAAGAAGAAAAGAAAATTTCGTTAAGTTTTAGAATCAAACCTTTGGTCATTGAAAACCTATCAGTGCAAAAACTTCAATTTAAAGCCACTGAACTGTGGGACCAGATCGTGAAACTGGAAACCGAAAAATACGATTTGGAGGAAAGACAAAAAAGACAGGACTACGACGTAAGATTTTCTACAAACTTTCAAAACTATGGTTCTTAAAATAAAATATAAATATTTATTCGTTTAGTTAAAAGAGTTGAAGGAACGTCAGAAACAACAACTCCGTCACAAAGCCTTGAAGAAGGGACTCGACCCCGAAGCCTTAACAGGCAAATACCCAGTAAGAAAAACTAGTTTAAGACTCATAGACGACCTTATCATAAAAAACATAGGTGCTGCTAACAGAAATGTATTTAAAAATGCATAATGGAATACGAAACATTTTTAAGAGACGTATCGATAATTTTACATTATTTACATTTTCACATTTTAAACCAAAAAACAAATTGTCTTTTATATCAACAATAGTATGACACATATGTCAATGCGTTCTTCAATTACGTCACTGGGCGTAAATGTAACAAACAATTTTTTTTAGAAAAATGGCCACATAATTTAGCTTTTTTTTTAATAGGCTTAATAAAAGTCTTTTAGAAAAAAGGCAAAATCGTTTTTCTTATTTGCATCAATAACTATCAATATTAATTTGTGACTTTCATTATTTATAGCCCAAGATCCAAGTCGCTTCGAAATACGAGAGGCGAGTAGACACCCGGTCGTATGACGACAAAAAAAAATTGTTCGAAGGAGTAAGTGAATACTATTTTATTATTTCAGATTTTTTTTTTACAAAATATTGTTAAAAATAAATAAAATAGGGTCTGGAAGAAATGTTAGGAGAAAAGAACGAGTTTAATTGGAATCGTAGATATGAATTGTTCATGAAAAGAAGTAGAAGTATGTTACTTGAACATTGTGTATATAATCTGCACGATAGAATACCTTGCCTTCTATTTCAGTGTTCGTAAAATTTCCTAAGAAAGAGTTAAAAACCTTAATTTTATTTTAGCTATCCAATTTTAAACGTTATAAATAAAACACAAACCTTAAATTACCAGTTTTAGTAATGAAAGACTCAATATATTAACCACTGACTGCTTGATCACCTCAATATCATACCAGTTTCCTTTAAATCTACTGCATAATTAATTTTTACTCAATTATATAACTTAGAGACATCCGAAAAGGTTTTTTATATTATAATTCTAGACATAAAATGTATTAATTGGTATTTGACTCTGTGTTAATATTATTATTCCCCAATTAATTTAGAATTGAAATAAGTATTAAAAATAAATTTACTAATACATTATTGAGGCAATGTCTATTAAGGTTGTTAAAATGATAGTACAAAGTAACCAATATCTAGATTCCAAACATATATTTTTGTTATAAATCCTATTTTGTTTAAACCTGCATGTTTGTTATCCCACATGTAACGTTTCGTTTTTAGGGCTACATGGAATCTAACAAAGAGTCGTTAGAAAAACAATGGTCCGAGAAAAAAGACCAATTCGGAAGTCGAGGCGGTGGTAAGTACATTTAATACTTCAAGATATTAAAAAAACTGTATAATGATTTTTCTAACAATATCAATCTCTTCTATTTTCGACTTGAGTAATTCAACTATGGTATAAATAGAAGTTTTATTAATTACTTTATACTCTTTGTCAAAGAAATCGACTACTTGCAATATTTTATTGAGTACTTCGTTCCTGTTTTTAAATTAAAACCTCTGTACTTCAAATTACTTTAAATAAAGTTAATTTAATATGTCTAAATAGTTATTTTAATATTTTGTAATTATCATGACTTTCTGTAACTTTGATCATTTATTTAATGAATTAATAACACTAATTGCCTTTAATTGGATTGCTAAGTTAAGAAAGGGGAGATGCCACAATAAGTAAATTTTCTATAAGGTACAAAAATCAATTTGCATTTAACAGTACATGACGTTTTTCTGCACTCGATGCATATTTAAAACAATTTGTATGTAAATAATTTACATTCAACAACTAATATTCTTTTACCAAATATTGGACATGTCTCCTTTCTGAACTTGACAATTTAGTTGAAATGACTATTTTTGTTTTGAACCAGCACCCATTTTATAAGAAACCTAGATAGACAGGCGCAATTAGGGAAGCTTAAACCCCCAAAAATATCGAAAAAGATATATTTTGATGTATAAAACATTTTAGGATGAGGGAAAAGTTATTTAACACCTCTACATTTTTTATTCTAGTTTCTCTCATGACTAAATTAAGTTTTAATGAACTCTTATGGTTATTATTTCAAAACAAAAAAATGTTTTTTTTCGGCTTGTTTCTCAATGAAATATCTGATTTTTAAACTTAATTTTGGAGCCTGTAGAACGTCTAATTACCTATACACCTAATTCCTAAATAAAAAAAAACATTTAACATAAATAGATCGTTCATACATGAAAAGGTAACAAAAAATCATTTTGTCTAATTAAACAAAAGTGTATGAATTTATTTGAATAAAATAAAATGTATGAATTTAATAATTTTGAATTTTAAATAATAAAAAAGCGAAGCATGGAAAAAATAATTTTTTTTTTTTAGGACGACTACCTAAATGGTTCGGTGAACGTCCAGGTAAAAAGAAGGACGACCCTGAAACTCCTGAAGAAGAGGAACTTAAAAAGAACGAAGAAGACGAAGAAGAACCATTTGCCCTCGACGATGAAGCCGAAGAAGAGGTACATTTATTAGACATGTAATAAAATCTACAATTTTCTAATATTTGGTGTTTTTGTCATATAGGCTGAAGAGGAAGAAGAGGAAGAAGAGGAAGAGGAAGAGGAGGAAGAAGAAGAAGAGGAAGAGGAAGAGGAAGAGGAGGAAGAAGAATAATATCGTATTTTGGAAATTTTAAAAGACCAAACAACTATAAACTTTTGAATGAACATTAACTTTGCTTCTGCCTCAATGTAAAAATAAAACACTTGATTAATTAATGATGATTTGTTGAATTTAAGTTTATTTATATTGTTAATTAAAACCTTGTTGGGGAAATATAATTTTATATCAATCACACTTCCTTATTATTAAATTAAATGGCTAAAATGTATGCATAACATACATAGTTTATCCTTAATTTAATGCCATTATTTTGGATCCAAATTTAGATTCATTTAGCTATACTGTCGTTAAATAGTAATGGGACCCATTATTTTGTAAAACAACAGTATTTACTATTGAGGTATTTTAAGCCTAAAAAGGTCTTATGGACCTTATAAAAGTGGTCAAATATTTAATAAATACATTCACTAAACAGTAAACATAATAGATAATCATTTTGCAGTAATAAAGTGTAGCTCATGAAGGAAAGGGATTAAGAATAAGTAGGACTAAGACAGAGTATATAAAGTACGAGTTTGACAAAGAAGAACACGAGGTAGGTGAAATGAGAGATCAGTGCAGGGGCGGACTTAGGTATGTGGTGGCCCCTGGGCGGAATGAATTGTGGGGGCCCCTTATACATAAACAAGGAAATATAGTTTTTTACTTATTAAATAACAATTATTATCATATTTGTGATACCAATTTATACCAAATTTGTGGGGGCCCCTGGGCTGCAGCCCACTCAGCCCTCCCCTAAATCCGGCCCTGGATCAGTGACAATAAGCGACGATTGTTATCATTAATATTTTTTTCCTAAGTTTAAAAGGTATGATGAGTTGTACGATAGACTAAAACAAAGGAAGGCGAAAAAGAAGTCTATAGACTAGCAAAAGTAAGAGAAAAAAGGTCTAAAGATTATCACTACGTAAGGTGTATAAAAAGTATTGATAATAGGGTGCTATCGTGTGATGATGATGTTAAAAGAAGGCGGATAGACTATTTTGAAAAATTACTGAATGAGGAGTATCCAAAAGAGACATTAGCGGATATCTCGTGGAACGAGGGGCTGGTAGATTTAATTAGTGAGAAAGAGGTATGGAGGCTGTGGCATCAATAATAAAGAATAAAGCAGTATGGAAAATATTAGGCGGTGTTGTAATGTGTGTGTATAAGTTTATTTTAACCCCAAAGTATAAGTTTAGGATAAAGGTGGTAGACGCCAAGTAGTTGGGATAAAGGCGAGGAAAAAGAAGATTGTAGTTTAATAGATTCATTTAGCTATACTCTCGATAAAAAGTAATAGAATCCATTATTTTGTGATACAGCAGTGTTTACTGATCAGGCATTAATTCTATAAAAATCTCATGAAGCTAATAAAATAAGTGGTCAAATGATAGAAAAATACTTTCATCAAATAGTAAATATAACAGATAATCTACCTATCTTTTAATAACTAGATAGCTTGAATGCTATTTGACACATCTTAATATTCATTTTATATTTTGTACATAAAACATATTCAAAAAAGATTAAATATTTAGAAACCATGGTTTATTTAAATTTTAAATCATAAACAGAAAATTTTATTTTAGTAGCAGTTTTTGATTTTTTTTTATTAAGCGTATAAAGCTCAAAACTAACACATGTATGTAGTGGTCTAAATGTAAAATTTTTTTTAAAATATAACTTTTCTATGTTATACGATTTTTGAAAAGTTTTAATCCATATATGAATAATTAAATGTTATTAAACGTTAATAAAAATATTTATTATTTAATTTAAAATTTAATACACATTTTAATTTAATTTTAAATTTTATTAAATTTAGCACTTTTCTTTTTAATTTTATCTTTTTTTACTGGTTTCCTTCCATTCTTCTGTCTTCTATGCTCTTTAATAATTCTCTGTTTTAATATGTGTTTGGTATCTAATCTCAATCTATGTTCAGATTGCTTTTCTCGCAATTTAGCATTGTGTCGTCCCCATCGGGTATTTAATCTGTAACGGAATACTGGAAAAAAGATACACAACATTAGATATTCTATAATAAAAGTATCATTTTAAAGTACTTAAAATAATTTTTAATTAAAAAAACTTAATCTTTCAACACATTAAATAAGTAAAAAATGACCTTGATAAATTTTATTTAAAATTACAACTTATTGTTAAATTAATTAATATTCTTGCTATGTGATTTTTTGCTTTTACAAAACAACAATTTTACCAATTATATTAATTACACTTACATGGTGCTGTTTTTTTAGCTTCTTCCTCTTCATTATCTTCCAAAACAGCTGCATTTTTCAACTTAGACTTTTCTTGCCATCTTTCATATCTATCACTTTTGTACGTTATAGGAATCCATTGACCAGATTCAGATTTAATTCTTTTCACTTGTTTTTTTTCTAAACTTTGAGCGCTTACATATTTATGGCTAACTGGATCCCATTTACGCTTATTAGTTCTTTGTTTAGCTAATGATTTTTCGGTATCACCCATTAAATCTAATATTCCATCTGTTGACTTCAGCTCATTAACTGCTAATCTATAAAATCAAATTTTATTAAAAATAAAAATAATTAATATTTAAATATATAATTATTTGAATCAAGGAATACTAAAATGTTATTGTTTCACTTCATTTATATGTTACAATATATATATTTATAAATATATTTTTAATCGCTTTCAGCCCATTCCATTTTGAGGGAGGCTGCTACAACAGCCTCCCCCAAAGGAAGAGATTTCTTAATCATTGATACTCCAAAACGAGTGATTAGTCAGTTACCGGAGAGAGAGACAGTGACTCCAATTACCAGACTGATCTCTTGCTCGGCAAATGATGTCACCCATAGCCTAGTTGTAAACCCGAGACAGTGCGGGTCAAGCACTGCCGCATTATTGACTTAGCTACATTGTTGTGTAACAATATTATTTCCAAATAACTAATATTTAATATAATTTTAGTTATACTGCTATTCTTGGCTATTCAAAATAAAAGTCTTACCCTTCTTCAGTGTAAGCATCAGCTGGCTTGTAAGGTATAAATGGTTCAGATTTTTTTGGTTTATACTTTGTTTTTTTTTTTAGACCAGTTATTCGAGGCCTTTGTGTTATAATATCATTGAAAGTTTCTACAATTTCTGTTTGATTACTTGAGGGCAAGTTAACTTTTTTTAAATTTACACCTTCAGACTCTTGAAGCTGATCACGTTTTTTTCTATGGTGATTAACAACACTTGGTAAATTTCGTTCCCTTAGTAATTTCATTTGAAGTGCTTGAATTGAATTAGTTGATTGGCCCATTTCAAAAACAGTCTGTGAACCAATTTTATGCAAAATGAATACAGTATAATAAGTAGTAATAAAGAATGATTTATCAGAAAATGTTTATTATTGAGATATTATTTTAATGATATTGTTTTAATTCTAATAATTCTTTTTCTTTATTATAAGTATTGTTAAGGATGGACAAATTACCCAAAGAAAAGTAATTAACAACAAATTACATCAAATCCGAGTGTTTAATTACAAAATAAATATTATGTAAATTAATTACAAATTATTGTAAAATAGCATCAAAATTTTATTATAATTTACACAAAAATATTTAATTTTATAGGTCAATTATTACACAATAACATATAAAAATTGTATAATGCAGTGTAAATATTTATTAACACTATTAATATATATAAAACACAAGAAGTCAATATAATTTAACAATAATATTTTTTGTGGTGTGAAGTATCATTAACATAATTAAACACCATAGTTAAAATTTCCTTTTAAAAATATAAGGATTTCAAAAAGTTCATCAGATAGTCTAGTATGTGTCGGTGTTATGATAAATTCAGTGAATGAAAATAGCCTCAAAGAAGATTCATGAACAAAGATTAGTATTATAAAGTATAAACAATGTTTTTAAAATAGGATAATTATTTAAACAGGAAAGAGTTTTATTATTATCATTGAAAAATTGCATTATTTTAAGTTCAGTTCTAGTATTGAACTCCAATTAATGAACTGAATCTCTTGAACCTCAGTCGTATCTCGTAACATAAATATAAGATAGCTGTCTTCTTCCTTTGATATTTCTGTCAAAGAAGTTTCTTTATCTATAACTATTTATTTTACAGTGTTTATGTACAGCAACAGATTTTTTCTATTATCGACTTCACTTATTTCATTTGAAATTCAACACAGTTTAAATAAAACATGTTGCTAAAATAGTGTCATTTGCTACTTGAGACAGATTAAAAAATAATACTAATTTTTTTTTTAGTTAAATACATAAAGGAGAATATAATTTGAAGATGGTGAAAATTGTGTTTTAATTGTTCAAGTCAAGTTTTTAATAAAATTAAAGTTAGTAAAAAAAACCATAACAATTTTTTTTACACTGTACATAAACCACAGTTTATGCTATTAGTTTCATAATTTAAAAACGTTTTTCTAAATACTCATAGCCAGATTCCTTAAATATAAATATAAAATTCAAATATTTAAGGACATCATTTAGTTTACTTTTATATTTCAATAAACAACTAAGTAAACATTTAAAAATGATTGCTCCAGTAACATATGACAACATACATATGATAAATAGTTAAAATTATGTATTTGTATTCAATTGAATTCACATTACACTGTTCAGTACATACATAACAGATATATAAAAAATCTATTACAAAACTTCAGACAATAATAGATCAATTTTATCATAGTAATATACAATAAAATAAGCCAAAAAAACAACAATCAATGAAAAACAGACATAATTATAGCATATGTAATTTTCGTACATATACTAGATACTACACATACTAGATGATCAAAAATTTATCATAATTCATTTTAATTCCAAATTTTAAATTACTTATAATTTATGTAATTAATTACGAATTATAAATTATTCCAAACTAATAAAACTAGTTACTAACTACAAATTACATAAAGTATTTTAATTACAATAATATAATTATAATTAAGAAGTGTCCACCCCTGATTATTGTTTAATAATTATTTAACATTGAGTTAATGATAACTGAAAGAATTATTATGTAATATTTTTTAATTTTATTAAAACAATACTCACAATATCTGGTCTAAAATTCTTTATGCGATTTACAATATTTACACGACCCATGTCTGCTGCAATAACTTTATTAAACATTGGATGGTCTGCAAGAGCAGTCAAATCAATTTTTTTAGCTCTACGTACACTATCTGCTGAAGCTCCTGGTCTTGATTTTATATAATTTTTATAACCATTAACACAAGTTTTTTGAGCATTTATCTAATCAAATTAAATAAATAAACTATTTATTTTTATGATAAAACATTAAAATATAAATATAAAAATTTTATACATACCACATCAATAGAGGATGTGTACCAACTTGTTAATTGCCCTAATTCTTCTTCAAGCAATACCTGAGGAACAATCCCAAAAAGACCATCATTATCATCGTCATCTTTTGGTGTTTCAAATACAGGTTTAAATGGACGACCCAAAAATAAATGAAGATCTAATAAATAACACAATTCATCACGAGTAACTAAACTATATGCTTTTCCAGACTTTCCAGCTCGAGCACATCTCCCTAAAATAAAAAGAATTTTACAATAAAAAGATTATTACAAATTTAAAATTTCGAAATTTCCTAACTTTTTTAGGCAATTTTTAAAAAAATTCCATACTTAAGGAGCAAAAGCATATGTTATTTAAGTAGAGGTGTCTAATTTCATCAACTTTTTTTACAAAAAGTTTGCTTAAGTTAATTATCATGTTTTTTGATTATATGTAATAAAATTTGTAACATAAAGATTTGAACCCTTAACATATCCCTTACATCATCTAAATATATGATAAGTTTAATCAATTTTTAAAAATTTCAGGCAAATGTCCCAGACATTTCAAAGATTTTACATTATAATCTGACCAACAAATGTGTCAGGATATAATGGACATGTCACCAATTATTCTTTACATAAATGTTCTTGAGATATTCAACATATCTACCCTGACTACACACGAGGAATTGTCAGCTCATAGAAAGGGAAGACGGAAGAAAAAAATTAAATTTATAAAGATTGACCATTATCCATCAGATAGAATTTATAGTTAACCTGTATATAGTAATTAACTATTATTTACAAAGAAAAAAACACAGATCTCATGGCCAGTTAACTAATAAAACAGAATTAATTAATCAAAAATATTACAATACACACACTGTGTAAAAATACAAAAAGGAAAAAAAAATTCCACAATATAATATAGACGTCAAGATGTCCAAGAATTTGATTATTGAAGTTCCATAATTATAATAGTCAAGCCAAATAATATGTTTTTTACTTCTTCATCGTGTATTCATAACAGCTGTCAATAAAGATGATGTAATGGACTTATTTAAACATAACTGTACCGTTTCCTAAGCCAGATTAATATCACATAGTTGACTACTTGAACCGTTGACTGATATGGTACTTAGGATAAGGGAAACACAAGTGGTAGGACAATTCATTAATATAATAAATACACATATGTATATGTGTAATACTGAACCTACAGTTATACAATGAGTACATTTTGAATATAGTTACCTCTGACCTTATACACACCATAATTTTATTACGTTACAATGCATAAAATATTCATAGGGGCAACCTGAAGAAGTCTAGGAGAAATAATAAAAATTACCAAAAAAATTAATAATTATAAATTATAATTGTTTATATAAAAATATTATGAAGGAGGACAGTAGTTTAGTTAGAATTCCCAAACATTTTGCTCCAATTGCAATATAAAATTATTGTTTAAAATACTGTTTTTATCATGTAAAATACTTTTACATTTATTGATAATATTATTAATATAAAATTAAATCAATGTATTCAAAAAATATTTTCACAATTTTTATTTGTTTTAAGGTAATTTTATTTTTACATTAATCAACTATTGATATTTTATGTTGTAAAATTTTTTAAAATAAAATATTAAAAACGCTTTTTTTATACTTTTAACTCATTTTTATAAAACGATTTTATGAGTTTTTAAAGGCAATTAAGACTGAGTCTTACTGTTTAACATACAACTTTGGTAAATATCAATAATACTGTAACTATTAATAATAAACAATAATTATCAAAAAATATTGGTATACGAATAAAACCGGTATATGGATTTGAAATAATGCAAGCCCAACCTCAGTCATGGACATACCGGTGATGGTAGAAATTTAGCATGGTATTAAATAGGAGATGTACAATAACCATACGAGTAGTCTACTATTACTACACTAAAATACTTTATTTCCATAATAAAATTTTGGGTAAATTTTTCTTACCAACTCTATGAACAAAAACTTTAGCCTTAGCAGGAAAAGTATAATTAATAACAACATCCAACTGTGGGATATCTATACCCCTAGCGGCTATATCTGTAACTATTAATGTACGAACACTACCAGTTTGAAACTTATCAGCATTAATTTTTCTAGCTGTTGGATCTAAATCTGAATATATAAACGTATTTGAAATATCATGATGATCAAGAAGCTAAAAAAAAATAATAATAAGAGTGCTATTAAGAATATCATAAATAAATTTGTGGATATACAAATATTTATTGACATAATTTACTAACTAAATGAATGTAGTCAACATGATGTTTTGTTGGAGCAAAAATGATTGTCATAGCATCAGGATTTATGTCATACTTCAAAAGACATAACAGAGCGGCATCACGTTCTTCAGGTCGAACACTAATAAAGCCTAATCCAAGAGTATCTGGAATTTTTGACTCGACATCCAGTCTAAAATCATTGGAAAATACATATTCATTAATTATTTATATTAACAATTAGAAGCAAAATTAAATAAAACTAGCTATCTCAACCCGGTGTTGTCCGTATATTAGTTTAGCTTTTGGAATTTTAGTAGGCTTTGTGTTACTATTTAATATAAATATCGAACGAAATATTTAAATCGAAGAGATATTTTCCAGTTCCTCTATCAACCTATTAATCCTGCTCACCTGTTTCGTAGTAGTGTATATAAAAACATATTCTATTGAATAAAATTGTTAATCTAAATCTTTTTCGAATCAATTTAATTTAATAACACAAAATTTTTTTATAAAAATCTGTCCAGCTTTTATTAGGAGGAATTTAAATACTTACACAAGGACAAAAGATATACATATTTAAAAAGATAAGATAAACCAGTTTTAAGTAATAATAAAATATTAAAAATTATAAGAATCAATAAATTAATGAATTATGTTCTTGTTATTATTATCATAACATAAGTTATATATTAATGAACCAAGTCAATTATTGAAATCTGGAAGATTTGTACATCTTTTTAACTTAAATTAAAATTTTATATACCTTATGAGAACTGGATCAGAAAGTCCTGCTCGTGCAAATTGCACTAATACTTTTGGAAGTGTAGCTGAAAACAATAATGTTTGCCTAGTTTCAGGTAAACGAGCAATAATTTCAGTTAATTGTTCTCCAAATCCCATTTCAAATAACCTATAAGATTATAAATGTGTAATTAAAATGTTATGCAGTTGAAAAAATTAAAAATTTTACCTATCAGCTTCATCGAATACAACATATTGTATATTTGGTAATTTCAAAGACATTTCAACACATATATGTAAAAATCTACCAGGTGTAGCTACTACTATGTCAGGAGAACTATGCATAATACTAAATTGTGCCTCCATTGGATCACCTCCCAAAATTACTGCAGATTTTAAATTTGTAAATTTTCCCAACTCTTTGACAAATTTTAAAGTCTACAAGAAAGAATTTAGTTATTTATGAAATCAGACAATATCATTAAATTAATGTATTATTAAACAAATAAATAATAATAATAAATACAATACCTGAACAGCAAGTTCTCGAGTAGGTGACAAAATTAATGCACGTATACCTCTATTACCATTAATAGAATGCTGTGTTAATTTTTCAAACATTGGTATTAAAAAACAAGCAGTTTTTCCACTACCAGTTCTCGCCATAGCAACAACATCTCGATTCTCCAAAGCAATTGGAATGGTCTAAAAAATGTATTCATCTATTAAATCATTCAACATGAAATATGCTTATAATCTTATAAAAACGTAATTAAATTTTTTTTAGCTAAGCCTGTCAGGTAAGGTACTTATCCTGTACTCTCAGGCATAAGATACAAAAATAGATTAATGTAATAAAATGTTTATAAACAATCTGTTCAAATGTAAATGGATTTCAAAAAAAATATAATTTTAGAGATATTAAAAAAAATAATAAATGATACCCATCGTAAAAATTTGAAATTCTCTTTGTTGAAATAAACTAATTTTTTTAGTAAACTTACCTTTCTTTGTATAGGCGTTGGTACTTTATATCCTCTTTTTAATACTCCTTTTAGTACAGGAAAACTCAACCCCATCGCTTGAAAGCCACCAGACTTTTTACCATTTTTCGGTTTAAAATCTGCTTTAGATTCTGGAGCATCACCAAAACCAATTACTGTATCACCATCCATTGTCGTTTAATCTCTTCAAAAACAGTGAAAAATTAAAATTTTAATACAATAAAAAAAAAAAATAAAATTTATCAATTAGTGAACCACGTGCAGTCATTGTTGATATAAGTATTATTGTGATAATAATAATACTCCCAAGATAATAATATATCTAATAATTGATAATAGTAAAAACACAGACTATAAGAACTAATATGACTATTTGTTAACTATATGTTCATATAGTCTGTGGTAAAAATACCGACTTTATTGTATTAAAGTTAGAATACAGTTATGAATAAAACAAATAAATTTAGTTTCATCAAATTTGTTGTAGAATTAAAAATAAAAAGATCAATCGAATAAGTGTGACTCTTAGTAGAGTTAAGGCGTTAACAATTGTTTCTTTAAGTAATCATTGCTTAAAATAAATATGTATATATACATATTTGAAAATATGAAAAAATAATTATTTAATAAAACTTATTAAATACATGTTTTCGTTATTGTTTTTAGTACTATGAATTATAAATATTGTAAGTAAATTTGTATGTAATATATTTTTAATAGCAAAAATTCACATATATGTACAACATTCATTAACATTATTTTTATTTTATGATTATTATACTTTTAAAAATGAAAAAAAATCTTAAAAAAATGTTTTAAATAACATTTGCTCTAAATTACCGAAATAAAATAAAATAAAAATTTAATTATATATCTTTTCTTTTGTTTTAGGTGAAAATATATTTTACTTGCAATAGTAATACAAAAAAATGAAACATAGTGAGGCAAAGAATTTTAATTCATTTTTTATTATCCTAACTTTATTTTTAATAAGGTTATTTCATTTATTTATTGTGCGTTCATGGTATGTACCTGATGAGTATTGGCAGTCCTTAGAAATAGCTCATTTCATATGCTTTGGGTATGGATATCGTACATGGGAATGGATTATTGGCATAAGAAGTTATATTTCTATATCATGGATAGTTCTTTTATACAAATTATTACATTTATTATCAATAGATACTATAGATCTTCTTATATGGAGTCCACGATTTTTACAATCTCTTCTTTCTGTGTATTCAGATTATTGTTTTACCAGTTGGTTGCAAAAATATTCAAATACTAAAAGTGTGGTATGGCCTACAATATTTTATATCACTTGCCCTTTTTTAGCTTACTGTTCCACCCGCACAATAGTAAATACTACTGAATTAAGTTTGACTTCAATTGCTTTGTATTATTATCCATGGACATCAAAAAATAGAGATACAGCATTTATTTGGGTGATTGGAGTTTTATGTATTATTAGACCAACAGCAATAATTATTTGGCTTCCTTTATTTACATATGATTTCATTACACATAGAAGATACACTTTGAAATATTTGAGAAAATACATTAGTACTGGTCTAGTGTTAATTATTTTATCTTTATTAATAGATAGCTATTTCCATGGTTCAATAGTATTTACACAATGGAACTTTTTACTATTTAATGTTATTAAAAAAGTGAATGAACATTATTCAACAGAACATTGGTCTTGGTATTTTACTTGCGGGTTACCACCAATTCTAGGTCCAATATTTATTTTGTTTGTTTTTGTAATTTTCAAAAAAATTATATATTACAATTTTACTAGTATTCACAATAAACTCTTTATTACTATTATGTGGAGTTTATTTATTTTTAGTTTAATAGGTCATAAAGAACACAGATTTCTTTTGCCACTTATACCTATGATACTTTTTATGACATCTGACTATATACATTATATCTGTACAAATTTCAAAAAAGTAACTTTTTTTGTCATTATTATGAATAATGTAATTTTAATTTATTTAGGAAGATATCATCAAATAGGTTCTATTAATGTTATGTCTTATTTAACAACGTTACCTCTAACTTCTGAAATATTATTCTTAATGCCATGTCACTCTACTCCACTTTATAGTCATTTACATAGAAATATATCAACAAAAATATTAACATGTGAACCTAATATTAATGAAGAGTCATACTATAAAGATGAAGCTGATTTATTTTTTGATAATCCTTTGAAATGGCTTGATGAAACATATTACAAAAAAAAAGTTCCTTCACACATAGTAATATTTAATGTATTAGCAAATGAAGTACAATTATTTTTGAAGGAAAAAAATTATACTGTAACTAAAGAATTTTTCCACACACATTTTCCATCAGAAAGAGTTGGTAGTAAAATATTGGTATATTCCATTTTTTAAAATATTCTATTAAAATAATTAATATTTAAAAATTTTAGTCTCTTGGATATATATTTGTATTATAATTGTTTATTAATTGAAATTGTATATTAACCTTTTTATGTAAGAACTCGTGTACATTAATAAATTTAATAAATTTTATCTACATTTGTGTTTATTTATTTTAATAATTTTTGAAAGATTTAGTAAAAAATAGTTGCCAAACATTTTTAAAAAAAACTGCATTGTTGTCTCTAAGAATGCTATTGAGACATATAAATGTTACATACATCTTATTTAAAAAAAGCAGAAATTAACCATAAATGATATTTAATATTGAAAAACATATATAGTCACATATATTAGGAAAGTGATTAAAATAATTATTATGTTTGCAGTGTGTGCCACACTTGGATCAAAAATATAGGCCTATGCGCTTAATAATTCTAGAACTCCAAGATATTTCAGTTACACTACTACCTCTATCTAATATCGTAAGATACTATAATATTATGTGACCTACAGTAAAATAGTATTAACGAAATAAAATTGTGATATTTTTTAACTATAAGTAGTAAAACAATCTTAATTATTTTACATAAAAATAAACCCAAACGGTGTTAAATTCAAACATTTTTTATGAGAAATCTAAATAACATTAACACGTGAAAATTTTTTTTGCATATTTAAAAAAAGAATTCAATGTTCGAATAATTATTGCGAAAAATACTGTAGTTTTACTACTTCCGCACATGAAAATGGCCACGGAAGCTCCATTGTATTAAAGGGGATGAAAGGTTTAACGCCTCCTCATAAGTAAAGGTGGCTAGGAGACTTAGCTCTTCCAGAAATTTAGCAAAATTTGAGCAAAAAGGGGGGGAATTAAATTTGATCATCCCCGCTTATGCGCCTCCTAAATTTATATTTATTTTATCGATTGTATGATTTCATAACAAAAATTATATAATGGTAACATTATATATTCGAGGGAAAAAAAAACAGTTGCTTTTTTAATACTAGGAGGATTCGTCGTTTTAAAAATATATATATAAAAAATATATCACATGAGCTTTTCATAAAATGACTGTCTATGCCTACTAGAAGTATCCAATTATAGCATCGACTTATGCTTTCCTCCTCTTTTTTTAAAGTTTAAATTATTATATTAAAGGTTTCTGGTTTTGAAAAATAACCAAATGGAGTACATTAAGAATATTAATCTGTGTATGAAGCAGTGATACAACTAGTAAAACAAATATTTAGGCGTGTTAAAATAACGTAACACTCACGTGGATTAGTACAGGAATAGTATAATTTTAAATTTCAAATAATATTATTCAACCAAAGTCGTGTCCTACAATTTATTAATTATTAAAACTTGTTGACACCTTCATGATCCATTTATATTATAAAAAATGCTCCTTACATCTAACTTAACCTAAAATTTTCTAATCAAATTTTAATATTGATAACCATATTTTTTAATATTTCCTCTATGTTCAGCAAGTTGTTTATTTACTTAGTATATATATACTTTGAAATATTGACGATCATTACAGTAAAATTAAATAACTTTATTCATTTACTTTAATTCCTGTTATGGTTCAGACTACTCTAAAACAATATTTGTGATTTTAATTCTAGAAATCATATATTATAGTTGGTTGTGAAAAAAGTATTATATAATGTAAGAATTAATTGCTATAACAAATCATATTTCTTAATAAATTACAGGCTATCAAATACTCGAAAGACCAAATTTATATTTTAAAAAATTAGTAAATAATTAAAGAAATAATTAAAATTATTAATGTTGTAATGCAATATAAATTTTAACTAGTATTTTGCAATTTTACTTGTAAGATTATTAATATATATATAAAGTCATATGAACATATAGCATATGAAAGTATAAAAAATTGTCAAAAACCAGAATTATTTTGATTCCTAGCCCTAATAACAGCTAATTCAAATAAAACATATATGTTGTTACGACTTATTCATCACCAGATAAATTAAATTACCTTGTAATATTTTATATTTTTTACCTTCCAATTATTTTATTTTATTTTTTTTATTGTATAGAAGATAGTTTAACATTATGGAAGAATTTGGTCGTGAACCATGCCCAATGAGGATATTGGAAGATCTTGGTGGTGCTTTTGCTATGGGCCTTATTGGTGGAGGTCTTTTCCAAGGAGTGAAAGGTTTTCGTAATGCACCAACTGGATTCAATCGTCGATTAAATGTAATTTTTATAACATTAAATTTTTCAACTTTTTGTGTGAAATTTTTATCAAATTAATATTAATAAGTTAAACATTTTTTTTTTGGGAGAAAGCTTTATAAACATTTTTATTCTAAATGTAATGAGAACTTCACACTGTCATGTTAGAAATTTAAACCAGTTTCAATTGTTTATATAATAATAAAAATCAAACAATGAAGTTCATGATATTATTCAATTTTAATGCAAATATGGCAGTTACTATCTAACAATAGATATCAAATTAGTTTAATTTTTTTTAACTTAATGTATTAAGTTATGTTTGCTTTAAAAGATTATAGGGTTCAGGATTTCATATATTTATAAAATTTGTTTGGACTACTTCTGAAATACACAACTTATTGTTAGTGTACATTCTGGAGCACATCTAGGGGGTACTATAAAAATTATTTCGTATCTTAATTCATTTTTTTGAAAAATATCAAAAATGCCTTTTGTGCGCTAAAAAATCGATATGGTTTACTTATATTTTTTTATTGTAAATAACAAAAGTTTTCTGAGAATAATAATCTCGTTGAAAGAAATATACCTTTTAGATATTTGTATGTGTATTATCATTACTGTTTATCTCTACTATATAATTTATAAGCACCTTCAGCTAATTGTAGTTTTTATTCAAATAAGTTCTTATCTGTTATATTTCAACAATTTTATGTTTTTTAGAGTGCATTTTATTCTGTTGCTACAAGAGCTCCCAATATTGGTGGCAGCTTTGCTGTTTGGGGTGGTTTATTTTCAACCATTGATTGTTCATTAGTAGCTATACGGAAAAAGGAAGATCCCTGGAATTCTATTGCTAGTGGTGCATTAACTGGAGGTATTTTAGCAGCTCGAAATGGTGTTCCAGCTATGGCAGCTAGTGCCGTTTTTGGTGGATTGTTATTAGCTATGATAGAAGGATTTGGATTATTCTTTATGCACATGTCAGCTGAACAATTTAGACCTCAACCACCTATCTTTGAAGACCCAACTAATAATAATACTGGCTAATTAAATGATTCTTAACTTAATTCCTCACTGTTAGACATTTTGATTTTTCTTACCATTTCTTTATGTAGTTTATGTTTAATCAATATATTTATATTGTATGTATTTTATTATTATTTATTTATTTATTTTTTTTATAATGTTAATTAATTTTACTCATATACACTGGCATATATGAACAAAGTGGATTTTTCAATGAAGAAAGGCTAATACCTTTGGAACATTGAAAAATCACAATACGAGCAAAGTTGAAGCCATTAGCAGTATAATGATCAAAAGAATAATACAATTTCCAGTAAAAATATCTGATTTTGCAGTGTTTTGTATAGCAATGGAACATCAATATCATACAACACTATACTTAATTTAAAGTTTTTTTTTGTACTATATGATTAAAAAAAGAAAAATTTTCCTACAACTTGTTTGTCTTCTATGAATAATTGGTGTCTATAAACAATAATAATGTAACTTTTGGTAAATATGATAAATTGCTCAATCTGAATAATAAATAAATAAATTTATTAACTTTCTTTTTTGAAAATTCTATTACAAACCAATGTACTAAAATGGGGCAAAATCATCATTTCAAATTTTTGGTTATGTTCCAAATATTGTTTAAACTAATGTTAAATAGATGCTAATACAATGTATTTTAAGTTAAAAAAAGAAAAACTATGTGAAAAATAAATTTCTATATATTATCGACCAATTAATACAAAATTCATACAATTTTCGGTTAAAATGGGCAATTTTATTTTGCATAACAAAGAAACATCTACATCGTTCAAAACTGAAATTATAGCTAATTTAATATTCTATACTATTAAAAAAATAAAAACGTTCCAACGACTTGTATTTTATGAGTAATCAATTTCGAAAGTCGTAATAAGTTTTGATGGATATCTAAAATTTTTTTTCTTAATTTGTTTAAATTACAAATCATTAGTTAATGTCAGTGATTTAATTACTGTCGGATAGTAATCTGTACTAATTAAAAAAAGCTTCAGTTCCACTTTTCTGGGTCTATACTGTACTTTACAATAAATATTTATAACAGCCCGTATTTAAATTTTAATAATCCACAGTAAATTATCAATCTCAAGCGTTTATTTTTAACTGTTTTAAGATGAAACAGAAAAAAGAATCATTCCAACAAAATATTAGCTTATTGATTACTAATAATCATGTTTATCACCCTCGAAATTTAAACCTGATATATACCTATATTATTTAGGTAAACTAAAAATTTTAATTTTTAATTAATTATAAAACATAAGTAATTAAAATAACATTAAATAAATAAAGTAAATATCTTTGAGGGACCCTTACAGTAAGGCTATTTTTATAAAATCATTCAATGGCATAGATCCAAAAGCTTGAATGTGGATCATACCATTGAAAATATATAACATTTGGAATCTAGTTTCGCTTTACTTTTTATAAGAGTAAAGTGCTGTATGAAAGATATCTGAAAAAAACAATGGATGCTCTAAATGGATCGATGATTGAGGTATAATTAAAAAATTTAGATGATACAATTTTTTTATTTGCCTTAAAAATAATTGTTAACTTTTTAAATATTTAAATTTTAAAAATATTGATGCAGTATAATTTTTAATCGCAAAACTGAAAATAATTATTCAAATATTGTAATTGTACTTATCAAATTTATTATTGACGTGCATTAGCATCCAGTATAAATTGATAAAATTTACAAAATATTAAACTTCTGACGCCCATGTTATTGTATCATAACAAACGAACAAGTATTTACTTATTTTATTCAAATACCATATTTATTACATTACTATAACATTAATTTAATTTAATCAAATGAAAGTATAAATTTAAAGACATTATGTATGTTATATTAAATATAACGAGTGGTGTTTTTGGGAGTATAAAGCGTATAATATTTGTATACTATTAATATTAAAGGATTTACCCTAAAATAAAAAAATGGATTTTTTACGAAAACACCACTGAATAACATACATATGTAATAACTACTGAACACATTATTTAATGATTTATAAACAGGAAATAGGAGATCTTGAAGAAATTTTAAAAGATGTATCTCAAATGTCTCATGAAGATATGAAACGACAAAATAGGAATTTACAAAAATTTCTTGTGAAAGTAATTGATTTACTAAAAGAAAAAACTGATCGGTGCTCTACACAAGAAAAACACATTGAAGCACTCACATTACAAGTATGAGCTAGTTAAAAGTACATAATGACAGTGGCGCAAGTAGAGTAAACATCCAGGGGGTACTAAAATTGTGTAAGGTTAACAAAGTCATGGGGCTGAGCGTTCCACATCTTCTAATCCACCACATTAACATAAATAGCTGTATAAATGAACCAACTATTATTTATCGGCGACATAATATTGAAATGCACAAAATAACAATTTTATTTGCTACAATAGAAGTATAATGTAAATGAAAGAAAAATTGATATAGAAAAAAACTTATACTAAATATTTATAAATAACATTACTTCACTTAACTATATAGTTTAATAGCTAAACGTATTAAAATTCAGAGAAGATACTAGAGGCTGGAGATGCTATAGCACCACGTGGCATCCCTAGTAGTTGCACTACTCCATAGTGATAATATTAATAAAATATAAACTTTTTTTAGACAAAGTCACTAAAAGAAGTTGTCCAAATAACTAAGCATATGTTAGAAATACGCAATACTGAAGTAAATCACATGTCTGAAGATTTGGAAAGTTTACAGGCCAAAATTAACGATGAAAGAAATCGACATGGTGCAATTATCGAAAAAATGAATCAAGCTGCTAAGTAAATACTTTTTATTAATGTTTTTTTTTATAGAATACCTTATTATTATCCAGAAAATGTTTTATATTATAGGATTAAGTTACTAAGAACGTTTACTTACTTATACTAACAGGCACGTAGCCAGAAAATGTTTATTGGAGGGTCCAACAATTTTGGGCCCTTGTATCATTTTCCATAATTTGTTTCCAATGAAAAGCTTGTGGGGGGGCTCCCTCCACTCCTCCTTAGACAGTATCCCATTCAATGAATCTTACAAGTTCAAAATTTGTGTTTATTTTTAAAAAATTGGTGGATTAATCCAAAAGTTACATGATCTGCTATTTCCTTATTAATATCCTGATTAAGATAAAAAATGAAAAAGGGATTATTAAAAAATATTATTTCTCATAAAAAAATTGTGCTGATCCATACATTTTTCAAAAAGTTATAGCATTATAAAGTTAAAAATGTAAAATACAAAATCGAGAATTTTTACACAAAAATAGCATTTGGTAGCCATTTTCACCGTGAAGACAAAATAAAGTCCGAAATTTTTTTAAATAAAATAGTGCATTACATTACCTTTAATTTAAGATATAGATAAAAGTGTCAGACTTTCCGGAACATTTTAAAAATTTAAGTGGAAAAAGTTAATTTTTTCTGAAAAAGTTGTCATTTTAAATCCTTCCCGTGGGCAGGTAAAGGGTCAGATTTATAAAGCAAATATATCAAATAAAAAGTAACGATATCATGCATCTATATAAATAAGTTATGGCAATTTTAAGTAAAAAAATTTTTTAAATTTTCGAAAATTAGCGATTTTTAAATTTTTAATTTTTTGGGGGGTTTCCCCCATTTACGGGGAACGAGGGAAATTTTTTCAATTTTTGAGGGTAATATCTTCGACTAGATACGATTTGTGATCTTTTGATGTATCATTGAAAGAAATCGTTTCTGTGAGACTGAGAAAAAGTGGTAACAGACACAAAAAAAATACATTATAGTAAAACCAATACCTTCTAAGCTTTGCATTGAAGCTAATAAAATAATGATGTGAACATAAGCTGATTTAATTTTTCAACTTTTAAGCTATTAAGAAAAGATAATTTATTCCTAAATACTAATTTGTTATATCTTATTTGTTAAAAGTTATAAAAATTTTTTAAATAAGTATAAATTATAAACAATGTAAAATTTATTTTATTTAAAATTAAAAACAATTCCTGCCTTTTTTTAGTCATATTTTTATTATTATTATTTAGAGCACGCAAATAACAAATTAACAAAAACAAATAAATTGCCTATTGTAATTACTACATTATAAAAAAAGAAACAAATTAAAGATAAGATTTATCAAAAATTTTTTCATAGAGTATACTCTATCGAATTTTGTAATCAACTAGATTCTAATCAATGCAGATACTTCGTAGTTTGTTATTATTTGTTGGACCAGAGTTAAAAAAAATTTACCTACAACCACGTTTGAAGTAATTGCTATTCCAACGTCTAGAACGTTATCTTTTTCAAATAACGTTTTCTATGAATATAAAAATGAAAATACAGCCATAATAATAACTGTATTACTCAATAGTAATCACAAATTAATAATAATTTCAATGTATATAAGGCCTAGCACGTTTTTGATAATTCGTAAAAATAATTGAATTTTAAATTTGGGGGGGCCGGCCCTGGGCCACATTAAATCTAAGGGGGGCCAGGCCCACCCTTATCTACGTGCCTGTATACTAACTAAACTTTACTGTATTTAACTTTATCTTAGGTTAAATGATGAATTACGGGCGGAGTACAAACAACAATCAGAACGATTTGAAAAAATGCGTGTCAAATATGATGAAAGGTTTAATATAATTACCGAGGAAAATAAAATATTAAAAGAAGCTTTATCAAATACTGAAGTGTAATTGTAATATTTATAAACATATTTGTTGAATTAAAAATAACTATTTGAAAAAAAAAACCATTCAATTAAAGTTAAAATAACATTAAATTTTTGCTTGTTGATTGTTATAAAAAAATTGTTTTTACACTTAAAATCATTTCAGTTCATATGAAAAAAACCTTGAAAAAATTGATCTACACCATTTATATATCTTCTTTGCAATAGCGTACCAGATCATATAATGATTCAATAGTTTAAGCTCAATTTATCCTTATATTAATGAAAAATTACATTTTTTATGTAAATATCATTTTTTATTATTTCAATAACAATAACATACTTAACAAGTGCAATAGTAAATAATAATTAATAAATTTATAATGTGATAACTAAATAACATTCTAAAATTAAAAATTGTCAACATGATATAACAAGATAGTTTTTAAAAACTGGCAGTGAAAACAGCCCTTAATAACAAGGCACAAATTAAGGGAGCTATAAGGGGTTTAGTCTCTCCATAATTTAAAAAAAACTACATATACAATTATATGAAAATAATTATAGGAAGGGGGAAGTTAGATATAATAAGTCCCTCCAAACATTTTATTGACATTGTACCTATGATGCATATAGACACATTTATACTATTAAACAAAAATCTCCATTTTATTTGTTTTACGCACAATTTTTATTTGACCTGGAACAACCTCTGGCAATCCTAAATATTTAAAAGCTATACTAACTATCTGATCACCAAAATTTGCTTCAAACCTATAGTAGTAAACAAAAATAAAAATTATTTTATTTATTCACATAGTAATAGTAGAAAACAGTACATTAGGAAAAAAGAGATAGATAATAATAATAATTAAGAAGATTTTATTAGGCTGTTTCAGCAAAACAATAAGAAATTATTAATCAATAAATAATTAGGTAACTAGAATATGGATAAAGTAGAATTCTTAAGATTCTTATTATTAATAATAAGAATTAATAATACCTTGATTACTTAACATAACTCTTTTTTTTTTCTTATTCTAGGTATTATAAGTCTATAACCATTTTCAAGTTACCTCACAATGCTAATCTATTCTCTCTTCATTTATAATATTTAAAAATTTAAGAGCTATAAATAAATAAAAATATGTTACCTTGTTGATATGTTAATATTAGGTGATGTTCCTGAAACATTTTGGATTACTAAAAACATTTTTGTTACTATTTCTATGACATGGCTTGTTTGAAAAACAAAATCTCCTTTTTTTTTATAGGTATTATACAATGGGTTGCTTACAATTGTTCCTTGATGAAATAAACATCCACTAGGAGTAGGGGATTCTCCTATAAAGCTATTATCGTTTTCAGGAGAGCTTGAATATGCCTAATTATAATAATAATAATTTTTCAATTATAAAAGATATCACAAAAAACTAAAAAAAAGTAACTTACAGATTTTACATGAAAAACAGCAACATTATCTAAAAATGGCGATAATGACAGCTGATAAATATCAGCAGCTGGCACTCTATATTTAACTTGAAGTGTTCTTTGATCCATAATAAGCATAGACTTGGTTGATATCACCAATAGAGTGGGTACAAACTGAAATTTAGGTTTTTAAATGAAAATAAATAAAATTGATTAAAATAAAATTTAGAATTTATCCTAAGATTTATCCTAAGATTTATTATAATTATACAACACTAAATCAACTTAAGATTAAAAAATCTATAATATTTATTTGATACTTACTTTACCACTACTCCTAGTAATTTTATTTACTATATCTGCAAACACAACATGATGATCATCACATTGCATAGCAGTTCTTTTCCACTGTATATGCTGTCTTAAATGAACATAATCACCAACAAATGGATGTCCTACACTTTGGCTATAACTAGCTTTATGATTTTTAAATAAAATACTAGCTGTAACTTTTTCCCGCATACGGTTTTTTGTTGTTTGATCTAGTTTAGCTCTATACTTATGGCACTATAATCATGTACAAATAAGTAATATTTAAAATAAAAATTAACAAAATATAATTTAAAAATAAAACAGTATTTAAAAAATAACTGACAAATTGAATTAATCAATATGTAGAAAAAAATGAAAAATTACCCTCCATTTGTGATGTAAAGATTCCAACAGATAATGTGTAAGAGCAAAGCGAGGGTTGCTTAATGGAAACCAAACTCTACATATAGGAGATTCCATTGAAGGTTCATATCTATTTGACAATTTCAATAAATACCGTCGTTTCTAATTTTTAACACAAAATAAATTTCAGTTAAAATTAAATTAAATATTTTTCTTCATTTAAAAATAGTAATATCACTCACTTGCCAAGTTAGAAATGTTCTCACAATACGTTTTACAGTATAAATATCATCACAAAGTCTAAAAAAAAGTTAATTTAATATAATTTTTATGTTTAACTATTATAAGTTTATTAAATTTAAATACCTATTTGTTTGAAATGTTATTTTTGGGTTCAAAAATAGTTTTTTATTTCGCTTATGTCTATGCCATGCTTCCTGCACTAATAATGCTAAGTGATTTAAACGCTCTGCTCTTAATTGTTCTAATTCCCATACAGATCTTGGTGAACGTATAAAAATTTTAGTTGTACCACAAACGAATTCTCCAGATGGTATTGGTAAGCAATTAATTAAATTCATAATGGATTGAACTGTGTTACCATATTTAGAATTGGGCCATGTAGCAGGACTAAGCATTTTATAACGTTTTAAAAATTCTTCAAATGTTAAACGATAACAATAACCTGCACGCCGTAAACGAACAATTTCCACAAGACTAAAGTTAAAAAGGTCATTGAAATATAATATACATGTATTTGAAATTTAAAAAAATTACTTTTACCTAAACCACCTAATTTGTTGTTGGACAAAAGATGTATCAAAAAAATTTTTTTTATTGCAATGGTTAGGGGATAAACATGTAATATAATGTGTATGACGACCATTAATTTTTGTAGAAATAGCAGCAGCCCAAACTTTCAAATGTCTAGCAGGGTTTGAAACCATAAATATAGATTCTCGGTCTGGATTTCCTTAAAAAAATATATAAAATTATGATCTTATAAAATCATTTGATAGCTTCAAGTCTTAAAACAAAATTATGGTTGAAAAAAACAGCCAAACAATTTTTTTATCAATTGAAAAAAAAATTCAATACAAATTATTCTCAAACATTTTTTGTTCATCAACGCATCTAAATAAATGAAAATCAATTGCACCACTTTTAAATGAATTAAACAATTTGTTAACTATTTATATAAAATGAGTTTTGATTAAATTTAACTTTTAAAAATGTAGAATTTTTCATATAAAATTAATAATAATTTTAATTTATACCTTCAGGAAACAGTTCTTTTAATAGTGAGAGAGAACCATTATACATAGTACTACATAAAAAAGGACTTAAAGTGTTTTTATTCTTTTCCAAAAATGTACTAATATTGTATTTCATTGGACCAAAAAAATGATTTAACCTGAAAATACAAAATATTACTTTCCTTGATATTAAATAACCACTACTATTATAAGATGGTGAGGTTAAAAAAGCTAATCCATTGTAAAAATAATAATAGCCTCCCCAAAAAAAAGGAAAGTTAAACTACACACTTTTAATAAAAATGTTGTTCAGTAGAGTAGATTTGATGATTAAGTTAAAAATAAAATTGTTTTGGTTATGTGTAAGGCTATTACTTGGATAATTGGACTCAATAATTAAATAACTGACCCAATACTTAAAATAAATATTGTGGTAAAAATTCTTACATAAAGCAGTTATTTAAAGATACTTTTTCTAACAAAACATCAATTTTTTCTTTTAATGGAGACTCGGAGAATTGTTTAAGTGCAGAAATTTTTTTTGAAGCTGTTACGTTATTGTGATCATTAAAAAAATTATCCATTATATTTAAGTATCCATCTTCATCCTAAAAATTAATAGAAAATGTATGTGATTGTAAATAAAGAAACCAAATTACTATTATTTAAAAAAATAAAAGAAAATTTTACCGAATATAATAGTTCACAAACTGAAGTATTGTCATAAAATGGAATAAGGCACCAGTGTAATTTATCTACAACATATTCATGCTGTTCTCCTTTTAATATAAGAGATGTTACTATATTATGAACTTTTTCATTGCAAGTATTTATTACAAAACTGTACCAATCCATTTTATTTTCAGTAAAATCAAAACCAAAAATATCCAAAAATCCAATACATTTACGCTTATATTTTGCTTCAGTTTTAACTGTTTGATTTATTTGGTTCATCAGCCATAAAAATAATCTTACATATAATGTCTGAGATAATTTATCTTTGTTAGCTTGAGCTTCTTTAGCAGATATTCCAAGTAATAAATTTGATGATGTTGTCAAACCTTTTTTAATATCTTCACCATCCATACCCAATAATTCTCCTAATTCATACAATTCTAAAAAATTTTTAAATTTAATAAAATGTTGTTGCATTAAAACAAAAGGCACACAATTTTCAAATTATGTAAAAAGTAGGGTTTGAGGGCTTTTCATCATTTAAAAATGTGTTTGTCTTACTTCTAAAATACCCAAATTCATGAAAAATTATCATGGGTATATTCAATATTACAAAAATATTTTTTTGTTCTAAGGGGGAGTGATTCCTTTGCGCCAACATAGCTAAATTTCTAATTACTACACATTGTTTAATATTAAGATAAACTAACACAAATATTTGTTTATTATTGAAGTATTCAGGCTAAATAAAACAAATTTTAAAATAATTATAAACCTGGAACTTTCTAGGCAGGTCAGAAATATAAACATTTTAACATAAAACATGACACCTAGATGCTCTCAGAAGTATAAGTCATTTAACTACTTTAAAATAAATAATTTAATTTAATTATAACTGTGTAAATGACATTTTATGACAACAACAAAATGTTTTTTACTCTTCTAAAACCTCTAAAAATATTGTTATTTACTCCTATTTTTAGTAAAAACATTAATATAACGATTATAATTAATTAATCATTAACTTAATCTTAAATTATAATCCAAATTATATTAGGTTTTATAATTATGATTTTGGTTATCAACCAAAAATTTGATTTGACACCAGCCAATGTAAGTTTAAATGGTGCATTTCAATAATAAAGTTGGTACAGAATTTTCTCATTGCCTTCTGCACAGGGGTCATAGTGCTTTTTATCCTTAAAAAATCTCCGGATTTCTCACCCTTTTATGAGCCAGCGGAAGCTTATTAACAACTTGAATATCCACTGCACCACATCACGTCATTATAATTATAATTCAAATTATATCATGATTAATATATTATAAATAAATAATATTCAAAAAGGGTTACCTTATAATTTATTTACTTTTTCAAGATTTTTCTTACTCAATAATTTATATGCTATTAGACATCATACATAATTTAGTTTTATCATCACCTAAGCTTTATTAAGACTCATAACATATTGTTTTAAATTTAGTGGTTTGTTAAGGATCACAGATGTAATCTTCAAGTAAAAATATTACAATGAATAGTATAAAACAAATGGTTAATTCATGGTCAACGAGTAAAATTACAACACTAATTACTGATAAGATCTTTGATTCAGCAAACAGGGTCTTGAACCAGTGACGGTGCACATCAGGCGCTACTGTGTTACTAACTTAGCCATACAGTCACTTATAGTAATTATAGTAATTCAAATAAGAAAAATAAATTTTATCTAACTTAAGACTTTTTAAAAAATTTCTATTAACTTATACATACCATAATCATTTGATATGACACACCCTTCTGTTCCATCAATATTATTAGTTGGTATCATAGTGAGATTACCTAATTTTAATATGCTACTCAATATTTTGAAAATGTTGATTATATTTAATTCAGAGAGTCCCAAATGTTCAAGAGAAGACTAGATTTAAAAAAAATGTAATTTAATTTAAAAAAGCTAATAATATTAATAGCATTACCTTTGTTGTTTGATATGCAGTTTGAAAATTATAAATATCAACTTGCCTTAAACGCTCACTAGATTTTAAATAAAAATAATTTTCTGAATTTCTTGTAAGCTTCAATGACTCTAAATATAGTTGTACATTAAATAAATTAATTCATATTAAAAAATTAATGTATACATACTTAACAAATGAATATCAGCACCATAAACAAGTTGATAAAATATGTGGAAATTCTTATTCAATGACTTAAATGATGTCACCCTGGACTAAAAAAAAATTTAATAAATATTAAAAGAAGTTTTATAAACAATAATATTATTTAGAAATTAATAAATTTAATATTCATAAGAATCTTACTTTATCCAATAAATCTATAAGCAAGCCATATTTTAACATTTAAAAAAAAATTATAAAAAAGTTCCGATAAAGAAAAAATATATTTACTTACATCCTGTAAATGTAGCACCCAAAATGTTTCCCATAAAGTCTAAATCCAGATCAATGTATTTTATCTAAAAATAAGAGTATAAATTTGTTATTATTTGTATTAAAAAAATTATTTTGCTCTAATGGGGGTAAATAAAATATTATATTACTATAAATGAGGTTGAAAACTTAAAATCAATTACATACTATGTGCCATTTAATAAAAAAACTAAGTTATCCTGAAAAAAATATTTTATTATTCTGAGCTTAGTTTTATGTTAAGTATGCAATATATCTTAAATAATACTAATAGATTAAAAATTAATTGTAAGACAGATTACAAGGTTTCTGAATCTTAGGAAATTGTGAATAACTCAAAAAACACTTTTAGCCACTTACCATGATATTGATTTTAAGTCTTCAGATATAATTAAAAAAAAAATTTAATTTAATATTTATACTAATTAAAAATATTCTATATAAATAAAATTCTATAAATATAAGAATTTCTAAAATAAACTAAAATATTGCATGAAAAAATTACAAAGTATTAGTAATCTAGGAAAAAAAATATTCAATTATTAAATTTCTTACAAAACAAGAAGCATCTTCATGAATATGAGTTTTAGCATTTCCAAAAGCTATAATTTTAAAAACAAAATAAATCATTGTTAATAATTCACATTATATTTGAATTTAATTTCTTACAACTTAGCAAAATATTGGAACTTAGAAGTTTTTGATTTAATATTTTGTTTTTGCTATTAAACTGAAATAAATACTGCAATAATTTGGAAACACAATAGCTCTTGCCAGATCCTGTTACGCCTTGTAATATAATACATTGATCTTGAGCTGCATCTATTAGCCACCTTACTGCCGAGCTTGTAATAGCAAAACTAAAAGGAAAAAATATTTAATAGTTTTTCATTCAAAGAAAGTAAAATAAAAATAAAAAAATTACATGTGTGGAGGTAATTGACCTGATCTTGGAGACATATATGCTTCACATAATGATGGAGTTATTTCATTTAATTCCACATTAGGATTAATTGCAATAAGCATATTTCCCAAATATGTCTACAATATATTATAGATAATAATTTTTCAATAAAATATAGATTGTCCTACTAAGGATTTACTTATGATGGTTACAATAAATATAAAAATTATATTTTCTAATAATTATTGTTATTAAAATAGTTCTTAAACTTAAGGGTTATATTTTATTGTAAATATTAAATTATATTTAAAATATTAATTTAAAACTAAAAAAAATAAAATATATAATTCAAAAAACCTCAATATAATACAAAATTACTAAAATGTTACACATAAATATGTATAAAATATGCAATTTGTGCCTTTTTGGGTAAAATATTTTAGTTTAAAATTAATATTTTAAATATATGTTCAATTTAAAATAATTAGATACATGTGAACAACTCTTATTATAAGGATTATAACTATTAAAAATCAAAAACGAAATATTTTTCAAAATGGTAGCAAAGTGAGTGTTATAGTGTAAAGAGACCATGCCGTAGTTTAACTCAGTATGTTTTATAACTGGTTGATTACCACTTTTCAATAAATAATCTAAAACTACATCATCATCACATTAGCCTTTATCTCTAACAATTTGGAGTCGGCTCTACCTTAGGATGAATGACAGGATTTTTACACCAGCTGTCGGCCTGAGACAACCGTATTATAACTGAGGAAACCAGTCAGAGGATAACTGTTAAAATCTGTGCATTACTGTTAAAACTCCCAAATGGTCAACCATTGGGGAACCAACAGAAAACAGTATAGTTGAACATCAGCACTGATGAGACTGAATGATCAACTGCGTCACCTCATATCCAAATATTCTAGGACTACAACTATTAAAAATTATCAAACATAAAAACTTTTAATAAATGAACTTTTAGTAATTTAAATTAATAAAATAATCACCATTATGAAATATTAATTTTTATTTGTTAGTCAAACTTACATAAAACATATGTGAGTCATATCTACAACGTAAATTTGAAATGAATGTCTCTTCAGTTAAAGGTTCAAGCAATACACTATCCCAAATTCCTATTTCATCAATTAAATCCATAAGTTATGATAGCAATTATTCCTATAAATAAATATGAAAATATTTAGGTTATAAAAAAATAAAATATTTATTACAATAACATTTTTATAAAATTGGTAGATAATACAACATGACACAATATTGATTATTTTTAATCCACTTACTTTTAGAAGTTTCTGTCAAAATGAATTAAAATGATACATTAATATTATTGTTAAGCAAGTCAAAATTAATGATGTTATATTATCATACATACATTTTTAACATTAGTTTTGTTATTTCGGGTTATAAATAAATAACAAGTTAAATATGGAAAACATTAGGTATCAATAACAATCTATAAAATTATAAATTCTAGATTCTATTGTTTTTAGGTTTCTTAAATAGCCATATAAAGTATTAGGTATATTAAGAGATTTCAAACAAACACAGTATATAATTTTACTATATTTAAATAATTTTTTCATAATCATAATACATACTTTCTTTATTCATTAATTATATTTGCATAAATATTTTAATTTTCACGCTTAGAAAGTTATTTAAAATCACAAGCAGATTTTTTTAAGTTTATTGTATTATTTATTAAAATTTGAGTTTTGTATAACTTTTAATAAATGTAAAATGCAAATTTATAAATGAATAAATGTTGATTTTTTAAAATTTATTTTTAATCAGTAAAATAAAAAAATTAATTAATATAATAAAGAAGATTTGAAAAATATTTAAAATTATTTATAAATCTTAGTAATTTCATTGTAATTATTAAAATCCAAAATTTTTAAATTACCTTTCTCTACATATGTAAGAATTTAATTTTTAATATAATTTACACCAATTATTACACGTCTGTGAAGTTAGCTCAAATACTCAAAATACTCAAACATTTTTACTTTTATTACTATTTTTTTATTGGTAACGTAACAGTAACATTTTTTAATCACACACAATTCATTTTACTGATTAAAAAAATATGATCAAACAATTTTGAAAATTGATAACAAATGATAACTGATAATAACAGATTATTATGTGATGAAACTTTAAAAGTACCTAATTTTAAAAATTACACAGCATTTTACCTTGAGTATATTTATTTATATTAATATATTTATTTGTGTTTGGGTATTCATTAAATTTATATATTTTTATTTTTTTTATAATTTTTAAAAATAACATGCTCATACAATTTTAGACATTATTAATCAATAGAATCATTGATTTATTACTGTATTTATATTTGAATCGTAGAATTTTTATTTAATCATTATTTTTATCGAAAAATTTACTCATTAATTAATTATTTTTGCGCTTTATTTATTCTTCTTCATAAATACACCCCTAAGATTTTTTACTGTGGGTAACCCTGATTAATTTTCAAGTAATTTATGGCCACTTTTTTTTTTCTCAAATATTAAAATTTAATTTTTCTTCTAAAAAATTGTCTTTAATTTTTATTAAAATTATCAATTAAATCTAATGTCAGCAGGACATTCATTGAGGAAGACAATAGCGATAGTAATTAAAGTTCCCTCTAAAATTTATTCAAAATTAATGGATAGAACATTTATAATAGTATAGGGATAATCTACATTTTTTTATCATTATATGTCCTCCCTGTAAGTGATGCTGCATTAAAGTCAAACTGATTTTTAAGTGTATCCCAATTACCCCTAGTAATAATTACAGTAATAATAATTTCTTCTTCTCTTCTCAAAATAATCTTCTTGAATTTCGTGTTATCTTTTCACTTATTGTACGTATTATTGTATAGATGGTTTAATTGAAAAAAAGGGGGAACAGTGTTTCCTAATTATATTCAAATGGTTAAAAAAAATGGTTTAATTATACCAATCCTATGGAATAAAAATAAAATTCAATCTTACATTGTATTGAGCAAAAATGATCAATAATTTTCCCATTTTTCTTATATTACTATGATTAAGATATTTAAATACAAATATTTGATTTTTAATTTATAAAGTTGATGATTTTCTTTTCCTAAAAAGTTTTTCTTTGAATATTTTTTATGAATATTTCTTTTGTTTTTTAATCATTTTCTTTACTCGAATTTAATAAAAAATAATAATTACAATGAACAATGTGGACAATTCGTTTATAGCTATATCATTAGCAGTAATGTTGTATAAAAAAATATATGAGTGTACCTTTAAATTGGAGTATTGTCTCTACTATCTTATCCTAAATTACTTTTTGATAAGGCTGGATATCCATTTACTGTTTGTGGACTTTAAGGCTGCATATTATTCAGTGAATAGAAGAACTATGGAATGTAATGTAATAAATGGGGATACCAAGAAAGATCATAAGAATGATTTAAGTATGTGTACATGGTTCGAAATGCAAAATAAATACGGAGGGGAAGAATCAGAAAAATTTGAAGTAAGTACAGACTTAAGATAGGGAGATGACACTACCAGCAACTGGTAGTAATAGAGACGCAGACGGTATCGTAATAATGGCGGAGAGTGAGGAAGACCTTAAGAGAACTAGCATAGTAGCAAATTGTTAGAAGAAAGCATAAAAATTTAATTAATAATCAATAAGGAAAAAACAAAGTACACGCTAGTCACGAAACATAATTGTGAAACAAGACATTTGGAAGTGAATAATTACAATATTGAAAGGGTAGCAAACTTCAAATACGTCGAGTTAAACATCAATGAAAATGCTGTCAGCTACGAAGAAATAAGACTAAGATTGGTAGCAGCAAATAAATGCTGATGCAGACTAGTTGTCCTTTTCAAGTAAAAGATACTATCATGGAAAACGAAAATTATGCTAACAAAGTTCTGGTGAGACCGGTAACACTATATGACTATGAGGCATGGATAAAAAAAACGGATGAAAATAGATTTGCTATTTGAAATAAAAGATCTTTAGCAGAATATTTCGGCCAAAAAGAAAGGTCAGAAAGGGAGCTCGAATTAAGAACCGAAAAGTAGAAGAACTATATGGCGAAACAAATAAGAGAGAGTCCTTAAGAGCAGTAGGTTGGGATGAACTGAACGTGTGTGTAGGTTTGAAGACCCTAATGGGTTGGCCACAAGAAGGCCAAGAGATAAACTGAAGTTGTGAGTAAAAATTAGAGAAGAACTAATTTAAAATAAAGATGGGTGGAAGCAAGTGGCTGTTGCGTCAATGGCCCAAAAAATGGTCCGTAATTCCAATGAAGAAGAAATAAGAAAGAGTGGGGTATAATTTTTTCAAACAGAGGTACCTAAAAAACTTGATGAGCAAAAAAAATATATGTCATCCACGTATGTAATTCAAGAATCTCTATTTCTATTACCTTTATTAAAGTGTTCTTTTTATAAAAATGTTAACATAATTATATATATATTTATTATAATGGGGAGGGGACTAAGTATCAAAATGATTATTTGTTAATATTTCCAATCAGTTTATATTATTAGTATCCAAATCGTTTAGAAATCAATGTGTAATATATATTATAAAAATATATCATGAACACGCACACTAATGGAAAAGTTGTGTAAGTCATCTTTTGGGTAAAATTAGCTTTATCTTTCTTTGATATCAAATAAAAAAATATGTTCTAAAGCAAGATTACTGTTTTTATTAAATCTACATTTTTATTAGTCCTCGTGAGATTTCTTCTAACCATTACATATACAAAATTATATTAAATATGATATATTATTAAATAGAAAATCTCAGTACCTAAGGTAGATATAGCCTAGCCAGCTATCTCTAGTGGGTCCCTTAAAATACTGTTGACGGGCATTTTGACTCAACCCCTAAATAGTGACGTAACAACTGGACAAACCTTAACAAATCAGGTACGAAGTTTATCCTAGATTTTCGTTAAGGGTTCACGCATAATTAAAAAATTAGGTGGTGAGTACAGGTGTACCCCCGATTATACTACTGATTATTAGATGACCATACAAATAAAAATGTTTGAGATATGATATTTTGTATTTTACAACTTAAAACTGTTTGACTATAAATAAAGTTATTTCATCTATTAACAGAAACTATTATGGTGGGTGTCATTAGCGTTAAAAAAACAATAAATGTTAGGGACTAATTTTAATATATTTTTAATATATATAAATATATTTATATAACAACAAATATAATTCTTCTAAACTTTTAAGAAACTAATTACGCGTTGATAAATTGTATCATAATAGGATTTGATTCATTAACTCTATATAATAAAAAAATTGTAATTAGAGATATTCACATTTTTCCTTTAAACAAAGTTAAAGAATTAAATATCGCAAAATTTTAAATATTATAATCTACTTTTCTAGTTCTCAATGATCTAAGTCCAAATTATTCAATTAATACTAACCCCTAGGCTATCACCTAAAAGTAATTACAGGTAGTTATATTATTCTTTGTTCGATGAAAAGAAAATTTTTTAATTATTTTTATGGTAAGTATAATGTTTTATTTATCATTGTCCATAAAGTAAAAATTTCAGTTATCTAATGATTGGACATATGCAATTAATCATTTTTAATATAAATAATTTTGTTAACCCACTCTTTTTATTTATCTCTTATAAACATCATATTATCTTCAGTGACTTTCATATTTACAAATGACTTTCAAACTAGCTTTTTATAACCTTTATTAGCATTTTTTTAAAGATAAACTTTTTTTTTCTATAGTTATAAATTTCACTTTCATACTTAAAATGTATCCCATTTCATGACAACAACAATAAATTATTATTATTTTTATTTACTTCTTGTAATGATAGTTATAACATTTGGTTTATTACGCTACATATAATTATTTTCATGAAAATCAGCAACAAAATTTTCTAAGAAAATTTTATTTAAACATATATTTTGTTCTCACCTTTGCACTTAACCTATAAAAGTTACAACGTCTGTTTACAAGAAAAATATAAAAGTTTTAAATTTTATTAAAACTCTAATACTTATCTACAAAACAAAAAATTTACAATCGTTATACATTACATTAAGCACAACTCTTAAGTATTTAAACAAAAAATCATGTTAATAACCAAATTAAAAACAAATTTCAATAATGTAAAGTAATTAGTTAAAACGCATAACAAAAATATCACACAAAAGTTGTTTATAAATTTGTAACAAAATGTATGTTTACTATATTAAAAATGTGTGATTAAGATAGTTAAATCACAAAGAAATATATTTTTTAAGAATTTCAACATTCAAGGCTTTAAGAGTAAATTAAAAATAACTTAAAAAAACCTCCCTCAATAGGGAATAGGAGGAACTTGAGTATTTTATTTTTCAATATTATTAATGTTGTTGATTAATCAATATAAGATTAAAAACAAAATTTCATCTAAGTTAGTAAAAAAATTACTGATTAAGAAGACTATGATACAAATGATCAAAGAGTTCGAAAATGTTTCGTAGTTATTAAAGAATTCTTAAAAATACTTATTTATTTTAAACAAATTTAAATCTTATCGTTTAAATTTAAAAAAACATATTGTTTGATGGTGTTTAAACAGATATTGAAGATATAAAATTTATGACATTACTACTATAGTTTATTGCGGCTAAAATATTATATTTTATCACTAATAAATATTATTACATGTTTTAAAAACTTATTATTATTTCGAAGTCCAATTTTAGGATTTTGAAAAGAAAAATTTCAAATAGTTATCGAATATTAACTGATTATTCGTGTTAAACAAATATTCATTAAAAAACTATAGCACGTTACTTTATTGATCGTTTAATTAGTAAATTAAGTAAATTAGTAAAAGATAATATAAATTATATATAATTTTGAAAAAACTATGATTATAAATAGTGAAAGAATATTACTCATTTCTGAAATGTATTTTGAATTAATTATCAAACATCATTTATATAAGTATAGAAGTGTAATGAAGTCTTTATATGCCAAGTCTAATCTTAATCATAATAAAATCATACCAAAAACTATTTAATAGTAAATACTTAAGGAAAAAAAACATTGTAAATTAATTTAAATTGAATGAATTTTAAACAATAGCGTAACTAGGACTTAGTTTAGGGAGCAATAAACATAAGAAAAACTCCCTGTAAAATACACAATCTCATTTATATTTTTAATCAAAAGATTTATCTCTATTGTTCTTTCATTTCTAATTTAATATAAAAATTGAGAAAATGTAATATATAGTTCAAGTTGTCAATAATTTTCTAACTAAAATACAGTATTTTATTTTAATTTATTAAAATGCTTTCTTGTAAACCTGGTTAGAAAATCTGGTTGTAATACTTGATGAAAAGGAATTGAACCCTGATATTCAAGTACTAAAAAAAAACCCAGTACAGGGGGGTCGCGGCACAGTGGTGACGTGGTATAGATGGATCAAGTATAATGATATCTGACAGTGATTAAAATCACTATAAAAAAAAAACGCTTCGATGCAAATCTTTAGATACTGTTTAACTTAAAAAAATTGGTGGACTATTCCAAAAGCTACATGATCTGCTAGTTCATTATTAATATCCTAATTAAGATAAAATATGTAGAATGAAAAAGGGATTATTAAAAAATATTATTTCTCATAAAAAAAAATGTTGATCCATACACTTTTCAATATGTCATAGCATTATAAAGTTAAAAATGTAAAAAATAAAATCGAGAATTTTCACACAATAATAGCATTCGGTAGCCATTTTCACCGTGAAGATAAAATAAAGTCCGAAATTTTTTTTTCGCATAATAAAGTAAATTACATTAGCTTTAATTTAAGATATATATAAAAGTGTCAGACCTTCCGGAACATTTTCAAAAGTTAAGTTGAAAAAGTTAATTTTTTGTGAAAAAGTTGTCATTTTAAATCCCCCCATGTGGGCAGGTTAAGGGTTAAATTTATGAAAAAAATATACCAAACGAAAGGTAATGATATTACACATCTATATAAAAAATAATTATATTGATATGTTCATTTTTGAAAAAGTTATGGCACTTTTACGTAAAAAAAATTGAAAAAATTTCGAAAATTAGCAATTTTTAATTTTGTAATTTTTTTGGAGGTTTCCCCCATTTACGGGGAACGAAGGCATTTTTTTCAATTTTTGAGGGTAATGTCTTTGACTAGATACAATTTGTGAACTTTTGACGTATCATTGAAAGAAATTGGTTCAGTGAGAGCTGAGAAAAAGTGGTAACAGTCACAAAAAAAAAAAAATAAACACATCTTAGTAAAACCAATACCTTCTCAGCTTCGCATCGAAGCTAAAACGATGCGTTACCGACCGACCTAAACTGGCTGTAAAATTTATTTATTTATTTTAATTTTTACTTCTTTGTATATTTTTTGCTAGTGTCTTTTTATCTTTTTTAAGTACCGTCAAATGCTTCAATTAAAGAGCTGATTGAAATCAAACGTTTTCAAAAATAGTAACTTGATTTAAAATTCTTGCTAACTAAAAAAATGTCTTTTTTTATGTAATTTTTCAAAATATGATATCTATTATTGATGTCTCTAGTTAATTTAATCCAATTTTAAATAATAAAATTATTTTAAGACAAGAAATAGAATTGCTTTCGTCTAATGAAAGAAAATATTTGAATAGTCTTTTGTTAAAGGAATATATAAAATATGCTCAGCCAATTAAATTTTTTAGTATTTAATTATTTTTTATTTATTGACATAAGAGTCTTAGTCATAAAGAACATAAGCCTCTTCTCAAAATTTACGTGACCAACAAATATTTGACCGGAATTGTTACATTTAAAAAGATTTTGAGGAAATAAAACCATCAAAAGTAATATTTATGATAAAATTATAAACATTTTCTTTAGCCCTCTTAAATAAAGTACGCTTGATAAATATATGATATTGCAAAAAATATTTTTCTATTTTCTTCCTTAACAGTTTTATTTTAGTATTTTAAATAGTATATATTTATTCAAAACTATGATACTACTAGACTTATTTTTTTTAACTAGTTTGAAATTCAAGTCCAGAAATCAAATAATAATTTTTAGTTTTAACTGACAATTTGAAAATAATTGGTCCCATTTCATAAATAGCGACTTATTTAATCTTATTTATTTATAATAATATATGTATATATATATATTAAGGTAAATTAAAAAAAATTAAATTATTTAAAAATAATTTGGTTTGTATACAAAAGTAGAAGCCATATTGTGGGATTAGTTTTATTTATGTTTTTGTCTATTACATTATTATTTGTTTTGCATTACCATGTTAAATATTATATAAATAGAATCTAGTAGGTTCAACGTGCTTTGCTTTATTCTACATTTTTGTTTTTTCACTATTTTAAAATCTTATTAAACTATTGTCTTTTATGTAAGTATTAATAAAGTTTTAATATTATTAAAAATAGTTAAAAAATATACACATAGGGTAATTATTCTTTTCCAAAAACTTTTAATATATTTATTTTAAATTATATAATAATATAAGCATTTGTATAACACGAAACTAAAATTAAAATAATTAAATTTAATCAATTTGTTTGATTCTCTCTAACGTGAGACTTTTGACACAGTAACGTACAGAATTTTCTAATAAAAAAGGTAATATTGAATAGGAGTTAATATAGAAATAATAAAAATTGATGATCTTAAGTTATAAAGCAATATTATTGCATTATCAAAATCTTCATTTACATTATTATTTTATTATCCAAAGAAACATATTCTAGTTAACTAATTACAATGATTAAATATTATTTTGAGAATAAGTATAATTAATCAATAAAATTATTAAAATTCAAAAAATGTCGAATGATATTGTTATAAATGATTAATATTTACCGAAAATTGGTAAATAACAAATTACTACCAAATTTTGATTTTTATCGTTAATTCAATTGTTTACAAATACCGAAAAATTCGATATACTGTTATATACAACCATACGCTATTTCAACAAAATTTGAGAAGTCCCTCCAAACCCCTCCAATTTAGGCAACAACTACCGGAATTATAAATATTGTCAAATCACAATACCAGTATTTTTTTGGTGTTTTGAAAATATTACGGCCCTGCTCAAACTTATTAAATATTTTTTGGATCGAATATTCATGTAAGTATAACGAATAGAAGTAACTTTTGTAAGTTAGTTGAATATATGAGTATTGAATTTTTAACAAAAATTCGAGTACAAATATAAAACGTGTAATCATTAGATATAATTTTTTTTTAATTTTTGTCAAACCAAGTATAAAATACTCAGCATAATGGGAATATTTTTATTGCATAAGATTTTATACTATTTTTTTCAACAAGTTATTTTTCTTTTAATAATATTATATCACACTGCACTTACAGATAAAATTGATTAATTGGCAAACATAACATAATAATCATTTGGTTTGATTGGACATTATTTTAATTTATTTTATAGAATAATTTATTTATATTCCAAGTAAAACAAAGAAATTTTTTTTCTGGATGTCAATTGACAAGGTTTAACACTACTCTCTTAATTGTATCCAATAAAGGACATTGCCCTCACGGCGATATTCCTGTATTGACCCTACGATCATGTTGTTGTTGGAACTTCGGTTGAATTTAGAATAATAATATACTCAAGAGAAAAGTTTCATGAAAATGAAACAAATGTTTAAGGATATAAAACTGGTTTTCTTTTATATACAGTGGTTTTGCATACAATTCTTAACAAAATTTGCCTCATGTGGATGTATAAAATCGTTAAATACATATCTTCGATGATATATATAATTCTATATATTTAACAAATTTTTATGCTATCAAGTCACATAAAGTATAACATACCGCAATCGATCCGAGAACAAAATGTTTCATGACTAGTTAATAAGTTTATTAAGATCAGTTAACGTTGTAAATGAGTTGACTAAAATGTTATCATACATTTATGTCAAAACACAATTAGTTATTTACATATACACATAAATATATATAGATATAAATTAAATATATTCCCTTAATCAAGAATTCCAAAAAAATGTGAACCTTCAATGGATAATGTAATATACATTTGAAATTTAAAGAAATCTTACAGAGAGATAACATAGTCTTCAAGTGCGCTACATTGTTAACGAATTTTAACATAATCCAAGTGTATCGGTTGCACACGGCCATAATTCGAATGAATATTATATAATTGTATAAATAATAATATTCTTATGGACATACGTATATAGACCGCAGGTCTTCAATACGCCGTTGCGAGTTATACACAGTGCGAAAATTATTGTGATCAATACGACGCAGTTTGTGTGACGTCATCCCCCCCAATTGCCAGGGGAACCAATGGGAGGGACCGCTGGTTTACCCGTAAAAACAAGAGAACATCCCGATCAGCTGGCTTTCGTCTGTCTCTCGTTGTGGTTGTCGGTTCGTTTTCAGTTTTTTTGTTTTCGTTTTGTATTTTTGTTTTAAATATATATATATATAAATATATACATATATTCAAACAAATATATAATTAGTATATTTAATTAATTTATAATATAGTATATATCAGTCCTATTTTTAATTTAATTTGAAAAAAATTATTGTAGTCTTATTCATTTTACCTTAAAATTTATAAGCCTATCGAGATCTCTAACAATATTTTGTGTTTACTGTTTACTGTTATAGGTAAGTTGGTTTTATTTTTTTCTCTGGATATCGCTTGAAAATCATTGACTCTGACCAAGAGAATAGAAATAGATTGTTTACTTTAGGCAGTTGTATTATTTTAGCTTCGCTTTAATTTTTTCCTTAAGATAATGACTAGGCGCAGGGTAAATTATTTTAAATCGATAGAAAATTAAGCCTTGAATAATTTTTCTTTAATACCGTTTTATTTGTCAAAGTTAATTGAAAAATGGGCGTTGTAGTAATAACAATATATAAAATGATAATTTTTTTTAATAGTTCTATGCATACGTTATTAAAACAAGTTAAAAGTTCAATCATTATTTAATAATAGCATAAAAATGGAAATGTTAATTGATGTTTCCCTGGGAGTTATTTAAGATAAATTTACAAATCAAAAATAATTTTACTTTCAAGTATATGAGTTACGGAACCATAATAAAAATTCAATGTCAAAATAAATAAACACGACCTACTAAAAATAAACGACCGAGAATGCAAATGCATAGGGAAAATATCAGCTGGTATTTTGTTAGAGTTGCATAGCTTCAGGGTCACAGAAATTGGTTACCTTGACTATATAGCATAAGAGGAGCTGTAGCTCCTAAGTTAATTTTGACTATTGTCTCTCTCTCTCTCTTTCTCTCCGATGCATTTCATATAATATTGTTTGTCCTCGATGCATTTGTATGTTTTATGCATAATAACAGTTGTGGTAGTAGTAGGAATAGTATAAATAGTTTTAGTACAAATAATCTCGTATCTTCCTTATGTTGGGACTAAGAAAAACATTGGACTAGGCTAAAGCGATAAAAAGAAGGGGTTATCTACATCTATGTGTACACATGAATGTCTTTGTTCGGCTTAGAGTAATCGCTTCTCTTTCTCTTCACCTCCGGCCACCGCCTACTGCGTCGTCGTTATTGCATCAGCTGTTTCTGTCGCTTTTGTTCCGTAACGATTTTTTTGTTTTGTTTTTGTTTCCAACGCTGTACAGCGATCGGACAACGAAAATAATTTTCTTCGTTAGCATCACTTTATTGTTAGTACTTGCATTAGATTATTTTTCAAATTGTACAAAAAAAAAAAACTAACAGTCTATATGCACATTAGACGATCAGCATAGCGAGGATGTACTGCTGCTGTTTGTTTTACCGTGGTGGAGGCATTATGGTGTATTGCCGTTTTTTGCTGGGCGTTGCTCTGTGCCTAATATTTCGTCAATATTTTGATTGTTTTGCGAAATGTAGGACGAGTCGAGGTCATTCGATGTTAGCTTGTGGTGTATACAAGAAAAACCGTTAGTGCATGCAGAAATTTAATTCTACTATGGCGTATAGAGTACATTATCCTCTGTACTTTCTAGAATACGATTTTCTCATACTAAAATATAATAACAGTAATTACCGAAAAGATCTGCGGTTGGAGGTTTTATGTATACCCAACTAATAACAAAAATATAAAGCTTATGAAGAGAGTGCCTGTTTTGTTTTGTATTCAGTTTTTAGGACGTCCATTATGTTTCGACAGAGCGTACTTCCTCTGATCATTGTAAACACTGTTTACTAAACAGTTAACTAGACCAATCAAAACTATAAATTTACGCAGTTCAACATAAAGTTATCCGATCTTTGCTCTGTCTATGTAAATTTTCCTTTCACGTTGAATAATACACATCATAATTCATTGCCACGGTCGGTTTTGTTTTTGCTTCGATTTTTCTGAGTCATTTAAGCATTAAATACAATAAATCCTACTTAATAGATACTATGCTTATACTATACTATATATTTAGTTACTATTTATACACTTATTAATTAGAGAAGTTCGAGGCCTTATTAAGATTTCAGTTAGGATTTTAACATACATGTTTTTGTCTTAATACATCGCTTTGGTAATACATTTTGCAGTTTCCTGATAAATTAAAAAACAGTAAACGGATTTTAATAATTGCTTTACTTTAGGGTCACCGTGATAGCTTTTTGTAAGTGCATTGTGTGTATAATCGCATTTTGGAATATTATTACTATGAGTTATGTGCTTTACATTTGTGCTGAAGGTTATAAACGACCTTGATTGATCTAATAGTTAGACCGGATTACCTTGTTATAGAAAATGAGGGAAAAAGTAATATGTTTTTTGAAATTATTGTTTACCATAGTTTATCGAAAATTTTGATAAATTAACTACGAATTTAAAAATTTTATAAAAATTGCCCTCGTAACCCATTTAAATTATGTTTGCTATTCATACCTTAATCGTACGTTCAACTCATTACGATTACTCAACTGTTCGTTATTATTTATTCATGAATTTTTTAACGCGCAAAATCGATGTCGGAAAACTATCAAACCTTTTGTTTAATTTCATGACCTATGATCTGGACTTCTATGTGTATCTAATTTTTATTTTACTCGTACTTAATGACTGATAATGTTTGATAATCGACACACGCGCAGTAATTTACTATCTAAATTTTAATTAATACGATGGATTGGCCGCATCCGTCAAAGCCGTTATTATGTAATTAAAACAAACATCGACAGGCTGGTATGGCGTACAACATAATGAAGCAATTGACTTGCTGTTTCTAAATAAGTGTATACTGATGCGGTATACTTAATTCGGGTCATTGTGCCATCTCAATTTTAAATAGTCATTGAAACTTGCCGTAAATTACTGGTGATGCTTTTATTGGACCACGGTTATTTTTTAATTTATTGCGTCGTTACAAAGTTATTTTTAGAAAACGAAGGGTACGTTTAAGTAAAGATAACGCGTAGTAGGCCGTATGAATAGACTTGTATTGACATAGTTGTGAGAAAGAATGAGTGCGATGTGGATGCGTAACCGGTTTTTGCCTGGTGTAATGTTTTATTGCCCCGTCAACACATTATACTATAATATAGTATACGTTGTTTGACGATTTTCACAAAAAATTACAAATTGTGTTTATGTAGATAAATAAATTGGAAAAAATATTTCTCATCAGCATCAATATGATTATTATTTATATACAGTGTTCAGTAAGTAAGGAAATAGGTAAATTACTATAAACAATTAACCCGTTTCCTTACTTACTCTATCACTTTATCAAAATATGGTATTAAAAATAAGTAGTTTAAATTGAAAAGTTTAATCAAGAAATCAATCCTTACCTGTTTTAGTTGATGATATGTACTTTTCCTTATTTAACTTCCGCGTTGATAAGAGAACTAATGAAAACCATAGCTTATCCTTGAAATATAACTTATTTATCAAATTGTCAATCGGAACTAACTAAAACGATTAGGGAGTAATAATGCCTAATTGTGTGTGAATGAAATAATCTATTGAAATTTTAATACTTATTAAAATCAAAATTTTGTATCCGTGTCATTAACTTATCTACAATTTAAGTATTGATATCTATTTTGTTTTTACGTAAAATGTTCATAGCATTTCGTTGGTTTTATCAAATCATTATTAAACTTTTCAGGCATTTTTAATTTGTCAAGGTACATACACTAAATAAATGTTGTTCTTTGTCCTGATTGCTTTCCTTAGCTATAGTCCTAATTATATTTTAGTTTTGAATTTATATTTATTAATATTTAAAAACTTCTAGGCTGTAAATATCAGAAAAATGCTAGTGAAAATATTTTATTTCTGCTTTGATCTTGCGTATTGACTTTTGGAAAGTAAATTATATTTGGCTAAATTTTGTGTTGGTGTTTTTTATTTAGAGTCGTTTGGCAAACTGAAAATAATATTCACTCAGTGTTGGCAAAAATTATTGGCAATACGGTTTGCATTGACCTTCATTTTAAAAATGTTGTCATGTTTGTTTACATATATAAAAAATTAATTATTTGCCGTATATATTTATCTTTATTCGCTTCTTTCACTTGCCAAACTTTTTTCTGTAAATTTATAAGAATACATGATTTTTAACTTATGAATCTTTTGAATTTTTGTATTAATTATTCTTTTTATTTCAGTTCCTTACTGACCGCAACCAATCGTGCCAACTCCTAGACGTATACAACAAAAGGTAAATTTATATTTAAACAAAATAATTTAGAACTTATTAAATAATAAATAAATAACAATGATAATTTTAAAATTAATTAAAAAATTATAGACTTTAAATTAAAATAATTTATGTTGACTATTTGCTCATTTTTCAATTTCTATAAACTTGCTACCAAAACTATAAGTTACGACTTCATTATACATTATACTCTAACTTTAATTTAGTTTTGTGTTGTTTTAAATTAATTAGTTATTTAAAAATAATAACTTTCTTGTATTTATATTTTATAATTTGTTAATTTTAAAACAAATTTTCATAAAACCTATAAATTGTAATAAAAGTTCTTAGTTATCTAGAAAATTTAATCACTATTGTTATATAACAAAAGAAAATGAAATCTACTTTTTTAAGTTATCTAATTGACCCATATAGATTTGTTGGTATCGAAATATAAGTGGTTAGCAAAGTTATAAACTATTCAATGTATTATCAATGTTCTTCAATTTAGTATAAGATAACTAAGTTAAATTTTACATTATTTATTAAAATTACTTGGTACACAGTTATATAAATTTTATTAAGTTAATAATTTTATCTTAATAACTTTTATTTTAAACAACTATTTTAGTTTTACAAGAACTTTTTGTTTCACTTAGAATAAAAAGAATTATATAAATTAAAGTTCAATTTTATTAAGATAAAACATAACAAAAGGAACTAGATTTAAATGAACTTGACATTGAATGTGTATTGACAAATTATTAGTAGGTACATGGGCACGTGTTTAATTACATAAATAATGATATATTTCTCGACTCGCATGATAAAATTTTACTTTGTTTGTTTTAAGGTTGACAAATATTTATTTGATCATATTTTTTTATCACTATAACAGTGCATAAAAATTATTTTTTTAATTTATAAATAATCTATTTAATATTTTTTATTGCCACATATTTGATGTAAAAATTATAAAGGCGCAATTTTTAAAGTAATTCATAAAGATAGTTAAAATTATTTTTGAGTCGTATTTCTCTTTTTTTTTATTTAAAAAAATATTCATTATATGTAGGACCGGAATGTGAGGAACCTGAACTATTATAAACCTTCATTAATGTATACTGGCATAACAATTGTATTAAAATTTGCTCTTTATTTATAAAGAAACATTTTATCTATAACCTTATTTTTTGCGTAGCCAAAAATGTTTTCAAACATATCGAGTTGGTTTTACGGAAGTGCTCCAGCTGAAAAAACTGCCGAAGTATCTGAGCCATGCCCAGATGCTTTAATTGAAATTGACGAAAATTTTGAACCAATCGAAGTGGACGAATCTGATGATTGGGTTATTCTAGGTAAAGGTAATTAAAAAAATATTTCAAAACAAGTTTATATCTTTTCCTTAATCAACTTTTTTACAGGTGATTCCGAAGTGGATGTTAAAAAGACTGATGATGAAGGGATGACTGTTGAACGACACAGCCGATCATCTTCATCTTGCCAAAATGAAGAAGGATGGTTTGTTACTCCTCCTCCATGTTTTACTTCGGTTGGACCATCAGACATGGAGACTACTCCCTTGGAAAATCTTCTAATTGAGCATCCTAGTATGTCTGTTTACCATAGTCCAACTGTAAGTTCAGTGTTACCAGAAAAAAGAACTCTTGCATCGATTTCTAGCAATAATGAGTCATTTGATGATGACACACCAATTGTTTTTGAATCAGTGAAAAGCAGAAATCGTTTACCAAGACAACATAAAAAGAAGACCTTGAAGAAGTCTGTTCCCTTAGATGAATTTAAAGTTTCCCCAGAAATAATTTTGGGAAATGTTCCAACAGTAAATGCACCTATCATTGTTGAAGCTAAAAAACTAAATCGTTCAAATTTAGAAATGTTCCCTGTATTAAGTGCTGTATCTAAACCTAAGGTATCTTCTCAGAAAGTGGTTCGCAGTTACAAAGAAGTAGCTGCTTCATTGAAACGCAGACAACCTAAAAACGAAATTTCTCAAACTAATAAACATGTAAAAGTTGAAACTGAAATCACAACTATAAATAAACCAAAAGTATTGACATCTACTACAGAAATTGAGACACCTGTACAAGTTATAACAACTCCTAAAATAGTATTAAAGAAAAGCCGTAAACCCCCAAGTTCATTGCCTCATTTAGTTAAAAATGAGGCAAAGAAAATTCCAAAAGAAATTGTTCCTAAAATGCGCGCTCAAGAGCGTTTAGTTAGATTAAGTTCCTTCAGTGTCATTCAATCAACAGATTTGCCAAATAATGAAAAATCATCAAAGAAAAATGTTGCTAAATTTGTTAATGGAGAACAATATGCCATTAACGATGAAAATATAAAATCTACTGTAGTAGTACCTAAACCTGTTGTTATTGGTTGTGAAGAAAAGAAAAAAAGGAAAGTACAAAGAAAAAATATTATTAAACCAACTAAAAATGAAAAGGTTGAAGAATCTACAACCAATCTGGCAATTACCTGCAATCCTCAAACAGTAGTAGAACGACCTAAGTGTGAAATTACAGAAAAAAGGGATCAAAAATCTCCAGTGAAGAAAGAAAATATCATAATACCATTAACAACATCTATAGCATTGAACTCTCTAGTCTCACGTCCCGAAGAAAATGCTTATAAACATGAGTTACTTAAAAGAGAGCTAGCAATGATTGCTGGCACAACTAAAGCTCAAAAAGTAAGTTAACTTTTTAGTGGCTTGATATAAATAAAAAATTATGAAATTGTTAGCAACTTAATATTTTTACCATACAAATTATTTAAATTAATTTCTTACATTGTGAAAATTATTTTTTTAGTTACAAGCTCATAGAGAGACACGGATTTTATGTCGCAATCAACTGGCACACATCAATCGTGTGAATTTAATGCTAAGTGCCAGTAATAAAAGACTGAGGAGGGCCGATAAGAATATGCGACCATCGGGTGCTAACAACAATCGCAAATGCTGTTAATTTTATTAACATATAAACAGCTATGTCTTTGTCTTAATAACATACTGGCTACAAAAATATTCAGTTAAAGATAGTCTCTATTATTTAAATAAATATTTATGTTTAATCATAGGGTCAGTGGGATTAAAAAAATATATAAAATAATTTTAACAAAATTAAAAAAAGTTAAAAATTGAAAAAGAAAAAAAAAGTGTGATTGTTTAAATATATTTTAATTAATATAATCCATTTATTTTTAATAATACTGACACTTATATTATTTCTTAAATTACAATCAGTCATAATAATATTTAAAACATCTAGTTCATTTTTCTTCTAATTATTTTGTTGCTATTGCCTGTTTATAAAACTGCTATACATAAGCACTGATAATTACTAATTACTAATTTGTTCTTGGAACAAAGTAGTATTGAATATGAAGAAGTAATTTTGAGTATCATCAACTATTAACTTATACAGACATGTATAAAGTAAAATATTCTAATATTATTAGTTACCACTCAGTAAATGAACTGTAATATTTGACCAGTATCATGTATATCCTCCATACATAAAAATAAAAGATTGTTTTTGTTATTAAATTGTACCTGATATAAATAAATATCTTTTAAGCAGAAATGGTTGAAAATGTGTTTTTGTGTGCATTTATTTTGTAGACAATTTAACACTTAAACAAGTTCTTTTAAACATTATTTACTACAAAATTAATAAATGTAGATATATTCTAAAAATGTAAGTAACCATGACTCGCTATATCAACTATTCTGGTCGATATGGTGGCTAAACATTCAATCATTGTGTAAATAATAAATTTTAATTTATTTTATTTTTGATTTACTATTAATGTATTTTAAAAAATAACATGTGTTAGAAATCTTGAGTATTTTTAATTATTTATTCCCAAAAGAAAAGATACTAAAAGCTGTATTAATTTTGCTTGTTACATGTATATAATAAAGTATAAATAATATTACTTATATTTTGTTTTCAGTACAATATTTTTAATTTTTATTTATGTTAAAATCTATAAATTGTTTATTGAAAACTGTATTATTTATGTAACTTAAATTTGTAATTATATGATTTTCATTAATCATGGTGTATGTAATAATGCCCTGGTGTTTAAATCAATTTTTTTTAAATATTTTTGTATATTAAAAATTATTTATTGTCATTATATGTCCAAATATTTTATTTGATAGTCAAGAAACACAATGTGTTAATTTTTTTCTTCTTCGATACAGATATATAGAATTGTTATTATATTGTAATACATAGATATAAGTATTTTAAGTTCAGCAATAACATATTAATTAAGAACTTCTGTTTATTTTCATGATGTATAAAACTGATTAGTTAACTAAAATTTTTTCATTAATTCTACTTGACAATAGTTCTTTAAATTATTTTTAAGACTATTATCTTGAAAAAAATTATCATACCAACTAATATATACATTAAATAAATGAACGTCATTCAAAAATTCATATTAATGTGGCGAAGCGATTCTGTCTCAGACTTTAAAAACATATTGCACATAACATTTGCTCATTATTTATCACAACATAATTTTAATATTTTAAAATTTTTTCTTTAATTTTGTTACTATGTTTAAGAGGTAAGTCACATGCAAAATGTATTATGTCAAAATCTGTGATCTTAACTAAACTTTTAAGAAGCAATATTTATTAGAATTTAACAATTTAATGAAATGATACATTTAATAAAAAAAATTGTCTTCAATGATTATAGCATTTAAATGTAAAATATAAAGAATAACTAAAAATCTAAAAGCTAATCTATTAGCAAAGTTAAATTATATTCTTATCTTTAATTTTGAATGTGTTTATATTAGTGATGACTTTCATCAATAAATAGGTATTTGGCATTAAATTAATAAATGTTAATGGTAATTTTCTATTTGAATATAATTGTATCCACCAATGTGTTTATTGTTTAATTTTTATTTTCAATATTTTATTATTTATTTATTTGTTCACTAAATGTATAATAAATCATATACCTTTTGTAAATGGTACATATATACTTATTTACACATAGATATTGACTATATAATATAACTATATGTAATATGTATGTTGTATTAGTAGGGCTACAGCTTGTGTTCATTAAAAAAATATATATATTAAAAAGTATTAATTCATGAGTTCGTAAAAAATTGTTATTTTATATTTAGACCTCAATTACCAATTGAATCCTTACAATTTGACAGATCCTACATTATATATAACTGTTGTAATGTAGGAATTATAAATTATATGTAGGTTTTAACTATGAACAAAATAATTATTTATTTCTGTATTATAGTTAGAACCTTCAAGAACATTTAATTATGATTATTTCACGTTAAGAGTTTAATTGTTAAAAATATTAATAAGCGTTTTAAATAATGCACGGTTAATGTAAATTTGTTGTAAAGGAAATAACATTTTTCTAGGATACAATTTCCAAATATTAGTACATATTCTTACTTATATTGAAACGTATGTTTTTTAGGTTTTCTTTATTTTATTTAACAGGCCAACATTGATATGAGATTTGAAAAACGGAGAATCATTTTTAATAAACTATTTATTTGATCAAATCTATCACTCATGAATTGAATAAGTAAACAAATTATTTTATGAATTTTTAATTTGATAGCTGAAGATTTATCAGAATGAAGCACAAATTTTAAAAACAGTTAAACAAAAATAAAAGACAATTATTGGATTAAATTAAATTTATTATCATTTCCTTAACTTCCTATCTTAACTATTTGGAATCCTCTTTGCCCTTAAAATGACTGAACAGGATTTTTAAATCAGCTTTCGGCCTGAGACAACCGTATTATGACTAAGGAAACCAGTCAGAGGAATAGGTGACCAATCTCCCATATGGTCACCCATCCATCAGCAAACAATGTAGTTAAACATCAATGCTAAAGTAAGGTCTGAATAATCAACTAAGCCATACTATGCCTTTTAGATTAAATCAAGTTAACTTAATTAATTTAAATTCCAGCCAATAACTAAATTTTTTTATTGGTTTTGTGTAAATTAGAATAAGGTGGCTATATTTAACGGATTAGATATAAATTTAGTTAATGTTCAAGGTCTGTAAGGAAGTCGAGAACTTAATATATTTTTATTCTGTATAATGTAAGTTAACATTACAAGAATCATTATCATTTGATGTAACTTTTTTGTCAGTATACTCCCAGTAAATAAATTGTCTTTGAACAAAAACTATAAACATTTAGGAATTGTGCTGGCTGGGCTTCTTAATTTTGCTACCTCCAATGATCTTTATATTTTACTTATCAAAAAAAATATTTTTTGTATCACTATTTTTTTTTAATTTAAAAAGCAAAAAAAAAGTCTTCAACTTCATATTTGAGTATTGCCCATTTAATGCAGCCCTTAAATTAATGACATAATTCTACTCATTCCACCTATAAATAAAAGGATTTTTCATTTTAAAAATATGAGATAGTTATAAAGAAAAACATATTCATTTTTACAACTCATTTAATTAAAAGTTTATATAATTACAAAAAAATAATCTGGACAACTAATGAAAATATAAAAAAAAAATTCATTTTAAAAAGCTTCAAATAAATACTAAAAATCAATTTCTATAATTTGTATTTATTTAATCTTCTATGATTACTTATGAAATCATAGAATTTAAAATCTAATTAATTAGAAATAACAAGATAAAAATTATTTAACAAAAACAATAGTTATTTTTAATAAGCTAAACCTTTTGATCAACAATATCAGTTTGTATACTAAGATTCAATTTTTGCTTTGCACTAGATAACATTTTAATTATTTCTGCAGTGGATTGATCTATTTCAACTCGATTAATTGATAACAGCCATGAAACATTTTCTTCAAATTTGAGACATATGTTTTCCTTATTACTTTCCTGTCAATATTAAATTTTCAATTACTTTTTTTTTATTATACAATACATATAAAATTTTTTTCATTTAAATGTAATATATAAAAATAGAACACTTATACTTATAAAATATATAGAAAAAATTATTCATTTATTTAAAATGCACAATAAATATGATAATGAACTTACAATATGATTTAACTTGTTCATTAATTGCACATGAATTATAGTAGGACATCTTTCATCATATGGCAATAACCAAGAAAATTCACCTCCTAACATAACCAATTCGTACTCAGTAATAATAATAGCTGGAAGTTCTATTACTTCAACAAGCCCTATGTAAATAAATTGAATTTATTCATAAAAATTTAACTATTATATCATAATTAAAATTAGAGTTTAGGGACATTATACATTTATAAAGTTTGATTTGATCATACAGAGTATATCAATGATAAATAAATATTTGTGCTAGTTTTTCTTAACCCTAATCAATGTACACTATTTAGGGATATAGTTAAAAGAAATGTGAAAGTATCATTCCTCCTTAGAACAAAATATGTTCCTGTGGTATTGTATATATAAATTTTCATGGATTTGAGTATCTCGGAAGTGGTTCAAACAAATGTTATAAATGCATAAAGTCCCAAACTTTAATAATAATTTAAAAAATATTTTACCATCGTCAGAAACTATTGTAACATTTTCACATAATATTTCATAAATAATGGGTAAATGTAAATCATTTGTGTATAACATGTTATTCACATAAAGATAACAATCAGTATTTGTTGATGAAACTAGCACTTGACGTTGTTCAAATGGTTTCATTCCTAAAATAATAAATAACTCTAGTTGAGTTAACAACTCATATTTTTTCTTTAATAGTTTAAGTAGTCTTTCATTTAAAACCCCTTAAATAAAAATAAAAATAAAAATTTTAATTATATTAGCCATTTATAAAATTAATCTTCGATTTATCATGTAAAAAATATACAATTTATTAGCAATATAATAAATTTTATCATTAGATTTGCTAATATAATGTTTTTAGTAATAAAAAGAAAATTAAAAAGTTGATACTTATGAGGTATTTTTAAATAAAAATAAAATTACTTACGTTCTAGAAATGCTACTAATCGTGTAGTAATATGAGGAATATAAAGTACAAATGTATATTTTATGTCAATATCTGGTTGTTCTACACAAATTACCAATCCCATGTTCCATGGCAAAGTAGCAATAGATTTAACCAAACTTAAACGATGACTGGATATTTTTTGTAAGCTATAAAAAAATTAACAAATAAAAATTAGAAATAAAAAAATATTACTTATATTATTTTGTTTTTCTTACAGTTCATCTGATTGACCAGTAAGTTTGAATATATACAATGATCTATTTGATATGACTATACAACCATCAAACTTATATTCTGGGTTCATCATAATACAGTTACACTAAAGTAAAACAATTTTTTTTAAATTTTTTTAAAAAATTATATTTTATAACATACTCGAAAAATAAGAACAAATTCTTCAGTACTACGAAAATATTTTTGTTGAAGGTAAGATTTCAATCGTAAATCTATTACAGAGAAATCATCATAAGAAAACTGAATTGGCTTATCAAATATAGAAGTAAGCCTACTATCTGAGCTGTCCATTATATCTACGGCAAATAATTATTATACATTTACAAAAAACTACTTTAATATATATTTTAACATTTTATTATACCTTTACAAGATGTTAGACTATCTTTTTGGAGTTTACGACTTTCATAAGCTGTACACACACTATCAGTCATTGATCCTAGTATTAATAATATTAATAAGTTTATTAAAAGTCAAACAAAGCATAACGAAAAATATTAATACTTAATAATAAGCTTAAAAATCAAGAAGAGAAGTAAATAACTAGCAAAACAATTTTATTAAAGATCAAGAAAATGATAGAAGTTACATTAATTATTTATAATTAAACATGAAAGTCAACCCTCTTATTATTTTTATACAATGGAAAATATATCATCTTTTTAATTAATACTATATGATAATAGTGATTAAAATCACTACCATAAAAATGCTTTAATGCGTATCTGTTGAATTTTATAATAATTCATTATAAATCATTAAAATCAATCTAATGAGAGCCGAGAATTTTTATTGACAGATAGAAAAACATACATCATGGTAAAATCAATATCTTCTCAGCTTCTAATCAAAGCTAAAATAGAGCAAAGTAAAGACAAAACCTTCTCACCTACGTATTGAAAAATTGGAATGTTTTTAAGAAAGCACTGAATTTACTTATATTTATTTCAAATAAATGCAACAAAAAATAAATTTTAATAGTTATACAAATATGTGCCTTTATACTCAAAAACAAAAAATTAAATTAATTACCACAATTAAATTATTTCTTGATTCTATTAATTATCTTAAAGAGAAATAAATTAAATTTTTATTTTAAAACATTAATTAGAAACTATTATTCGAATGAATAAAAACTAAGGCATTGAACCTAAAATATCCGAAGATCAAATACTATTAAATACCTAAACCTAAAGCTAGCTAAAATTCAACGTTATGTACACTGGAATTCTTTTATGCTTGTTTCATTTATCTATTAACAACATTATTATTAAAATCTTAAACTTCTTTGCAAGATTTTTGAATAATTTATAGACAAAATTATATCTATAGTTTGTCAGTACTTAGATAAAAGTTGTAACTTTGTACTACAGTATAAATTATTTAACAATAAAGTCCATAAAATGTATAACAAAAAAAAAACTGAAATAAAATATTAATAAAATCATATTGGAAAATTAGATGTAATACAAAACCTTATATCAAGTAAAATCCATAAAATACCTTATACAGTGTCTCAAACTTAACTGATAACATTTATAATTTTTGATACAATTATCATTTTGTTGAAATTTGTTTTAAAAAGAATTGTTACCTTCTTAGACTATATTTAAATCATATATTTTATTATTTATTACTAATAAGAAAAAATAAAAAAAGTTCCAAAAACCTTAGATACTTACAATGTATGTAGCTATCAAAATATGTCATAAATTAATGTTTGTTAATAATTAAACACTATAATCTAAGTTAGTAACATTACATATGTTGTAATTAATAATATACCTGAAGAACTACTTTCTGTAAGAACTTGTCTAACATTAATTGGCAACAGAATTTTTTCGTTTTTATTTTCAAGACTAAAAAGGATTTATAAAAAGAGATAAGAACATAGAAAAAATTATTAATGAACAGTCATTTACCTAGGTGTAACCTCAAGTATTTCAACTGAATTTTCACTTGGATTGCTTATAATTTCTACATCACTATCATTCCTGTAGAATTTTCTTTGTTCTGGCTCTTCTGAACCTAAAATTTAAGATAAAAAATACATTGTTAAATAATTTTTTTTTGTTTAGGAAAAAGTATGAATCATAACCAAATTTTAAATACAATTACATTGTTTATAGTTAACTTATAATAATTTTTTAAAAATCAAAAATTATTGTTAATTAATAGGTAGCATGTTTTCTACAATATTTTTTTTGTTCAACTTTTCATTTTTTTTTCTTGTAAAAAATCTAATTTTAATAGTTTAAAAGTTTTTATATTGGTTTGATCTAGTTATTCAATTTTTTCACTAATTATTTTTAAGTTTTTATGATAACTTAAAATTATTTGTGTTTAAAATTCCATGTTAATAAAATTAAAAAATTTATTTTTTAATATAACAATATATTTTTTGATAAATTTAATGTGCAACTTATTTTTGAAAATATATTTTTGTAGCCATAAAATAGGTTTGTATAATACTATCAATTTCAAACTAACACTAACATAATCGTTAAAAATAACTTAATTGAGGTGTGTATTAGTGTCAATATCATTATCATTATAAATAAATTATTATAGGAATCCAAAAATTTTTTTATTACACCTACTATTATTTCAAAGAAAAAATTTACTTAGAAACAAATTTGAAAAATAATAAGCTTTAAAAAAAATGATATATATATATAAAGTTTTTAAGTTAAATAATAAAAAGTTCATACTTGATCTTGAATTAACAGGTGTTCTATCTATATCATTTTCGTTATCAGGAACAATCACTTCACTAATTTCAGGTAAATTATAAAAGGATGGAAGTGGCTCATCTTCAATTTTTACCACAAGAAAACTATCACAACTAGGACAACAATTTTTCCTTTTATCTTCTAGTAAACATCATATTCAATACAAACAGCATCATATATAAAAAACAAAGCATTTATGAAAACTTACTAAATATATTTTTAAAGTTTTCTTGACAAAATACAGTGGTACATTGTACACATTTAAAAACACTCTGGTTCATTTCACTTAAAGTTCTTGATTCTAATTCTGAACATATAATCTTTATGAAGTCCTAAAAATGTAAATATAGCAAAACTATATAATAAAAATATTGTACTTATAAGTCCTCCTAAACTTTAATATGTAAAAACTTTCGTGAATTGTCATATTGTACGAGCTCATGATTTGGACTCTGCAATAGATCTAAAACGTCAACTCATAACTGAGAACATTTTATTTTGAAAGCAATTTGTTTTGAGAAATATGAAAGTCAATTAAGTTTAATTTAAGATAAGTTTTTTACTTACATTAGCATCATTTTCTTTCATAATATATACTCTTTGATTTTTATCACGTCTCAATGTCATGAAATTCACTTGAATTTTTATTGGATTAAAATTAATTTTAACACAACTTTCAATTGAATCACGACTCCATGTAGTAATTACCGGTCCTCCATCACAACTTTTTTCTTTTAAATCCCTGTAATTTTTACAAGAATGCAAATAAATAACAGTACAATAACTCTTATTTATATAATGTATTATTTAATGATATTATTTAATAAGATTCTGGCAAGTAATAAATGTCCTAAGAATTTTTTTTTTTCTACCTTGAGGAATATTATTAAATTTTTTTTTGATGTAAGGTACTCTTTACATATTAAACTATGAAGTTTGAAACTATAAAAATTACAGAATCGAGATGCCATTTCAAATACTACGCTATAGATTTAACTATTAGATGACTTTTTAATGAATTTTATACAGAAATAAAGAAAGATTAAAAGAAATTCAGTAATATATATCTGATATAAATGACTAATTTATGATACTTTTTTAAATAAATAATGGTATACAGGATGATCAATTAAGGTCCAGACACTCATTTTTTCAGAAACTTATGAATGTTTTCAATTTTTGTAAAGAAAAATATTGTTTGATTAAAAAAACTTTACAAAAATATGTAATTAAATAATTTTGTTTTTATCCCTTAAGTTATAAAAAACCTGAACTTTAATTTTATTTAAGTGGAACCCATATTTTTAGTATAATGATACGATAAGAAAAAATTTACCAATAACAGAAAAATTTTATCCCTCAAAGGTTGAAATAAAATGATTTTACTACATTACTGTATTGTTTTTTAATTAAAAATCTTTTTTCGTAACAAAAATTGAAAATATTTAAAGTTTATAAGAAAATGATAAGTCTTATCCTTAAATGAAGAGTGAATGTGTCAAACGTTCTATGTGCCAAAAAAGTGAAAAATTGTTTTATTTCTGATTTATGTTCTATGTGCCAAAGGTCACAATCTTGTATGTGTTTTAAGTGTCAATTAAATTTTTTACTTGTACAAAATTGCGTTCATAGATTGTATTTGTTCTGTGAGACATGCCCATTGTTACTTGTACGTTCTAAGTGCCTTAGGCGAATATAATAGTTTGATGATAACAATATTATGATATAGTCCGTTATATTTCAAAATAACTAATACTGGTGTCATTGTATTCGTTAAGTTTTCTTTTTATTTGATTAATTGTGTTATTATGGATACTGAAAGTATACATATTTTACGAAGTGGTAAAAAAAGAAGAAATGATCAGACTATCAAACGTTAGTAGTTTTGATGTTATATTTAATAGATATGGGGATATTTGATGAGATTATACAAAAACTTTTGATAAGTGGCCACTCTTTCTTGGCTTGTGATCGTGATTTCGCTATTATCGAAAAGAGACGTAGAGTTTTTCAACATTTCACTCCTTCTGATTTACAAGAAATGGTTAGAACAGCGAAGTTGACAAATCCATTTCGAGTTATTCCGATGGATGAAAACAACTTTTTCTCATTTAAAGACATTGCTAACAATTTTCTTAACACAACCAAGTTTCCAATTTCTATATGTTCGATGATTAAAGTTTCATCTCTAACTCCCAAAAAAATCTATTATAAAAAAACATTTTCAGATGAAGAACTTTGGAAAGATTTTAACGTTTTTAAAAGAAATGCTACTATAGACCAACTTAAAAATCAGACATTTATACCTATACCGAAACCCACATTGTCGTCAGAGAAGAAAAAAGATTTGTTGGCCATGATTCCTTTTTTACCTGATAAGCACAGAAACTTCTATAAAAATATAACGTCATGAATTAATTTTTTTTGCTATTTATTATGATGTTGTAATTTTCTAATTATGTTTAATCTAGAGTTTTTTTTAAATTATTATTAGGTTTGTACATTTATTTTTCAATTTGTGATACTCAAAAAAAGTGTTGATTTTTTTACATATTTTATAAAAATATATATGAAGTCTTAATAAAATAAAGAATGATTTTCTGTTATCTATAATAAAATATTGGTACTTGGAATGATAATATTATCACATTATTTGGAACTTGGAACTTTAATATTATAATACTTGGTACTTGGAACTGTCATTAGCAAATGTTTAATTTATACTAATGTGAAATGACAAAATAAAATAATAGAAATTTACGAGGCTATTAGTATAGTGTAAATATAGCATAACATATATTTTTATACAAAATTATAAGGAAATTTTTAATTTGTCATGTTTTTTGTGTTTTCTGAACAAATATTTTTTTAGCACATAGAACGTTTGACACATTCACTCTTCAAATGATCTTTGTATATCTATGATTAAAATCTAAAAATTAATAAATCAAAATAATTTTGGAATAATTGATGACATATGTCATCTGTTATGTATGAAAAAATAGTATCTCTATTTTATTGGTAAAGTATGTCTTTTATATTAAAAAAATTTGATTTGCATAAGACGCCATTGAAATTTTTAACATTTTAAAAATAATAAAACAAATTTTAAATAATTTTTCAAGAGTTTTTCTTTTCTGGAAAGTGGCTAAAATTTATTTGTCAGATTTTGGAAAATAACCATAGATATAATTATTTATCTTAAAAAGAATAAAATAATTGAATATACCAACTTTTCAGATAGACATAATAAGATGTTAGAAGTCTCTTCGTTGTCACCATTAACAATTTGAGCTGGCCACAATGTTTCTAAAAATATTTAAAGTAAATTCATAAAATAAATTTACTTTATAGTAATTACAAAAAAAATCTCGAACCAGATTTTGAATTATCATAAATTATTGTTGATGAATATTCTTCTTTAATGGTTTTTTCATTTAGCTCTTCATTAAAAGAAACATTTAGTTCTGAATTTATATTAGTACTAGTGTCAGAATAAACTGAATTTTCTTGAAAACTATGTTCTATGGGTATTTGAGATTTTTCTTTAGTTTCATTTTTCTGCCAAATACAGAAAACAATACTTTTAACAAATTTCATACATGATACTAAGAATAAAAGAAATTTAAGTAACAAATATTTATTTAGAAATAGTTGAATTTAAATAATGAAAAATGATTTTACTCAGATTGTTGGTTCCGTGAACTATTACTAAATAATATTTTCTTCAAAAAAATTTTTAATGACTTTCAAGTCACTTAAAGGATAAAAACTATAGTTTATATTTGTATTTATTTTATTTCCTTTTCATAAAGTGTTATTTGATATCTTACACTATATGGTCTATATATAAAAACCATTTAAAAAAATTTTAATTTTTTTATAAATCTTACAACTCTTATTGATTCAATTGATCCTTCTCTTTCATTTTGCTGATTTATTCCAAGTATACCTTGAACATAACTTCCAGCATGACTATGTAACCAGTTATCTTCACCAAATCTTTCTCTTACACTCTCTATTTGTTTTTTAGTAGTCAAATGTTCTAATTTGGATAAATCTATGATAGAATTTTGTTTTTTAGTAATATATTTTTTGATTAAAATTACAAATTACCTCTTTTATAATTTATTTTCTCAGCTAGTGATAAAATTCTAGATTTATCATTCCAAACACCATCTTCTATAATAGGAGATCTAATTTTGGTAGCCTTTGCACTAGCTAAAAAAATATTTTTTAATAAATTGTACAAATATTTCTTTAAGACTACTTACTTTGTGGTAAGTAATGCAAAAATGACAAATCTAGAGTCCTAGAAGACTGCCCAACAAATTTCTTTTCTGATTTTGAAAGTATTTTATTGTCCAATTCAAACTAAAACATTAAATTAATGTAAAAAACCCAGCACAGTGGGGTCGTAGCATAGTTGGGTCCAGTATAGATGATATCTAACAGTGATTAAAATCACTATAATAAAAAACGCTTCGATGCAAATCTGTAGATAGTGTTTAATTTTAAAAAAAAATTTGTCATAAAAGTAGGTCAAATGAAAGCTGAGAAAATAAATGATAGCTACAAAAAAAAACTACATTGTAAAATAATATTAATATGAATTTCTTCTCACAAGAGGAGACTACAGTAATGGGATCCTTGATATTTGTTGAAGTTATTGAATCTAAATGAGATAAAAATCAAATGAGTTAAACATTTTTCTCTAACTCAAAAAGAATTAAGAAAACATTCAGTGCCACAGGCGTGAAAAACCCAAGTATTACCGTCTCAGAAACCGTACGTCACATTCGTCACTCAATAAAAATGAAAATTTAGCTAGTTCAAATTTTAAAATTATTATTAAATATAATAATAAAAAGTAAAGAAATTAGTGTAATCCCCTTATAATAAAATAAAATAAAATACTAAACCAGAAATTGTAACACAAAAATAGCATATTTTTGAACACGGTAGCTATTTTCACCATGAAGACAAAATAAAGTCCGATATTTTTTTTTTTAATATTAAAGTATATTACATAAGCTTTAATTTAAGATATATATAAAAGTGTCAGTATTTCCGGAACACTTTCAAAAGTTAAGTTGAAAAATTTAATTTTTTGTGAAAAAGGGAAACGAGGGAAATGTTTTCAATTTCTGAGGGTAATGTCTTAGAGTAGATACGACTTGTGAACTTTTGACGTATCGTTGAAAGAAATCGGTTCGGTGAAAGCTGAAAAAAGTGGTAACAGACACAAAAAAAAAAAACACATGGTAAAATTAATACTTTCTCAGATTTGCATCGAAGCTAAATAAATCTTTACATTCTTGTAACGAAACCTTTATTACTTATTACAAGGTCATTAAAATCAAAAATTTTAATTTTTTATATATTAATAGTTATTTAACTTACAATTTCAACAGATGCATTTTCATGTAAGTAGCCACATGTTTTTTCTCTGTGATTTTCAATAAATGCCAAGGGATTATTTTCTAAATTTAAATACCTCAAGAATGACATATCACCCAAAGGCGATAATGATTCATGATGTATTATCATATTGTTTGATAGATCTAATACTTTTAAGTTAGTCAACTTAGACAGCCCTTAAAATAAACAAATAACATCATGAGTAAAAGATAGAAAATACTTTCAACTTAGGTGTCTTAATAGAGAGTATATTTTAGAATTTGTTTACAATCAAATTTGTTTAAGCTTTATCTTACTACAGTAAAAACTCAGACTTATAAAATCACTATTGAATTTATTTTGTCAATAGAAACTTGATGATATTTCTACAAAGTCAAAAAGTATAAAGTGGTAAAGTAAATAGGAATAATTTCATTGTGCACATACCAAATAATCTCTCCATTAAGACATTCAACTACTGAGTAGGCAAATTATTTTTTAAAATTATTGTATAAAAAATTATTATTTATATTTTCTTATTAAATATATAAAAATAAATTAATAAGTAACAATATTTTTTAAATATTTGTTTTGTAAACAAACCAGTTAAATTATTTATACAATTGTAGTTCAACACTAATACAGATAAATTTCTTGCAGCATAATCATTTAAAATTGGTACTTTGGTTAGTCTGTTTAAGCTTAAATTTAGGCATTCTAAACATTCAAGCTTATCAATATGCTGTATTTCAGTTAAAACACTTCTTGAAGTTTCTAAGTATTTAAGACAAGGTGTATGTAACAAACATTCATCCAATGAGTTAAGATGACATCCCCGTAATACTAAATATTGAAGATAAGGCCACTTTCTTTTTAAAAAAGAAGCTACTGTCTTAAGATGTCCATTTATAATTAAAGAATCCAATTTTGTAGTATTCAATCCAATTAAACATTCTATATCAATATCAATTAGTTCTAGATGGGTAAGACTATGAAAAGGTGATAGATCAATTATCTGATTGAGATTTAAAGTATTAGAACACTGCAATAATTTTAGCTTATGAATTTTTTTAAGGACTTCTGATAAGTAATGATGATTTAAAATACGATTTGAATGTAAAGATGATAACACTTCTGTATTGATTGTGCTAAGAATCTCAGTATTGATTATTAATTTTTCATGACCAGTGACTATGAATTCACCATTATGTTTTAATTGCTGTATAATTTTATTTACTTCTTCCATTACTAAAAAAATTAATTAAAATAATTATATTTAAAACTCTAATATAGAATAATAATAATAGAATAATACTAACAATATATTATTTACTATCAAATAATAACAGGAAAGGTAATAAAATATAATATAACTTGGAAACACATAAAGACTAGATAGAAACACATTCATTTTGAAGTTATTATGTTAAACAATTTTGTTTCTTTGAAAGAAAATATTGTAAATGGCTTTGTAAAGAAGTAAATAATTTATTTTTAAATATTTTATTTTAGTTAAATTATTAAAAATTTCCAGATATGAAAAACACAAGATTAAATTGTTTATCAGGTTTTTTTATTAATTCTACAACTAGAATATAAGAGTCATGGTTGGAATGGGACAGAAAGACAGCTATGTTGGAGATGAAGCTTAATCTAAGAGAGGTATCCTTACTTTGAAAATTTAAGAGTATTAGATAATGTTTAATTCTGAATTAATCAAAATAAAAACAAGTTTTAGCTAAACATTCAGTCATCTATAAGTAAAAATATATACACAGTGATTCTTTTAATACTAGAAACTAAATTTCTCTTAAAATAAAAAGTGGTTTGGAATTTTTTCTTTTTTTTTAGTTACATATATTTTTTGATTTATGAGCTAATAATTACTTTTTAAAATAGCAATATACATAATTAACTGGTTTATTTAAGAGATAATGGTGTAATTAAGAAAGTCACTGATCTATAACAACTTTTAAACCAATATTTTGGAAATTATTAGCATTTTAAAATATTGACAGGAGATGAAGTGCTAAGTATTTTTAAAAATGTTTATATCTTCCGAATCATAAGACCAAAAGTTATTAATCAGTCATTTTTGTAATTTAATAATTTTCTATTATATAAGCTAGTTTAATATGTATATTACTATATAAACAATTTTAGTTAGAATCTCTATAAGATATAAAAGATAAATCTAAAAATTACTTTAAAACAGATAAATGGTCAAACATATAAAATTTAAAAATCTAAAATGTTCAAAATACTCATTATTTCAAGAGAAATTGAGTGGTTAGTGTTAACTTATTCCACTTATTATTTTATAATAATAGTGTTAAAAACTGACTATTTTAAAATTACACATAAAAAAAATTAATAAAATAACAATGGAACAAAGGATTTTAGATTTACTTACATTACGATTTAAGCTGAATAGTAGTTTGAATATTACACATTACAATTTATTTTCATAATGTAGGCAATTTCAGATCTGATTATATGATGAGTTACAGTTTTAATAGAATGTCTGAACTTTGTTAATAAACTTATTATAAGCGGCAAAAAGTACAATACACATCTATAAATGGTCGAAGTTTGTAATAATTGTAAATAAACATTAAAAATGATTATCATTTGTATAATTAATATTTGATATCATTTATAATTGATAACGGATTTCATATCGTATCATTATTTTAGATAAGATTTGAACAGCTGATTATAATTTATTTGAATTTGTAAAATAATAAATGGCAATTTCTCTTTGCATATTATTTAAATTTATTCAATTTTTTACGAAAAATTATTATATTTTTACTATACATTATCTATTTACCATCCTCCTAAATTCTCACTGGATTTTCCTTTGAACATGATATTATATGATAATAGTCAATTTTAATAAAGCTAATATTAAATATAAACTATTTAAATGTCTCTTAGGATGTATTTTTTATCATTGCTTCGAGTCTAAAAATAAGTCTACAAAAAGGTAATTTATACCTATATACTGGTATAAAAGTCAGTCAGTCATGTAATCAAATTTATCATAAATGAGCTGAGCCCACTTTAAATATTAAATTAAAATTACACCCCGCTAAATTCAAAATATAATTATTTTTATAAATATTAAAAAAGTACGAAGGATTGTGTGTATTTAAATAAGTCTAAAGTAATAAGATACATTTAAAATGTATTAGGGAGAAGTTACAACAAGATTTTCAATAAGAGCACAAAAATAGTTACTCCCCTCCCTGCTTAATACATTTTTAACCCCAATATAGTAACGTATGGTATTATGAATTATCCTTAGTTTATCAATGCGAAGCATTCAATGTCTTAATATATGTACTTTATTAAAGTAAGATTTCACTACATGCTTATTATAAAACAGTATTTTTATTTTGAGTATTGAATTTTTAGTCATCTGATAATATCCATCATACAACTAGAATTTTTATATTAAAAAGATTAATACCAAAAATCGAAACTGGCGACTTAATTTGTTGTAATCAACAGAGAACACTTAATTATTTATCTATTTTTCATTGGACTGCCCTATATTCTTCTAGTAAAAAAAAACATATTCTAAATAATAAATAAATTGTTACTAAATTATATAAGAAAATAGATAATATGCCAATTTATTACTTAGGATTGCCGATAATTTGAAGAATTCTAAAAAGTTTAATTATATAGCTTATGCTGTAAAAACTTAAGACCTTTAAATATTTTCACGAGCACTTTTAATAAGAGTATCTCAATATTCCAAAATATACAGCAGATATCACAGCAACTTTTCTTTATCTAGTTTTGATTTTAGTACAGTTATATGGATACATACATTTATAAAGATTTTTTCAACACATGTGTAAAAACATAACTTTTTATGATATATTTTTTTAAGTAATGATTTTAAAAGAATACTTAAAATCTTATGTAGATATAGAAAAGGTAAATTGTTTTACTAATGAATAAGAAAGTTTTATGTATAATAAATAATTACAAACATTTATTTTTTCACATTTTTTTTTTTTTATAGAGAGAATTTAATAAAATTATAATTCTAATATCTTGCCTATAAGACAACTTTGGATAGTAGGAATGTTTAAAAACTTCCAATAATGTAAATAATTATCAAATAAATACATTTAATTATATTCTCTTTTCAGTCAGTATAAAAATTATAAATCAAAAGCAAACGAGCTATGATCTAGGAATGCTTTGAGCTGTAAACAACTTAGTGGAATGTAACGCCTAATGCAACGGATTTTTTTTTATATAATTTTGATTCTTATAAAAAAAGAAGTTAAAATAAAAAATACAAAGTTTATAGGAAAATAAATAAATAAAGTGATTAGAAGCACTTTCTGTGTACAATAGATGGGCCAGATTCATCATATTCTTGTTTGGAGATCCACATTTGTTGGAAGGTAGATAGAGAAGCCAAGATTGATCCTCCAATCCATACAGAGTATTTACGTTCTGGTGGGGCAATGATCTTGATTTTCATGGTAGATGGTGCTAGAGCAGTGATTTCTTTTTGCATACGATCAGCAATTCCTGGGTACATTGTAGTACCTCCTGACAATACAGTGTTAGCGTATAAGTCCTTACGGATATCAACATCACACTTCATGATAGAGTTATAAGTAGTTTCATGAATACCACATGCTTCCATACCCAAGAAAGATGGCTGGAATAAAGCTTCTGGACAACGGAATCTATTAAAATTTTTTTTTTAATTTAATAACAAACTAAATTTAAAAATGGGTTTATGAAACAAGGTTATTTTACCTTTCATTTCCAATGGTGATAACTTGTCCATCAGGAAGTTCATAAGATTTTTCCAATGAACTGGAAGATGCTGCTGTAGCCATTTCTTGTTCAAAATCTAATGCAACATAACATAACTTTTCTTTGATGTCTCTAACAATTTCTCGTTCGGCAGTTGTGGTAAAACTGTAACCTCTTTCGGTCAAGATTTTCATCAGGTAATCAGTGAGATCACGACCAGCAAGATCCAAACGGAGGATGGCGTGTGGTAAAGCATATCCTTCATAGATTGGTACAGTGTGGGAAACACCATCACCAGAATCCAATACAATACCAGTGGTACGACCAGAAGCATACAATGATAGTACAGCTTGGATTGCAACGTACATGGCTGGGGTGTTGAAGGTTTCGAACATAATCTAAATAAGACACAAATTAATTAATTTTAATTATAATCAAAGAAAAAAAAAATAAGTAATAAATATTTAATCAATTTTCTGAAATATTAAAAAAATTATTAAAAAAGGTATTGGTTTTAATAAAAATAAGAACCAGGTTGAATTGAATTATAATTTTGAAATTAGACTAAGAGATGAAGGTTCTGTTAAATTGATTAAAAAACATTATTTTACCTGGGTCATCTTTTCACGGTTAGCTTTTGGATTCAAAGGAGCTTCAGTGAGCAAAACAGGGTGCTCTTCTGGAGCTACACGTAATTCATTATAGAAAGTATGATGCCAAATTTTTTCCATATCATCCCAATTTGTCACAATACCGTGTTCAATTGGATATTTCAAAGTAAGGATACCTCTCTTAGATTGAGCTTCATCTCCGACATAGCTGTCTTTCTGTCCCATTCCAACCATGACCCCCTGAAATTTTTTTAAAGATTTTTTTGAATTAAAATGTTATCATTATTATTTTTTACAAAAAAACTGAATTATCTAAAGTATTTAAATGGAAAACATAAAATAAAATACTATTTTTACCTGATGACGGGGACGACCGACAATAGATGGAAATACAGCACGGGGTGCATCATCTCCAGCGAAACCGGCTTTGCACATACCAGATCCATTGTCTACTACCAATGCAGCAACTTCTTCGTCACACATTTTGAATTAGTTTATTGGAATGTAAAAAAACTGAAGAACCATTAGATATATATTAATAACTTCAACTAGATAGATTTTTATTATAATATAAATAAAATACTTAAAGATATTTTCTAAAAAAAAATATCTGAAGATACTTAAAATATTTAGATTAATTTGGTAAAATGAGATACAAAACTAAAAATATATGGAATAATCTACCTTTTAATAACTATAAATAATAAAACATGTTAAAAAGAATAGACTATTACAAAATTGTATGTTTCTTTTAGTTCAAATGAGAAAATGTTGGGTTCCTCATCATTTAAGCTACATTACTATAAGTTATTACATTTTTTTTTTTAATTTATCTATAGGAATTTATGATTCATTTTATTTTGGATTTAAAACTTACAAACTTTTCATAAGACTATATCTTAAAAAATTTTCTTCTTCTAAAAATGAGATTCTCAATTTGTTTAAATTTAATAAAATTATTAATTTTATTATTTCCCTAATTGGACGGACATTATATTAAATCAATTTAATTAAAAAAAAAAAAAAAAAAAAAAGATTCAATTTACACAATAATAATAAATTAAATGTCGGAATAGAATTTATAAAATAATAAAAAATCATTTTCAAATATCTATTACATTACAGGGTAGTAATGAAATTATCAAAGAGAATTTTTTTAATTCTATGAAAATCGTTAATATATACTAAATAGCAAATTTATCAATTAAAAAATTTTCAAAAAAAAAAAAAATTACATACCTAAAATAAATAGGATATCCAAAATTTTAGAATGGTAACTAATACAACACAATATAAAAATCACTAATTAAATTACTTAATAATAATTTAACACACGTCGGATGTAAACGACACGATTGACTAACGAACTGGTCATGAAAGTGCATACGCACCAGTATAAGTAGTTTCGTAGTTGATGCATTCTATAAACCCCGCCTTCCCCTCCCATCATCACTTACAAAATCATCACCACTACCACCCCACCCTACAAATAACGATAAGCTCACGGGGCAGTTAATATATAAGACATAGAAGGTAAACTATTTCTGTTAATAGGGAAATTAAAATGAATAATTGTGATAATGAAAGTCAGATAACAAATAACCCTTTCAAATTATTCCGAAATGCATTCAGACCAATAAAAACACTCATTCTTCACATCAACATTATAAAAAATTCAAATTTTAGATAGAAAATTGAAAATCATAAAATTAAACTTAGCTAATCATGGTAAAAAATTATTAAAAAGCTTGAACAACTAAAGGGCGTCAACCAACAAAAAGTATAAATATAAAAGTACGGGTGTAATCAAATTAGTATAGTTTTAAAATTATATAGATTTATTAGAAAATAAATAAAATATAATTACCTTTAAAATAACGAACGGGTATCTGTTGAATCAACCGTTGGTAGAGCGTAAAGCTGTTAAATGGTGTATGTGTACACGATTGCAGAGCGGTAACGAACGTTTTTGTAAAATGGCTGTATAATCTGGGGCCGGTCCGCATCCTGCTGGGTAAATCCATGTACGCCGGTACCGGGTAAGGTTGAGAATGTAGTGGTATTTTAGATAGGAGCGGACATGTAAAGATATGATTTGCCATGGTTCGCAACACCACTTTAACCCACTGGATTTGCCCAATGAACCTCTACTTTCCGCTTGTCAAACGGTATTACCTTATATGGGCATAAAACGAACAACACCACGCGATTGGTTGAGACCCGGCAGCCGGCGACCGTGGCCGAGCGCTACATTCCAAACGGTATCAGCAGTATGACCAGAAATACGTTAAAGACGTCCCCGCGCTTCGTGAGAACTTATGCTTAGACTAACGCAGGGTGGAAGTAGGAAAATTTGTGACGTGTTGTCTAGACGTTAGGTTTTAAGCATTTGCCATGTCAATACGACAATTTTTAAACTCTTCTATCCAAAATTTTCTTTTTCTCTTATCAGAATCTATAGACTTCACAAAATGTTTTTATTAACATGTATTAAAATCTTCTAGACAAGTAAGTTAAGGGTTAATAAAAAAAATCACGCCTCAATTATCTTCACGTATATATTTGCTGTCTAACGAATTAATCCGTTCATAATAGTATTTTTATCGAGTTATCAAGAAAAATTAATGTAATTGTAGTAAAACATGGATTTTGAATAATGCTATATGTTAAAGCTAGAGCTAAGTACCGTCAAGTGGACCTACTTGAGGCAGTTAAATATTTTACAGATTTTATCTCTTAATTTTTGTTAATAAGAATTTGTGGTTTTTATTAATGCCTATAATCTTTTTACTACTTTTGTAGATTGATACGACTAAAATGAAAATAGATATTATTGATATGTAGATATTGTACAAATTGGCCCAATTTACGGTAATAGCAAAGATGTTTTCTATTCCGGCTCACAAATATTGATAAAAAACAATAATAAATACATACATCATAAAGTTTTAACCTAACAATGATTTTTGTTAAAACTAGTAGAATTAATTGTATTTTCAAAATGTGAGTAGTAAGTAATTTTAAATCTTATTAATTACAATAAATTCACAGTAACAGAATGGATCATTCAAAATGGTCATAAAATTTGGCAAGTATTTCAATGTTTAATTTTACCCGATCACTAAACATTTCGACAAGGGAATAAGTTAACAAACCTTAATTATGATAACATTACGGGAAAAATACTTATTCATAGAAGTTTTTAACTTTTTGTTATATCTTGTTTAACCTGTTTTGTAACATTTTAATATTGATATTTTTTTTAAATGAAATCAACTATTTTAGGATTTACACTCACCGTATTAACGTTCATTTTACGTAAAATTTTCTATCGTTGTACCTGTTTCGATACACTTTACAGTTTTACTCTTTTTTTTTTATTTATAACAGCAAAGAATGCAAAATGTGTAAATTATTAATGGTATAAAAATTCAGACAAATTTTAACCTGTGCTTGAGAATACGTATCAATAGAATATACAGAATTTTATACAACATAATAATTTGTTTTTATTATTTCTAGTGAGGGTGTGACTGGAAATAATCTAAGAGGGGCAAATTTAGATAATTTTAATCATAATTACTGAATTACGTCTAGTGTATTTCCTTTTCTTAATCATGGAAAATTCCATCTATAATATATACATTCTTGAATTACAATTTTAATTATTTAAATTGGCCTTTTTGTATATATGATATAATTGCATTTGTATATATTATTAATTTAAATATTTAACATTATTCTTATAAGGTTAACGAACAAAAATATTTGCTTATTAAATATCTAGAATTTAAAGTTATGAATCGTTTAATTGAATTTCACATATTGATAAACAAGAAAAAATGTCATGTTCCTTAGGAACATTTATCAGTACATTTATGGTCAGCAATTGGAATTTATTGATTAGAGAAGATTTATAAATTTACTACCGGGATTTTACAGATTTATACCAGTGGCATCGGTTATAAGTAGAACAAGCCAGGTTAGCCTTGATTAGTCAGAATCACCCGCTTATCTCTATTACCTTGGACGGTTAATGTTTTGCTAGCAAACCGTGTTTTTGATCCATACTACCCGCGAACATTATTTTGGGATATAGTTGCACATGTAATAAATAGAAATTATTTTAATCATTAATATGATTAACACAATAAGTAATTAATTAAATTATATCAATGCATACTAAATCAGTATCTTTGTTAAACAGCTAAAAATGTTTTTTTTTTTGTACTACATTTTTATTAATAAAATGAATACCTACTAAACCAAACATTATTTTTTTTGCGTAGTTAAAAAGCTAATACTTTTATTTTAGCATGTTTTTTGTCATTTGACACAATATGCTTTTACTGGATCGATCAGCATCTGAAGTCGATAATGATGTAATTTTTAGTGTATATTTATATGTATTTTAGCTTCGATGCAAAGCTGAGAAGGTATTCATTTTACTATGATGTTTTTTTTTTGTGTCTGTTATCACTTTTTCTCAGCTCTCACCGAACCGATTTCTTTCAACGTAACGTCAAAAGATGACAAATTGTATCTAGTCGAAGACATTACTCTCAAAAGTTGAAAAAATTTCCCTCGCTTACCGTAAATGAGGAAAATCACCAAAAAAATTAAAAATTTAAAAATTGCTAATTTTCAAATTCTTTCAATTTTTTTTACTTAAAACTGCCATAACTTTTTCAAAAATAATCAAATCAATATAATTTTTTTTTTTATAGATCCATGGTGTCTTTGTCTATTATTTGACATATTTTATAAATATGACCCTTTACATTCCCATATGTACACTACAGTACATGTTACAATGTACCGTAAGTTTAAAAAAGAAAAACTATTCGATATCTCGATTTCTAGGAATTATCGGATATTAAACCAAAAAGTATTTAATTTTCAGTAAAAATGGTCGATTTTGTAGTTTTTTGCATAGTAACGAAATATTTGCATTGCATGTAGAAATGTATGTATTTATGTCATAATATTCTATCGTTAAGTTTTTTTTTTTTTGTGTAGATAAGGAAGTATTAAAAAGTCTGTAAAACTTAAAACATAATTTTTTTTTCCAATAATAGATAAGTATTGAAAATCATTTTGTAATTTATTTATACTGCCAAATCAATTCTAAATAAAACATTATTTAAATTAAACATCACTTAAATTAACATTATTACACTCAAGTTATGCTATATTTTTAAGTCTGAAAGAAGTTTTGCTTTTAATTTCTTATGACAACTACAGATATATCTTACTTTGTTAAAGCTATATTAATAAAAATAATATAAAATTTAATTGTAAGATAAACGATAGTTTTAATAATATTATAAGTTAAAAGATTTTAGATATTATGGGATGCAGAACGAAATAGTAGTAACAAGTTCGGTTGAATAGCCAAAACACGTCTTATAAAGCAGAGAAAATATGTAAAAAGAAAGTTGGGCTCTGCAAAATTGTTTATGTACGGAAATATAACTTTTCACTATTTTTTGAGAACATGAACAACGGATAAATAAATTAATAAAAATATCATGAGAATTTAAATTTTTACGCTGTTAAATATAAATTAAATAGATGTTTTCTATGATTTTCTTGTTCAATAAAAATGAAGTAGTAATATCAACAAATTTTGATTTATGACTGCTACTGTTATTTTATAAATTTTGTATTTAAAAGGGATCCAATAATATTTTTACTATATATCGTGACCGTAGACCGATGTACCGCAATAAAAAAATAATCTATGCCTGAATTAAAAACTTTTTGGTAATAGATAACGTGTAGTTAGTTGTATTACAGATAAGACGAAATATTTAAAAATATAAGTTTGATTAATAAAATAAATTATGTATTATGTTTATTATTATTTTTTAATTTTAACTATTTAAATATTATTATAATGTAAGGGACAGATGAACCCATAATCATAAGCAAAACTAGAATAATATAATTTTAAATTAAGAAGCCTCTGACGTTCTAATTGCATTAGTGTCCAGTGCGTATATGATTAAAATTTAACATTTCTGGGGTCCATTTTTTTGTTTGAATTGCAAGGATCACTAAAAGTTTAAATCCAGCCTACATAGAAGTGCAGATTAATTGCATCTAAATTAATTTTAGACTTAAAAAGTTGTAATTAAAGCGTACCAACTCTTTTTCTTTTTTAAATATTTAGCATGTCCATCAACGGATTAAGCAATAAAATTTTATCAGTGACCCATATATAGAAATTCTTGATTGTGTACTTAGGGATGTTGTGATAAAAGTAAAGTATCTCTACTTTCTTTCAAAATGAATACTTTTTGAAATCGATATTGGTATTCGATATTTTACTAATATAGAAAACAAGTACTGGTATCGTGTCTCAAACACAATCAACTATATACATAAAAGTAGCAAGT